TACTTTGATTGAGCTAAGTATCGCTGGTGTTTTATTTTATTATTTTATTTGGTTGTTTAGCCCCTCATGCTATAATCATGTGTATTTTCTCCATTCCTGTTCATGTGTCTTCTCGCAATTATCACTGGCCCCGTGTATCTCGTAATCGATATAAACGGCCTGCTCTCGTCTATCCCACATGCTCCACTGAGATCCAACATCTAGTTTCAGGTGGCCTGTGGAACTGCCAGTCAGCTGTTCCTAAGGCTGACTTCATCTCTGGCTACGCCTCCCTGCAGTCTCTGGATTTCCTTGCTCTCACTGAGACCTGGATTACTCCATCCAACACATCCACCCCAGCAGCTCTCTCCACTGCATATTCCTTCTCCCATACACCCAGACCAACTGGCAGAGGAGGTGGCACTGGTCTCCTGCTCTCTCCCAAATGGAGCTTTTCCCTCTTCAAACTACCTAACTTCACCCCTTCCACCTTTGAATTCCATGCCGTCACAGTAACCCATCCTATACAGTTAACCATTGCTGTTCTCTACCGTCCACCAGGCGCCTTGGGGGACTTCTTGGAGGAATTAGATAATCTCCTCTCACACATCCCTGAAACTGGCCCTCCCGCTGTACTTCTCGGAGACTTCAACCTCCAGACAGGGAAGATAGACGAACTAACATCTCTGTTAACTGCCTTTGCTTTCTCACTGTCTCCGTCCCCACCGACTCATAAAGCTGGCAATGTCCTTGATCTCATATTCTCAAGGAACTGCGCTACTTCTAACCTCTCTGTAAACCCGCTCCACACATCCGATCACTTCTTCATTTAATTCTCTCTACCCCTTTCCAAACATAACAAACTAATCTCTTCTCATCCTGCACTTGTCCGCCGTAAACTTCGCTCCCTCTCCCCCTCTACCTTTGCCTCATCGGTGCTCTCAGCCCTCCCTTCCTCTGACTCGTTCCAACTCCTGCCTCCAAACTCTGCTGCAGAAACTCTCCTCTCTACTCTCTCATCCACTCTGGACTCTCTCTGTCCTCTCACATCTCGGCAGGCTCGTCAGTCCCCTCCTGCTCCCTGGCTAAATGATGCACTGCGTGCTAATAGAACCGTCCTTAGGGCAGCAGAGCGGAAACGGTGGAAATCCAAACACCGTGACGACCTCCTAACCTATCAGGCTCTCCTCTCCTCTTTCTCTGCTTCGATCTCTCAGGCAAAAAGCACTTTCTTTCAAGATAAGATCCAATCTTCCTATTCCAATCCTAAACAACTATTTTCCATCTTCTCCACCCTCTTGGACCCTCCAAAAGCCCCTCCCCCTCCTCACTTCTGTCAAGCGACTTTGTTACCCACTTTGAAAAAAAGGTTGATGATATTCGCTCTTCTTTTTCTGACTCACCTTTACTCACCGCTGGGTCACCAGACCCTCCTTCCACCAACACACTAACCTCCTTTTCCCTTCTCTCTCCAAGTGAGGTTCTTACCCTCATTACCTCTGCCCGCCCTACCACCTGTCCTCTGGACCCTATCCCTTCAAACCTCCTTCAGACTATCGCTCCTGATATTCTACCGTTTCTCACCCATTTCATCAACACTTCTCTAACTTCTGGTCACTTTCCAAACAGTCAAGGCAAGAGTAAACCCTCTCCTAAAGAAACCCACTCTCAACCCGTCTGATGTTATAAACTACAGGCCTGTCTCTCTCCTCCCGTTCCTGTCTAAATCACTTGAACGCGCTGTCTTTAAACAACTCTCCTGTTATCTCAATCAGAACAACCTTCTGGATCCGCACCAGTCTGGTTTCAAGGCAGGTCACTCCACAGAAACTGCTCTCATTGCTGTCACGGAGGAACTGCACACTGCCAAAACTGCATCCCTCTCCTCTGTCATCATCCTGTTGGACCTGTCTGCTGCATTCGACACGGTGAATCATCAGATCCTCCTTCGCACTCTCAAAAAACTTGGAGTTTCAGGCTCTGCACTTTCCCTCCTCACCTCATACCTGAAAGACCGTACCTACAGGGTGACTTGGAGAGGGTCTGAGTCCGACCCTTGTCAATTAACTACAGGGGTCCCTCAAGGCTCTGTTCTTGGTCCCCTCCTCTTCTCCCTGTACACAAACTCGCTCGGATCAGTCATTAGCCCGCATGGTTTTTCTTACCACTGCTACGCTGACGACACCCAATTAATTCTGTCCTTTCCCCGCTCAGAGACCCAGGTCGTCGCACGCATCTCTGCTTGTCTAGCTGACATCACTCAGTGGATGTCTGCTCATCACCTCAAGCTCAACCTTGACAAGACTGAGCTGCTCTTCCTTCCAGGAAAAGATTGTCCCACTCTTGACCTAACAATCAACATCGGCACCTCAGTTGTTTCCCCGACTCAGACTGCAAGGAATCTGGGTGTGACCCTAGATAACAACCTGTCCTTCACTGCAAACATCGCTGCTACAACCCGTTGCTGCAGATACACGCTTTACAACATCAGGAAGATACGTCCCCAGCTGACACAGAAAGCGACTCAGGTTCTGGTCCAGGCTCTCGTCATCTCACGCCTAGACTACTGCAACTCCCTCCTGGCTGGTCTACCTGCATGTGCCATCCGACCTCTGCAGCTCATCCAGAATGCAGCGGCTCGTCTGGTCTTCAACCTTCCTAAATTTTCCCACACCACTCCGCTCCTCCGCTCCCTTCACTGGTTTCCGGTAACTGCTAGAATCCACTTCAAGACACTGGTACTTGCTTACCATGCTGCGAATGGATCTGGCCCTTCGTACATCCAGGACATGGTTAAACCGTACACCCCAGCGCATGCACTACGCTCTGCATCAGCCAAACGACTCGCTGCACCCTCGCTGCGAGGGGGACCCAAGTTCCCATCGGCGAAAACACGTGGGTTTGCTGTCCTGGCTCCAGGATGGTGGAATGAGCTCCCCATTGACATCAGGACGGCAGATAGCTTGCACATCTTCCGGCGCAAACTGAAAACTCATCTCTTTCGACTCCACTTCGAGCGATAGAACTATTAACAAAGCACTTTTATACTAATAAAGGACTGGCTTATCTAAAGCCAGTTGAGTAGCACTTGAAATGTTTGGCTCTATGAAACCTGATGTACTTATATGATTCTGTTTTCTTCAAGTATGTATTTTGTTGGTCGAACGCACTTATTGTAAGTCGCTTTGGATAAAAGCGTCAGCTAAATGCAATGTAATGTAATGTAATGTAAAAAGTTGATAAAAACTCAGAGAATTCTGATAAGAATTCTGAATAAAGACCTGGTGCACGGTACACTGTAACAAATAAGATTGGCTGCACAGTTTTCCAGGTCGGATGCATAAGACTAAAAACGAGACTTTCAAAGGAGATATAATTTTATTTTGGTTTAGCATTGATAAATACATTTGAGTCAAAGATGGCTGCAACTCCACCTCCTTGGCCTGTGCCTCGGGCAATATGAGTATTGATATGGCTGGGTGGAGTGGCCTCATTTATGCTGACATATTCTTCATTCTTCATGTAACACTTTGAATGAAAAAAGAAACTCTATTAAATTCCAAAACATAACTTGAAATGCCACGGAAAAAAGTATTTAGCATTTTAGATAATAAATATTGAGAAGTCACATGTTGCATGCAGGGGCGCCGCCAGGGATTTTGGGCCCCATGAAAAGATATCACATTGGTTACTTAAACATTTTTTTCTTAATGTTCTAAAATTGTTTGGGCCCCTGTCAGTCACGGGTCCTTAGAATCGTCCTAACTTTTCACCCCCTTACGGCGCCCCTGGTTGCATGTCCTAAACAATATTCATGTCATTATGCTCTTCTCTAAAGGACCCTCACATGTGCAGATGTTCCCACTCGGAGACTCATTAGACTATCACTGCCGGCACACAATGATCTGCTGCCCACGTTATCTGCACAAAATGATGAAAACACCGCAAACTCATTATTTGGAGAAAGCACACAAAAAAGCATATATGTGAAGATTTACAAATTCTCAGAGGACTATTATTCCCATGTTGTCAAGCTCCATTCATCACCTCAACAAGGTCTCTATGTTCTCACACACACAAAGACACACACACGTTATCTGAATTATTTGAAATTGATGCCTCTTGAACATATAACACAGTAAACATACACAGGAGGAGAACTGCATATTTATGTTTACTCTTTTATACACCGATTGTCATGGAAAAGGGAGAAACAGCTTTCTTTGGAAACGGGTAATTCAATTATTCTGTGAAGCGTACATTTCATTGTTTGAGGTGAATGAAAGTCTGACAGCCTGGTGAACATTGAATAAGCAGTATTACAGAGAATATAACCAAAAAGAGACATTAACTTTTTAGATTATACCTGTTTATCTTTCTTCATGAAACACATCGATATGCAACTGCTGAAGGGTACAATAGGAAATACAAAAATTAAAGAGGTCCATTAAAGTCAATTTCCAGGTCTTCTCAATGGCATTTTTTAAAATAAAAGTTAGATGAAGCTTTTTCTGGCTGCTGATAGAGCTGCACAAAATCTAATAAATTGCCTCAGGTAAGTCACCATGGCTAACACAACTGAAAATGACTAAATTGCGAGAGGCTGAGTTGCACTATGGGTAATGTAGGCAGCAGGTAGAAGCAAGAAGAATGTCCAGACTAAAAATAATGAATATCTCCTGCTCCTGTGAGTCCCAGTGTTATAGGGGTGCAACGTGAAATATGTTTTTAAGGAAAGATAACAAAACAATGATTAATTAAAATATGAATCCGAAAAAGTCCCTGCATGAAACCACCGAGTCCTTATCCTTTATCATTAGAGTCGATATTTCCCTCACTGAGTGTCAACAAAACTCAGGAATGTACACCCGTGTGACATACGGCTTAGCTTAGGCAATAAGGTTTACATCATATATTTTTTGTATTGACAGCTACCACCTTTTTAAGAGTAGTTATGACTCCCCTTGACAAAATGTATTCCTTTGAGAAAACATCCAAAAACAATTAGATAAACCAACATCTTCACTTTTAGATTTTTTTTTTATTGCAATCAAGGTTTTTTTCCCCTCTGTTCTCTAAGACATGTAGATATGTGCGATTTAAGAATCCAATTCTACAAACAGTAGAACAACAGTTAAATAACACAACAAACAAATGCTATGCTAACGGCCTCTCATTTACAGATATATTTATACAAACATGAGCCAGCGCCTTGCAACAAAAATCGCAAGATGTAAAATCCTGAAAACAGCAACACTACACAACAAATAACACCTTTCATCAGTTACAATATTTCATTCCTCTGTGGCTCATTGAATCATTAAACTTATCAAAAGACTCTGGCGCGTAGGCACAACATTTTTAACATGCCATACAACATGAACAAACTAAATAAAAATGCTCCTCTCACTCTCTGTGTTAAGCTTTAACCTTTTTATAAAAACAGTCCATTAGACTCCAGGTTTTCTCTAATGTTTTCTTGTTTGTTCCAGAGCACATCATCTGACAGGACAATGGGCCCAAAATCGGAGCTGATTATCTCAGGGACTTCACACATTGTCATCTCGTTTTTTGTGATAATAGCAACTTTCCAATCTTCTGGCATATAAAAATACATCCTATATGATTCCTAGATTCAAAATATACCCTTACAGAAACAAGTCCCCTTTCATCTCCTCCACTGACCCACAGCAGCTCAAATCAGAAACATATCAGCCAGATATCTCTATCTCAACTGCATGCAGAAAACCTCTCCATCATACAGAGGAAATGAGTGGAAGGGAAATGAGGCATTAAGCATAGCTTTTGTTGTTGTGTACGTCTGCAGCTACCATGGAATCAGATGGACAGCGGTGCAGATCAGCCAGCTCCAAGCTACGTTTCTAAAATGTGTTATGGACCAATCTGTTGTTGCTCTGTTTTTTCCCCCTCATTTTCTCTCAATGCAATTTTGCAGTTGTCTAACTGCTGCCTCCACTTCTCAATAGCTTTTAAGGACAATAGTTCCCTCCTGGTCTAAATTGAGTGCCATTTAAAGGCTAACTGACTTTTCCACTAATATGATGGATTTACTGCCATGGGTGACAGGTGCTGTGTTGATTAGTGACAGTAATTGTAGTGAGAGAGTGCATGGAGATTTTGGCTTTGGGGGTCTGTAGGGTTTTTGTTGTTGTTTATTGACGATACATGATGGTGCGTCGTCAGAGGCAGAAGAGGCGAGAGCCCTCTCTCCCCTCCTCCACCTCGCCAAGGGGGATGCGGGGGAGCAAGGCCGACCGGGTCAGACCCCAGAAGCGAGGCGGAGACAAGTGCTTCTTGGTGGCGGTGAACCTCCAACCCATGTGAGACCCACAGGTGCGACACTGAGCAATGGTCCAGGCGTAGCTGAGAGCAAAGAAGAGCACAATATTTATTAAAGACAAGATATATAACATTATTATATTTCTTATACCTTATTAAAAAGTATAAGTTTGCTCGTAACACCTGTGGCATTTTAGACGCAAATGGCTTACAAACTTTATTTTAAACCGGCCTTTTAGAGTAAAACTACTCATGCATCAGTCCGCACAGTGAAACTCAAACAGTGGGCAAAACTATTTTTTTAATTTAGGGGGGCTTAAATTGTAATGTTTTAGTCTTTAAAAGGGTTAATATTGTGGCTCGTTTGAGCAGTCACGGCTGATCCTCAAGCATCAAGATGTCCTTAGAAAATTCTGAAACAGCGTTGAGAGTTTGGGAGACACAGTTACAAAGAAAGGGGCTAATGTTGCACAAAATGATGTATAAGATGTGCAAATGGCATGCTAATGTTTGGCAGTGCAGTCAGAGGTGTGTTTCCATTTTGTCTTTGCAATGGGAATTACATCGGTTTTTGTTGCATGATTCCACAGGTTAAATGGTCATGCAATCATTTTTATTTATTTATTTATTTTTTAAAAATTGGTCCCTGAGTAATGATTGTTAAAACATATATTTTCTGTTAAATATCCCTTTAAAAAGGACTTTTTTTCCCATTAATTAAATGCAACCCATTATACACAATTCATACTTGCACTTACTTAGTATGTGTCATTCAGAAACAATCATTTATACACTAATAAATACCTACAACTGAAAGCTGTATCTATATACTTTATTCATTGCAAATACTTAATGCTGTCTTCTAATGTTTTTTTCTAAATGCAATAAGAAACCTATGGCAAAGTGTACCATGATTTCAAAAACTCTTACAAACCAAACAACTAAATGTAGCAGACATATCTGCAGCACTTGATCTAGACAACGTTAAATACTACACAATTCAGTTCAGTTTTATTCTTTAAGCATAAATCAAATATCTCACTGTCAATATTATTGACACAAGTTCACAGTATCTTCTCAGATCTGTGTATTGGTGTGTGTTTTATGATGAGAAAAAAAGAGCCTGGAGGATATATCTTTCCCCTGCTGCTCTCTACACAAGACTGGCATCATACAATGAACTCAGGTCACTAAAAAGTGATGTCCTATTGATAAGAAATTAAACTTTTGATATTGATGCAACACTGAAAGGCCAAAGGCTTCTGATTTAAGACAATGTAGACTATTCACTTTATGTCACCACACAGTTAGGGAAATATGGAATTAAAGCTTATTTGAGACCCCCAGTGCAATGGGTCAGAGGTTTGTCTCACATTTATGAAAATGCATTTTAAAAGCCCTGAAAGGCACAGTGAGAGGTCTGATTAAGTCCATTCACTGTGCGTTAGGTGTTACATTATTAGAGAGTCCGAGGGAGGAGTGTGAGCTTAATGCCATGAGTGTTGCAAAGTTACCCTGGAAACCAGCTGTGCAGCGTGGATGGCCGGCCCACCAGGTTGAGGTTGTTGGTTTTGTAGACGGTCAACGTTTCATGGACGTAACCGTGAGGGTTGACGTATGCAGCCATGGGGCCGTTCAGAGACAAGCTGCAGAGAAAGGACAGCAGGTGGAATATTTCATCAGTGATTTTGACGCAAAAACACCCGAATGAACCTTTAGATGAAGGAATGAAACAGCCAGAAGCTGATTAGAGACTCCATAAAAAAGAAATAAATGGAACCAAACCTCCTTAAAATAAATCATGCATTTAAAGTGTTTTAATTATGAAAATACTAAACTAAACTAAAAGCTAAGACTTGAGATTTGGAAATGTTGTTTTCAGTATTCAACAAGGTGATTATTTAATCTTACAGGTACTTGGCAAGATTAAAACCACATGAAAAGACACATTTTAAGTCACTTTATTATGCAGCAATTTACTGCACTTCTGGTTTGGTCCCTAATTGAAAATGCATTAGCTAGGTATGCAGTCCTGTTAGTCTCTATACTTAGAAATCATATTAAACACATAATCATTCATTTACTCTGATTATCTGGATGTGCTCAGACAAAACAGTTAATGCACTCTTCCTATAAACGTAGAGCTAGGGCCTGGACAGCTTCATCGGCGTTAGAGCCACTGTGTTTGACTCTTGGACAAACACATTAACCATAACACGTCATAGACACTTAAGAAATTACATTACATAACAGTGTGTGAGTGTTGTTGCACAAATTAGAGTGTGAAGGACCAATTATGTTTTTGTAACTCCAATCTTAAATGAAACTTTTATGTGCAGTTATTATTGTGATGAAGGTAAAAACAAAACAGAAAAAATAAATTCAGGCTGCTAGTTTTCTCTCTTTAAATGTGTCAACCGTCTCTTAAAACAATTTGAATAGATGAATACAACATGCACAAGATGTCCTCACCTGAAGATCTCAGTCTTCGTGGTGATTTCTGTGTCCTGGCACTGCTTACAGCACAGTGATGTGCACTGAGGAGGAGAGATAATGAAGTGTCAAAAGTCACTGTTCTCACTGACGATGCTATAATAATCCATCCTTTATGCTTCCACAAGAACCAAGAGCTGGCTGACACAACGTCAGGTATAAATTGTGTGTCCAGTAAGAGTGTAAAGAGAAAAGGAGGATATTACCCGCAATCAGACGGCATGGAAAGAGCAGATAATAAGCAGGCACTTTAAAGAAGCAATTCAAACGTCCGGCAACAGCTTTACAGCAGTACTAAGTGCTTCCTGTCTTTATAACATTAAAATGCACATTGACCTAAAGCTAAAGGGATTAGGGCTGCAATGATTAATTGATTGGTAGATTTAATTAATGATTATGATGCTGAATTATTCCTTCGAAATCTGCAGTGAGACAATATTTCTACATTTATTTCAGGTATCTGACAAAATTGAGTTTTATTTGAAATCACCAAATATATTTTATGTCGGTAAATCGTTATACAAAAAGGTCAGAAAGTGCTGTTTTCAGCACATCAAAAACTAAAATTGGTTTGTGATCTTCTTTTTAAATTGTTGTTTAGTCATCTTAATCTGGTAATAGCTTGCTTGGTGACATGATGACACTTTTATTACAGGTAATAGAAAACATGTAGGTCCTGGTGCTGAGGAAATAAGCATCTTAAATATACATTAACGTTGTTCTGCTGTGTGAATGACATGATGATATTTTTGGTTAGTTAAAATCGGGCGGTGGTGGCGAAGTCCATAGGGACTTGGCTTGGCAACTGGAAGGTCACCAGTTCAAGTCCCGGAAAGACCAAGTGCTACCGAGGTGTCCCTGAGCAAGGCACCGTTCCCCACACTGCTCCCCGGGCGCCGTACATAATGGCAGCCCACTGCTCCTAACACTAGGATGGGTCAAATGCAGAGAAACCGTTTCGTTGCATAGTACCTGTGCATAATGACAATAAGTTGAATCATCATCACCATGCTCAAAGTGACAAACAGATCATGTATACTGCTTGTTTATTAGAGATCTGTTCTGTTACTAGTGATTCAATTAATCTTTACTTACTCTAAATTGTTTATGAACAGTTTACATTGTGATGGCCAAGTTTAGACTGAAATATCGCAGCAAAACATCCCCCGACAGGCATAGTTGATATACCAAAGAACACCAGAGGAAAAAGGGAAAGAAGTACAGTAGGAACAGCCGATCTTATCACACAGTGAGGGAGAGGATGGCTGCACAGCCAGAGGAGGAAGGGGCAGTAGTGAGGGGTTGGTGGTGACCCTTCCTTACCCGGTCCATGATATCCAGCTCACAGCGAAGTCTCTGGATGGCACTGCCGATCTTCAGCAGTTGGAGCCGCAGAGCGTCGTCTATGGGCAGACAGGCCGCTACTCTGTAGGAAAAGTCTGACACAAACCAGACAGAAAGGCAGAGACAGGGATGAAAGGAAGGAAAGGACAGGAGCACAAAAAAAGAGACGTACGTACGCATGTGCGAACGCGTCTGCTATCCATCTGTAACACATAGAACAGAGGCTGACCTACGGCGTTCGTAGGGAGGGAGTCATCCTTCAGGTTCTCGTCCCATTCATGGAGCTGTTTCTTTACTCTGTTCATGAGCGACTCCTGTGCGGTGGTACACAGGAGGTAGAGAGAACATGGTTTACATTCACTCCTATGTTATGTTTATCTATGGAGAAAATTCCAGTGCACACGGGCCGCAGCACTCACAGAGTCGTAGAGTGCGTAGACCCAGGGTGGCCATGGCGTCAGGCTGGCACAGTGAAACTTCCTCTGTGAGGAACAACAGACGACACATTACCCAACTTTATCTTAATTTGACAGTTTCCCTCTGCTATCCACATTGTTAATACACGTAATGGTTAAAAGTATGTGGACTTTCAAACATCACACCCACGACAATGTTCCTGTGTCAAGAGTTACATGTTGAAAATCCCAGGCTTCCACAGGTTAAAAGCCCAAAACTATTTAAAGAGGCCCTTTTATGCTTTATTGGGTCTCCCTTTAAGTGTTATTCCCTGTGGTTATGTACGTTTTTGTCAATGTAAATAGTCTGCAAAGGCTAAAATCCCCCTCCCCCCTCTGTAACGCCTCCATTGTAGTCCTTTGCTGACTTCAGTTACATTAGTGACATCACTACGTAACATGTGTACTTCTATTGGCTGGTGCTACAACACATTGTACATGATAGGCTAAGGGGTGGGATATCTCTAAGAGGTTGACCAATCACAACAGAGCCGGTCAGCTAACCAATCAGAGCAGACTGGGCTCTGGTTTCAGACAGAGGGTGAAAAGAGGTGCACCAGCACAGGCAGTTTGAGAAAAATAAAGAGCTTTTTGAACATTAAAGCAAGTAAATATCTCACAGTAGAAGATTCAAATACAAATCTGAACCTGAAATGTGCATGATAGGGCCCCTTTAAATATTATCAGTTGGTGTAACCAGAGCTGTCATGTCCCATTTCCATTTCCTTGTGATGGAGAATGAAGTTATTGTAAAGTATGTAATGGCAAAAGAATCTGCATGTTACTGCGGCACATGTGTACTGCAAGTGTTTTTGTGTCTGACCTGCTGGTAGTTATTCCACCAGCGCTGGGCCTGCTTGCAGGTCTGAGTCGGGGGTTTGCAGGAGGGGTGCATGTTGAGCCTGGTGAGGGGTGCAATCTGCACGGCAGAGAGGGGATCTGGAAGGATTCGTTCTGGAAGGATCTGTACTTTGGCTTGTCTGATCCTGATGTAATATACAAGGGAGACAAAAACATAAGTTAGGGAAAGAAAGACAAGCAGGGAGAGAAATGTGAAAGAGAGCAACAGAGCCAGTGAAACAGAGCAGATGAATAGCAGCAGAATAAACAAATGGTGTGATGGCTAAATGCTATCAGGTGTATGACAGGATGTTTGTAATGGGTAGATGATCATAAAAAGGTGCCGTCTGTACAATTTCTCTGTCAGCCATAAGAAATACTTCACCAAACACACACTGTGGAGCTCAGACAAACAAACGTTCACTAAGCAACATCACAAGAGAAACAAAATACAAATCTTCAGGTGTAACCATGTACAAGGATAAACCCATACAACATCATTCACTTCAATCATGCACAAATACAATGTTCATTTTCTTTCTTATGTATGAATAACGGCAAATAAATCCACAACACTGCCACAATATGATGGCAGTAGAAAGGTATTTTTAAATGTTTGTTTTTTGCTTTTTATTCAGGGATCCAACATCCAAAGGTTGCACATTCAGAAATGTTTGAGAGGCAGAGAGGTAGAGAAGGCTATGTACAGAACACAGAGCGCAAAACAGCAGATCCCCTGTAAGTGGGCAATAACTTCAATTCTATGGTTGCTGGGGTCACAACACAAGGTCAACAGGATTATGCGCATTACACAACAGCAACTAAAGACAGAGGGAAATATGTCTGTATGGAGATCAAGTTTAATGGGCTTTAAAGCTCAATGATTTCCTGAACGGTGGAGGATGTAAGTAATCATGATATATAGCACAACCACAGTGGTTTAATATGCAGCTTTTCTCCATAGATGCTTCCGTTGTTTACTGTACCCTCCAACAAGAGGACTCAACTTAAAAACCACACAGATGATTACAAATAAACTAAACCCTCTCGAGAGCATGAAGCAGGATAACTCAACAAACAGAATGAACAACAAGGCACAACAAATTATTATTGTAGAAAAAACGGAATCTTTAAATGTAAAGAAGTAACTCCACAAACAAATAGTTTGAATGTTATTCTCTTTACTTTTTGAAGATGACTGTGAATAGTTAGTCTGCCCTCTAGCTGTGTGAACTATAAGAGCACCAACTGAGTCGCATTGAAAAAAGTCCCGACTTTGCGGAGTAAATACGCATCACGTACAGTATGTAAGAAACTGACACTTCAAAGTTAATCTTAATTGTTTTTATAGAACAAATGAAGAGATTGAATATTTTCAATTTGAAGAAATGAATGTAGAGGCACACTCATATATACGTAGAGGATCCACTGATTTGGAGTCCTAGTCTAAACAGCTGCTGGTGTTCTGTCTAAAATCAGTCCATGCCTAGATGATGAATACCTGCAGGGCTCAGATTCCTGCAGACAGCCACAGGCTCACAACATGAAGACCACAACATAATGTTAACATTTTTATTTATATATTCAAGCTCTCATTCAAATGTGCACATGTATTTAGTCCTAACCTTTGCTGCAATGGTTTAAGACGCAATGAAACTTACCCGTCTGCTTGAGTTCTTATCTCATGGACCTTAAACCTCTGCCTTCCCACAGCTTTCACTTTCACAGTTTCAATGCCATACTCCTGCTCTTCTCGGTATGCATAGATTTCAGCTGTCGTCCCAAACTCTGCGTCCGGCTCACCTGCATCGCTGCTGAAACAGATACCAAATAAACCTTTTACAATGACACTACAAGAATATTTTTAAAAGGATACCCGAGTCATTAAGTGTTTTACTTCTATGAGATTGAGGTTCTTAGACAGTTAAGCTAAATAGTTCTCCTCATATGCAGTGGTACTCGTCATTAGTTTATTTAGCAGAAAGTAATTAAAATAATAATTTAAAAAATATACAAAATAAATATATCTTAAAATATATTTTAAGATCATGTTTAGTCATCTAATTTGTCTGTACATTGCTGTTTAGTCTGTGTTCTTGTAATTAGTGTCTACAGTGTGCCTATTGAGCCGTGTACAGAGATGTGGGGCAAGCCCCTCTCTCTGCTGTCAAAATGAATGGGTGCTGTGAAAACTACACTGCGCATGCTCAGAGTATTTTTCTATTCAATGTGTGCGGCAAAACAAAATCACCAGTGGGGCAAAGTGTTGGAACCCCCACCAAAACGTCATCTCATAATTCAGAGCTGATTGGCTGTAAGTACGTGTGCCGCGAAAAGTGTAGTTGTGAAGAGGAGACGAGAGAGAGCAGCTTATAGCAATTAAAATCAGTAAAACGGAAAGAAAATGAATGAAGTTGACCATCTACTTCAGCTTTGGTAAGTTCATTTTATGTCATTATATGTTGTTGATCTTCTATGTTTTGCCTATTAGGCTATTGCTCTGCTGGATCGATTGATATTGTGACCTCTGTGATGAGTGTCTGTGTTTTCCTTATATTTACAGTCTATGGTGTTTTAATGCTGAAGCATTACGGGTGTTGATATTGTTAAGTATTGCTTTGTGATGGTGCCCTTTACTCCATGTATTAAGGTGCATTACAATATGACATCCCCACGCTGTGTACGTAAATGTATGTGCTGACAGTGTTGCTCCGTGTTCTTCATTCGCGGCTTCCGACAGTATGTCATTTGACACTCCCCCCTCTCTCTGTCGGATATTGGGTAGCCTACAGCTATTTTTTAACGTGTTTAAAAAAGCACCAGAAGCTTATATATACACATCTAAGTTGTTCGTGCCCCACCAGTTTTGTACATATAAAAACACCACTGCTCATATGTAATAAACCCTTCATATGAAACGCCATACTAAGAAAGGCTCTCTATTTATCAGACCTTGGTTTCCAATAGCTACATAGTTATTTGTATTGTCAATAAAATAGGAAAGCATGATATTGATTTTTTTATTCAGATATGCCGATATTTTCAAACTAATTTTGGCCAATTGCCGATATACGCATATATATTTTTTTCACCTAGTTGCAGATAACTTCCAGTTTTAAGCTGAAATGGAGCTAACAATCGGTATCAAAGTGCCACATGTTCATGTGATGGCTTACTGGTAGATGCAGACATTGCAAAAACATTGACTGGGCAAAATAAGAAAGCTATTTAAAACTAAGGTTATATGAAAAACATGGTATATTGATTTAAATGTAACATCAGAGGAAATGTTCATTACTGGCCGGGACATTTCATTTTAAAGCCTTATCTGCCAATAGTGCAGTGTGTACTTCTACTGACCTGTGTGAGAGGACTGCAAAGGTGCGGTCTCTCTGGATGATGCTCCGCATCATGCTGACCTCCTGCGGCCTGAAGAGCTGCAGAGGCAGCGTCTGGCCGGGCACCAGCATCACAGCCGTGTGAGGCAGCACAGGGATGGTCTGACAGCTGTCCTCATCGTGGACCGTACGGCCGTGGAACTCCTCCATGTCTAAGCCCAGGTACTGCCAGCACAACAAACAGTCAACACCACCAGACCACAACAGCTGCTACTACCTTACTTCTGAATGATCAATTAGTAATTGATGGTAAAAAATCTCCATTTGGGCCATTATCTGTAGAAATAAAAGTGGCATGACTCACAGAATGTGATGTGGGAAGACTGGGATCAAAGTTGATGGTGGTGTGCTTCTCTGTCCCCTCACTGTCTCGTTCTTCAGTCTCCATGTCATCTTCTATGTCATCTCCCTCCTCCTCTTCCTCATTATCTGTCATAGCACACAAGCACAGTGGTGAGTCTAGTGTGCAGCTGCAACTTTAGATACATTAGAGTAGTTTAGATTAGATCTACTTTATTGTGCACCTGAATGGATATGTGTCTACACACACCATTAAAACATATATACAATAGTGCAAATGGGCATGTAGGAGCGGTAAATTATACAATTAAGGAAGGACATTTGATTAAAAAAAGCAAGCGTTCCCTCATCATTTTCAGTGCAATGCCTTTATGGCTTAAGTAATAAAATACCTCTTATAGATATTGTTAGCTATGTTTGTGTTTAGCCTTGTTGATTGCAACACTGTCAAATATATCGTAAATTGTTTGTGTGGCTTTCAAATCACTAACAACTTTGGAGAGCTTATTTTTGCTCGTTATCCTCTTAATAAGCCACGCTGATGGTAAAACGAAACAAAGTGTGAGGTCTATAAAATGAGTCAGTGAGGGTGTGATGTGTGACGGTGGCCTGTTGAGGAAGAGTTAGCTCGCAGTTAGCAGCACGGGGAGACGGACGCTGCCCCAATGAGAACCCGGCAGGTAACCCTGTCCCCCGCTGAGGGGCACCGTTACCTGGTAAAAGCTGCAGCTGGTTCCCCATAATGTCGTTAAGGTTGTCTTCTTCTGCAGCCCTCTCGTCAGCCATATCCCTCCCTGTGTTTACAATGCTGACTCTTCTTCTTCTTCTTCTTCTTCTTCGATGTACAACATTAAGGAAAAGCTCGAGCGCCCCCTCGCGATGTGTGACGTTCCTTAAAACTGGATGCAACTATCAGGCTCCTTTTCATTGAAAAAGCCTAATGAAAGAAACAGTTGCTTAGTATATAAAACAACTACACAAGCCAGAATATATCACAGCGGAAAGTAACTATGTGCTATATTCAAGTACTGCATTTAATTACAATGTTGAGGTTCTAATACTTACAAGTACGACTACTTATCAGACAGTTTTTGATACTCTGAAAATGTAACATTTGAGGTTCAAGATGTAACAAAAATATGTATCATGGGTAATAATACTTCAAGATAAACTGTATTAATCCCTTGGTGACGTTTAAAAGCCACCCAACTGCGTAATTAGTCGAATAAAAAAAACATGAATACATCACTATTTATAATCCAATAATAACATACACTATTTTTCCGTTGTGCACGATGGGTACTTTTTGTGCTGAAGAACAGGGGGCTGATGAAGGCTAATATGTATATACTAGTGTTATTCATAGTTGTCTTATTTTATATATAGAACTTTAACTTGTAGCACAACATTTATACCTTTTGGTATGATTAATTTAGATGAGTATTACTCTGAGTACCTTGTTCTAGATCTCATTGATCTTGTAATGATTGCCAGTTCTGATATTTAACCAGCTGTAGGATGCCAAAACCGAGACACAGTTTCTTTCAGGTAAAATCCAAAAGGATCTGATCTAGTCTAAAGTGAAAACTTTTTTCAGAGTTACAGGAGCTCAAAACACTTTTTGTATAATGTAATCTGAATTTATTTTTGAGTTTATTGGCTATTAAAATGATTATGATATTAATTGTGACATGGTTTCTTTGTCAGTATTGTTAATTTGTCATTGGTGTTATGAAATCAATAATGATCTTACAATATCAAACCCTGCTGATTATTTGGTTGTTACATTTTACTTTACCAATGTACACCCTCCCAATCCCGGCGACATACATTCACGTTGTAAAGGTGTATTTCATATCATACATTTCAAGAAAATAAAAAATATATATTTAATTTTGTGGTTCTCCACTTTCAGTAAGTCTTCATCCGTGCCAGTTTGTAAACCCAATGCAAATGTTAAAGAAAAATGTGTTTTACTAAAGAGGTTATACATAACACATTACTAGAACATTTAAAGTCTGAAGTGGCATCCAGTGCTCCTTTTGACAGTAATCAAACTCAAGTGAGACACAATCTGATGTTTCACAGAAAGTCCTTGATGTGAACACACCTAAGTGCTCACTCCACAAGGACAAGTTGTTTAGTGTATTAAATTGGAGGTGGAAGGTTAGCACAATTCAAGCTGCAAATTAATGTCACTTTTTATTCTTACTCTCCTTTCTTGCCGCTAATGTTGATTTATTATATTTGTACCTTATTGCACAATTTTAAAAGCATTTAGTTTAATGCTTGACACTGCTGCTGGAACAAAATATCCTAACTATCTAAGAGGAATTTCAGCAATGCAAGTTATAATTTGCTAGGCCAAGAGTTTTTTCCTGGAATACTCTCATATTTCCGACCATAGACTGCAGCTAAATGGATATATAGCCGCTTGTGTTTAGTAAAACACTGGCTCTACCAGCAACTGACTAAACACATGTATTGGGCTTTATCTCAGCCTTTAGAGTTTTCACTTATGGAACTGTAGCACAAGTCTCACTAATTTAAGGTAATTGGAAACTCATGTTTTTAACACTTGGTTCCAGACTCTTAGGCTGCATTTAGATCATGTGCTTCACAGACCCAAAGAGACTAGTAAGTAACATGACTGACACATGCCAGAGCCATGTTTCAGACCAAGCTACTGAGGCCTCGGAATAGCAGCTAAAAGAACTGAGCACAAAACTGACTGAAACCGTGGCTCAATTTTTAACAGTGTTCCATTTATTGTTAAATACACCACATGACAGTTGTATTCTGGTCCATTAACAACGCAGCTGTAATTCTGATGTCGGGAGGTCGTCCAGCATCTTAGCCTCGTCCAGTCAGACGTTCACAGGCGGCTCCATGAGGCGCACAGTCAGCAGAAATCAGGTGTAGGCCTTCGATCCACTGATGGAGGCTTCACTTCAGCCGCACGCTTCAGTCATCAGGGGAGGCTCCGATGGGAATACAGCTGAAGAAGAAGAGGGCCTACTTCGACCTCTGCCTCATCTTTCTCCTTTTACGCTTCAGTCTGTTAGAAGAAACAAAATACAGCAGGTCAATAAATATTCAATTTAATGCACAATAGCCATTTAAGAATACACTTGACATCTTAGTGACCTTATAGGTTTAATTGCCAATTCAATCAAGTTACAACACTACATTTAGGGGAAGGTATAATATCCCTTATCAATGTTTAAGTCAGCCCAAAGGAAAATGGTTTTTAGAAATGCCACCTCTGTTTTGACAGCTCATTAAAGCTAATGAATGCTTACATTTCAAAGTCATGAGGCCGACTGCTTTACAGTGCATAAGGCCATTTTAAAGTATTGAGTTGTAAGGTTGAGTCAAAATGTGCACAATTACTAAGATCCACATTTGGAATCTACAACATGAATCATTTAGTTAGTGTATCCAAGGGCCATGTCTGTGGAATAGGCTGTTAATACAGACATTGAAATAAAGTTGTCTGTTGTAAAAGCAAAGCGACTATTGATTTTTTCCCCATAAATATATTCATCGACATAAAGTACAATGTCTTTTAAAGAATTGGATCCTTTTGGAAGTCTTGATTTCTCATCATCATACAACTAAGTCAGTAGATTTAACACATGTTGCACCTACTGTGATACAGTCGACTCGATTTGTTTAGCCCCACAACTCAGATTTGCAATAGTGCATGTATCAAAATCATATGAAACATTTACTAGTAACTTAGTTTTTGTATTAAATAAATTGAATCATTGCTTACCTGCGCATACGCTTCTTCTTCCACTGGAAGACAAGAGACATATTTATTAGCTCAACATCACAGCAAGTGCATTCACTGGGCCATGTGTTTCCTCCCACTTATTGACTGCATGCTTCTCATAATACTAATGCAACCACATACTGCAGTGCTGACTATAAAGGTGATGAACACATTAAAGTCAGTCACCAAACTACGTCTTCCTTTCATTAACAGACAGGATATCAAGGAGAGCTTCCCTAGCTAGCATTTTAGCATGCACTGATGCGGGCCTTCCTGCACCAAAAGCCTTCACACATCTTTCAACACAATTAGAAGTAAAAACTGAAGATTAGCTATTGTTCTAACAACTACAGAAGAAACAGCTTTGTCTAGCAAAACGTTTTCAGTTATTAAGTCAAGAAAAAGCAGCACAGGCAGTGCTAATGAGATGCTAGCTAGCAGCAGCATTGTCTAGGACAGGAAGAAGATCAACACTAATATACCAACACAGGTAGGTCAACTCACCTTGCCTCTCATCGTGAGGAGAAGGTTCTGTGAGAACCTCAGTGGGAGAAGAGCAGTGGAAAGAGGATGTGCCGAAGAGTGAGGGCGGTATTTATACAAAAAATGAATATAACCCTAACCCTAACTACTTTTTGTATAATTGAATCAGAATTTATTTTGAGTTTATTGGCTATTAAGATGACTGTGATGTTAATTTCCTTACATTGTTTCTTTGTCAGTATTCTTACTTTTCATTGGTGTTATGAAATCAATAATGATCTTACAATATGAAACCCTGCCAATTATTTGGTTGTTACATTTTACTTTACCAATGTACACCCTCCCAATCCCCAATTCAGGCGACATATGTATACATACACGTTATAAAGGTGTATTTCATATCATGCATTTCAAAGAAATATAATATATTGAAATGCTCCACCTTCAGTAACTCTTGATCCCTCCTTGTTTGTAAACCCCTGGATAATGCTGATGTTAAATGTGTTTTTACTAAAGAGGTTATACATAACACATTACTAGAACATTTAAAGTCTGAAGTGGCATCCAGTGCTCCTTTTGACAGTAATCAAACTCAAGTGAGACACAATCTGATGTTTCACAGAAAGTCCTTGATGTGAACACACCTAAGTGCTCACTCCACAAGGAGTATAGTGTTTAAATTGGAGGTGGAAGGTTTATTATATTTGTACCTTATTGCACATTTTGTGTAATGCTTGACACTGCTGCTGGAGCAAAATAATATGCCAACTATCTGTTAAAAGGGATTACAGCAATACAAGTATAATTTGCTAGGCCAAGACTAAGAGTTCTCCTGGATTATTGCATTTCAGCCAAATTAATCCGACCATATACTGCAGCTAAATGGATATATAGCCGCTTGTGTTTAGTAAAACGCTGGCTCTAACAGTAACTGACTAAACACATGTATTGGGCTTTATCTCAGCCTTTAGAGTTTCCACTTATGGAGCTGTACCACAAGTCTCACTAATTACAGTAATTGTAAACTCGTGTTTTTAACACTTGGTTCCAGACTCTTAGCAGGCTGCATTTAGTTCACACACCCAAAGAGACTCTAGTAACATGACTGACACATGCCAGAGCCATGTTTCAGACCAAGCTACTGAGACCTTGGAATAGCAGCTAAAAGAACTGAGAACAAAACGAACTGAAACCATGGCTCAATTTTTAACAGTGTTCCATTTATTGTTAAATACACCACATGACAGTTGTATTCTGGTCCATTAACACCGCAGCTGTAATTCTGATGTCGGGAGGTCGTCCAGCATCTTAGCCTCGTCCAGTCAGACGTTCACAGCCGGCTCCATGAGGCGCACAGTCAGCAGAAATCAGGTGTAGGCCTTCGATCCACTGATGGAGGCTTCACTTCAGCCGCACGCTTCAGTCATCAGGGGAGGCTCCGATGGGAATGCAGCTGAAGAAGAAGAGGGCCTACTTCGACCTCTGCCTCATCTTTCTCCTTTTACGCTTCAGTCTGTTAGAAGAAACAAAAAATACAGCAGGCGAATAAATATTCAAGTTAATGCACAATAGCCATTTAAGAATACACTTGACATCTTAGTGACCTTATAGGTTTAATTGCCAATTCAATCAAGTTACAACTCTACATTTAGGGGAAGGTATAATATCCCTTATCAATGTTTAAGTCAGCCCAAAGGAAAATGGCTTTTAAAAATGCCACCTCTGTTTTGACAGCTCATTAAAGCTAATGAATGCTTACATTTCAAAGTCATGAGGCCGACTGCTTTACAGTGCATAAGGCCATTTTAAAGTATTGAGTTGTAAGGTTGAGTCAAAATGTGCACAATTACTAAGATCCACATTTGGAAATATCTACAATATGAATCATTTAGTTAGTGTATCCAAGGGCCATGTCTGTGGAATAGGCTGTTAATACAGATATTGAAATAAAGTTGTCGGTTGTAAAAGCAAAGCGACTATTGATTTTTTCCCCATAAATATATTCATTGACATAAAGTACAACGTCTTTTAAAGAACTGGATCCTTTTGGAAGTCTTGATTTTTCTGATCATCATACAACTAAGTCAGTAGATTTAACACATTTTGCACCTACTGTGATACAGTCGACTCGATTTGTTTAGCCCCACAACTCAGATTTTCAATAGTGCATGTATCAAAATCATATGAAACATTTACTAGTAACTTAGTTTTTACAGGGTTGCCAACTTGGGGTACCTGGCTGGAGTGAGATTTTGATATCATGGGTTTAATTTACACATATGCGCACTAAATGACTGCTATCGTGTCAGCAGCGGGACCTTAGCATATATATATATATAGGATATATATACAAATACACAATATTGGACACAGACTATAAAGGACACAGTTTCATTCATTAATGAAAGTCAAACACATGTTTGTTTCCACTGTTTTATTGTGTGCCTGTCGCGATAAGCAATAAATTGACTTATCGTATGATAAATAAAAATGAACTCGATAACTTCCCCATTTACATGAGGATGTGACTAGCAGTTTGAAAGGATGTACTTGAATTATTATATATTATCATTATGTCAGTGGTCTAAAATGGTCATACAACGGTGCCGACAATATCATCGTTTATCGCAATAATTTCCGGGAAAATGAATTATCGTGAGAGGCCTATACATGAAACACACACACAAATCTACAGACTTACTCCAAACATATTAATTAACACACTCTCACATACTCTTTGACAACAATAAGCAGCAGACTTTTACTTTTTTATCATTTCTACTGGATCTTAGATCTGCGCTTGCGCAATACGTGTCGGCAGTTGCGAGAGAGTATTTGTGTTGGGTAATCTATGGTAGGGCTAACCCATACAGTGGTGGGGCTCAAGTCAGTATTTGCAATGTAATTACATACACGCTCCCCTTGACAGTGAAACTCCACGTGTGAGGTTTAGATTATTTCCCTGTCTCAATCCAAATGGAACTGTATGAAATAAAAAGTCACATTTGTCTTGTAGTAAATAAAAAGGGCGACCTGGAGCCAATCCTGCAACTTCCCCACAGGTGAAAGAGTTGACATGTTGAAAACCCAACCCCTGCAGGGGGGTCTGGGTGGATTATCCCCCAGGAGATTTTTTTAAATACCAACATAAAATACACATTCTGGTACTCTCTTGAGAAGAAAAATAAATACATTTATTACTACACGACATATTTAAAAAAAAAATGAATGCCATTTTTGTTTTTTGTTACTTTGTTCTGAAAGCTGAACCTGCTGCTCCTCACAGAGAGAAGAGGGAAGGGGCTGTGTGAATTACTTTACATTGTGGATAGCCCCCATTGTTCTGTGTGTCAAAATGAAAGAGAGCCCACACACCTATCAATCATCAAACCGTGGAGTCTTATTTCATTACGTGTTGATAAAAGTATTCTCCGTGGGGACTTCCTGCAACAACACCACGCCGTTATCTTGATTCTGATTGGCCAGAAGACATTATCAAAGATGTTCTATTGAAAGACGATCACTAGGCTACCTGACAAAAGTTTTCAAAACCGTTTCTAGTCTTCGGTATTCTTGTTTTTGGCGTGAGAATAGTTTGGGCAGCGTGAGATTGAGAGTGAAATCGTGTGTCACACGCCAGATGCGTGAGAGTTGGCAACCCTGGTTTTTGTATTAAATAAATTGAATCATTGCTTACCTGCGCATACGCTTCTTCTTCCACTGGAAGACAAGAGACATATTTATTAGCTCAACATCACAGCAAGTGCATTCACTGGGCCATGTGTTTCCTCCCACTTATTGACTGCATGCTTCTCATAATACTAATGCAACCACATACTGCAGTGCTGACTATAAAGGTGATGAACACATTAAAGTCAGTCACCAAACTACTTCTTCCTTTCATTAACAGACAGGATATCAAGGAGAGCTTCCCTCGCTAGCATTTTAGCATGCACTGATGCGGGCCTTCCTGCACCAAAAGCCTTCACACATCTTTCAACACAATTAGAAGTAAAAACTGAAGATTAGCTATTGTTCTAACAACTACAGAAGAAACAGCTTTGTCTAGCAAAACGTTTTCAGTTATTAAGTCAAGAAAAAGCAGCACAGGCAGTGCTAATGAGATGCTAGCTAGCAGCAGCATTGTCTAGGACAGGAAGAAGATCAACACTAATATACCAACACAGGTAGGTCAACTCACCTTGCCTCTCATCGTGAGGAGAAGGTTCTGTGAGAACCTCAGTGGGAGAAGAGCAGTGGAAAGAGGATGTGCCGAAGAGTGAGGGCGGTATTTATACAAAAAATGAATATAACCCTAACCCTAACTACTTTTTGTATAATTGAATCAGAATTTATTTTGAGTTTATTGGCTATTAAGATGACTGTGATGTTAATTTCCTTACATTGTTTCTTTGTCAGTATTCTTACTTTTCATTGGTGTTATGAAATCAATAATGATCTTACAATATGAAACCCTGCCAATGATTTGGTTGTTACATTTTACTTTACCAATGTACACCCTCCCAATCCCCAATTCAGGCGACATATGTATACATACACGTTATAAAGGTGTATTTCATATCATGCATTTCAAAGAAATATAATATATTGAAATGCTCCACCTTCAGTAACTCTTGATCCCTCCTTGTTTGTAAACCCCTGGATAATGCTGATGTTAAATGTGTTTTTACTAAAGAGGTTATACATAACACATTACTAGAACATTTAAAGTCTGAAGTGGCATCCAGTGCTCCTTTTGACAGTAATCAAACTCAAGTGAGACACAATCTGATGTTTCACAGAAAGTCCTTGATGTGAACACACCTAAGTGCTCACTCCACAAGGAGTATAGTGTTTAAATTGGAGGTGGAAGGTTTATTATATTTGTACCTTATTGCACATTTTGTGTAATGCTTGACACTGCTGCTGGAGCAAAATAATATGCCAACTATCTGTTAAAAGGGATTACAGCAATACAAGTATAATTTGCTAGGCCAAGACTAAGAGTTCTCCTGGATTATTGCATTTCAGCCAAATTAATCCGACCATATACTGCAGCTAAATGGATATATAGCCGCTTGTGTTTAGTAAAACACTGGCTCTAACAGTAACTGACTAAACACATGTATTGGGCTTTATCTCAGCCTTTAGAGTTTCCACTTATGGAGCTGTACCACAAGTCTCACTAATTACAGTAATTGTAAACTCGTGTTTTTAACACTTGGTTCCAGACTCTTAGCAGGCTGCATTTAGTTCACACACCCAAAGAGACTCTAGTAACATGACTGACACATGCCAGAGCCATGTTTCAGACCAAGCTACTGAGACCTTGGAATAGCAGCTAAAAGAACTGAGAACAAAACGGACTGAAACCGTGGCTCAATTTTTAACAGTGTTCCATTTATTGTTAAATACACCACATGACAGTTGTATTCTGGTCCATTAACAACGCAGCTGTAATTCTGATGTCGGGAGGTCGTCCAGCATCTTAGCCTCGTCCAGTCAGACGTTCACAGCCGGCTCCATGAGGCGCACAGTCAGCAGAAATCAGGTGTAGGCCTTCGATCCACTGATGGAGGCTTCACTTCAGCCGCACGCTTCAGTCATCAGGGGAGGCTCCGATGGGAATACAGCTGAAGAAGAAGAGGGCCTACTTCGACCTCTGCCTCATCTTTCTCCTTTTACGCTTCAGTCTGTTAGAAGAAACAAAATACAGCAGGTCAATAAATATTCAATTTAATGCACAATAGCCATTTAAGAATACACTTGACATCTTAGTGACCTTATAGGTTTAATTGCCAATTCAATCATGTTACAACACTACATTTAGGGGAAGGTATAATATCCCTTATCAATGTTTAAGTCAGCCCAAAGGAAAATGGTTTTTAGAAATGCCACCTGTTTTTGACAGCTCATTAAAGCTAATGAATGCTTACATTTCAAAGTCATGAGGCCGACTGCTTTACAGTGCATAAGGCCTTTTCAAAGTATTGAGTCGTAACTTTAATTGAAAAAGGTGCACAATTAAAGTAATTACTTAGATCCCCATTTGGATCAATCTACAACATGAATCATTTAGTGTATCCAAGAGCCATGTCTGTGGAATAGGCTGTTAATACAGACATTGAAAATAATCTGTTGTGAAAGCAATGTGACTGATTTTTTGCCATATAATGGTGCATGTCTTTTTTTTTTTTTAAAGAACTGGAACCTTTAGTAAGTCTGGATTTTCTCACTACACCATATTACCAATTGAGTATCTTTAACACTTTTATAACAAATGTTGCACCTACTGTGATAATTTCACTGAATTTGTTTAGCCCCACAACTCAGATTTTCAATAGTGCATGCATAAAAATCATATGAAACATTTACTAGCAACTTTTTTGTATTAAATCCATTGAATCATTGCTTACCTGCGCATACGCTTCTTCCTCCACTGGAAGAAAGAGAAATATTTATTAGCTCAACATCACAGCAAGTGCATTCACTGGGCCATGTGTTTCCTCCCACTTATTGACTGCATGCTTCTCATAATACTAATGCAACCACATACTGCAGTGCTGACTATAAAGGTGATGAACATATTAAAGCGGAAAAGTCAGTCACCAAACTACGTCTTCCTTTCATTAACAGACAGGATATCAAGGAGAGCTTCCCCAGCTAGAATTTTAGCATGCAATGATGCGGGCCTTCCTGCACCAAAAGCCTTCACACATCTTTCAACACAATTAGAAGTAAAAGCTGAAGATAAGCTATTGTTAGAATAACTACAGAAGAAACAGCTTTGTCTAGCAAAACGTTTTCAGTTATTAATTCAAGAAAAAGCAGCACAGGCAGTGCTAATCTGCTAGCTAGCAGCATTGTCTAGGACAGGAAGAAGATCAACACTAATATACCAACACAGGTAGGTCAACTCACCTTGGCTCTCATCGTGAGGAGAAGGTTCTGTGAAAACAATACATATACAATTATTAGTAACTGCGGATGACTTGTAAAACATAAAGATTAGTTTGGATTCAGATGGCAGTTAAAATGTTCAACGTACCTCAGCGCGAGAAGAGCAATGGAAAGAGGATGTGACGAAGAGCGAGGGCGGTTTTTATACACAAAATGACGTCATGCTCAACCGCCAACTGTTGTTTTTCCTACAATCGCTGGGAAATGTAGTCAAGGAACGACCAATGTAGTTTAATTAGGATATGGCGCCCAGTTTAAATAAAAATAGTTTTGTTTTTTTCAAAACGATATACTGAAACTAGGAACAGCTTTCAGGACCTTTAACAAAAGCAAGTATAATATTTTTGGAATCAATAGACCTTGTGCTTTGTTTTGAAAGCACAAGCACTCTATCTTTAACTAGAGAATTCACTCATAATTATAATTGTTAATTTATTTTTAAAATACTTCTACTTATAATTATAGTAATATTACTCATAACTATTATTATAATAATAATAACTATTATTATTATTATTATTATTATACAGACAGCAATAACTGCGCTGACCTGGGACCTAAGATTTTCATCCTCATAACTCACTGTATGTACCTATGACTAATAAAAGCCTTGAACATTGGTTATGCCTGTACGTTTTATGTTATTTTCTAAATAATGACATAAAAATCTTTAGAAATTAGATCAGGGTTGCGTTCCGATAATCCAAAAATCAGCTCCTAAATTCTAACCCTATTTCCTATTCCTTGACCTCTGAGTGAAACGTCACGGGGTTAAGGGATAGTGGATAGGAGAATTCAAAAGGACTTAGGAGAAGAGACTGCGGTACTTTAGAGAATCCGAATGCACTTTCACTATCCGACGTGTTTATGATGCGCCAGCGGACGTCATGAATGTGCGTCTGCTGCTGTGGGGAAACTACAGTTTTCTATTCAGCGGACTACAACATGGATGTTTAATAAGAACGAGGGACTACTGTAAACTCATCTAGAGACTCTGCACCGTGCTCTGATGCTGTTGCTTTATGCTTTATGAACGTGGACAACAGAGAAACATATTCTTCATGACCAAAGTTGGAATTTAAATAAAAAAGGAAAGTGAAACTTATGCTCGCACCCTCTCCCTCCGGTCCACATGAATACAAATGATCCCAATACGTATGATTGTATGAACTATGAAAATATCTTAAAATCAATACAAATGTATTTATTATAAACGTTAGTCCTTAACATCTATCACTGCATATCACCATTCAAACATCTTTTAAAAGTTGAACAAACTCCACACAGCTCAGTAAAGACTGTGAGATGTTGACTTTATTTGATCGTTTCAGTAAAAACTAACGTTCATATTTCTCTTTTTGATTATAATACTGATGAACGTTCAGAAAAAAGCACTTTGGCAACTTACCACATACGTTTTAAAATGCTTAATAAGCACCGTAACTTTCATGATATCATTTCTCGGTCATAATCGTTTGTGTCCGTGAACGGCCGACTGTTGAGTGACGGCAAATGCTGCGGCTGCAATGCATTGTGGGGCAGCATTTTCTCCTCTCCTTTCGGTTAGGGAGGTCCAGTGGTTCATAAGCTAAAGGAGGTTATAAAGGAAGTTTGAAACCTCCTTTCCTTTCATTTGGAGAATTGGAACGGCACTTATCATGGCTGCCAGTGACGTACTTCCGGGTCATTTCACTCCGTTAGGAAGGTTCCTAAGCTAAATTGACTATTGGAATGCAACCCAGGTTTATTCTTGATCTTTTCATGCTACTATTATTTCAAGGTGCCAGACTATTATCTTCCTTTTAATCACATGTGAAGGCTCATCAGCTGATCTACAGCTTCCTATAATTGTTCTGTTTATTTTTCAATGTACGATTGACTTACTCTGTGCTTTTTATTTGTAATGTTAAGAATAAAGTACACTGTCATCATTGTATTATCAGCTAAATGTTTTCTATGCTTATATTGTATGCAAAACACTAACATAATGCTAAGCAGAGGTGTGATATCATTAGCGATCATTCTTTGGTACATTAGTTGGAAAATCAATCATATAAAAAGACAGGAATGTCAGTGTTTTTGTTAAGTCAAATCAAATGTATATATAATGTTACCATAATCACCCAACATGGCCTAATACATACTGAGATGTTACAAATTCTATCCCAAATAGATTAGTACATCTTATATATAAGGGGCTAATCCTTTTTCCAATACTGAAGTTTGACAAAACACAGCAAAAACCCAACAGAAATGTATGAAAATGTTTTTATTTCCTTAGATGTTCATTGCCCACTGATTGAGCTACAATGCAGGATTTGACTTTCTTTCAAGACCCAGACCTCGAAATCAAACTCAGACCTTAAGGATCTTAATGGTCCACTGAAGAGACCCATAAAACCTTCGAAGTTGGCCCACTTCAGTTTTCACTCTTCACAAGGCTTATGACATAGTAAAGAAATTAGCAGATGTCATCAATAGAAAAAACGTTTTCAAAACTAGAACGTATATATTTTTTCAAGGGGATGGCAGTAAATATAGCAGTTTTGATCGCCAACGTCAAACTGATACGGTATGTTTTTTGCTTGTTTACACAGTCTTGTGCTCAGGTAATACTTTGTGTTAAGAGTCAAGTGGTTGAAACATTGTAGATTTAACCAAAGAAGTTGTAAGGCCTATGATGGAAGACTAACCCTGACTACATACACAAAAGCCAACTTTTCAGTTACAGTTGATGAATTCACTGTCAAGTGTCGATATGGTTTTGTTTTAATTGATAATTTAACCCTTTACTGCATAATATAGTTGGTGTGTAACGGGCAGAGAGTTTGGGGCAATTTGTTGTTTTCTCCTGCTTCTCTTTGGGGTCCTCCGTGTATGGAAAGGCAGTATTTATTTATTCTACGGCTTCCGTTTCCTCGGCTGGCTGTCCAGTTGCGGTTTCTGCTGTCTTTGAGGCCTGTATAGGGTGAAAGAGAGATCAGTGAGGGGACGCAAAAAGACAGCGAGGTCAATGGGGTGAGGGTTCCTTGTTAGAAAAATAATTTACCTTCTTTTTCTTCTTCTTCTGTGTTTTACGGCTTGCAGAACTCTCTAACAAAGTCTGGTGGAAAGGACAGAGACATTTTAGTATAAAAATAAATATGATCTTCAGTGCACGCAGTTTCTGTGTGACAAAGAAACTTGTAAGTATGCCATATAGAAGTGAGTTAACTATCTCACCCTCAGCTCTGCGTCCTGCACCTCATGCTCTGACTTATAGAGCTCCGGATCGAAGAGCCCGTTGGTGATTCTGTGAGGCCCGTTGGCCATCAGCAGCACTGTGAACTTAAACTGAGCTACACACTCTCCTAAGAACAAAGACACAGAAGGAAGGAGACGTAAATAAAAAGTAAAGCTGTCAAAAAAAACAAAAGCATTATAAGAGGTGAACACTCACCCTCTTTCTCGTGTAGCACACCGAAGGGCTGAAGCAGTTCGTGTTTGGTACACTCCACCACACCCAGTCGAGCTTTGGCCTCATCCTCAAACGCCCTGATTGACAATAATGGTGGAATAAAGAAAGTGCTCAAGCCAAAAAATATTTGACCCTCTGAACCCCACGCGGTCTCACGGCTTTTATTGTTCCTGGAAAATGTTTTACTTATATTGGCCTATTGTTTTCAATATTGCAACATTAGTCCTGCACCTCTAGAAACAGCTGAATCATTGTTAGAAGTAGAACACAAACCCAAAATGTCAGTTCAACAGATTCATAATCATTTTTATTTATCAAAAATACTCTAGTTGGATTTCTTTCATAATTTATTTAACAAAAATGTTGAATATATGGATTACACAAGATATTTTTTCCAAGTGTTACTAATATTAGTTTTTTTTTTAAAAAAAGGGCTCCACAGGATAAAGTCATTAACCAATATGAACATCTTTAAATCAGGGTTCCTGCAGGGTTCACCAACTCAAATGTAAGACAACTTTGAATAGCATTTAAGACCTATTTCACAGCAAGAAAGTATGAAGGAAAATTGCTATGAAAGAAGAAATACGTCCCATAATTATTTCAAAGTAAATGTATTCACGTTAAACATAAGAACGATAACTGAACATAACAGCACACAGAACTGTGTGCCAGGAAAAAAAAGAACTTCCTAACTGTGAAAGTGTGTTTTTGCTTTACGCTGTGTGCGCTCCCGCGAAGTGCATGCATATCTCGGCGGGCATGCATAACACCGGTGCACGAGCGGTCTCTCGCTAGCTGAAGCTTGGTTGCTAAGTTACTAGCTGGGTGTTCTCCGATAAGGGGTCGGGGGGGATGCAAAGTTAGTGATTACTGGTTCCATGTTGATTTATTTCAATACAAATTGTTGGGGGGAATTGAAAGGCTATTACCATACTGGTTACTTTGCAGCCCGGACATTTCCCCCAAAACACAGTTAGACGTGATCGCAACACAGAAGTACCTTTCAAATCCGATCATTTTTAAGACCTACTAAATCATATTTAAGACATTTCTTATTTTTTTGATCATATTTAAGACTTTTTAAGGCCTTAAATTCTGATTATCAAATGTACGACTTTTTAAGACCCCGCGGGAACCCTGTTAATACCTCTCAGCCAAGTCAATCAAGACAACCAAGTAGCACTAGGCTGGTTGGCGCAAATTGTTTATTTGTTGGCAACATTTTAATGAGTTATTCATAATAATGTGAGGATAGCATGATCTGTCTGTTTATGGGTGTGAATAGGTATCATTTCGTCAGATTTCTGAAGAAAAAATGCTTCTCAAACCTGCTGGTGTGCTTAAGGGCTCAGAGGGTTAATACTCAACTTCAATCCCTTTTAAAATATGAGCAGGTGGTTGCCCATGTACAGTTGCAAGAAGAAGTATGTGAACCCTTTGGATTCTCCACACATAGCGTTGTGTGTTCCTTCCAAACAACTCAACTTTGGTTTCATCTGTCCACAGAATATTTTGCCAGTAGTGCTGTGGAACATCCAGGTGCTCTTTTGCAAACTTCAAACGTGCAGCAATGTTTTTTCTGGTGGTTTCTCCGTGGTGTCCTCCCATGAACTCCATTCTTGTTCAGTGTTTTACGTATCGTAGATTCGTCAACAGAGATGTTAGCATGTGCCAGAGATTTCTTTAAGTCTCTAGCTGACACTCTAGGATTCTTCTTCACCTCATTGAGCATTCTGCGCTGTGCTCTTGCAGTCATCTTTACAGGACGGTCACTACTAGGGAGAGTAGCAACAGTGCCGAACTTTCTCCATTTATAGACAATGTGTCTTACCGGACTGATGAACATCAAGGCTTTTAGAGATACTTTTGTAACCCTTTCCAGCTTTATGCAAGTCAACAATTCTTAATCGTAGGTCTTCTGAGAGCTCTTTTGTGCGAGGCATGGTTCACATCTGGCAATGCTTCTTAAGAATAGCAAATTCAAAACTGGTGTGTGTTTTTTATAGGGCAGGGCAGCTTTAACCAACACCTCCAATCTCGTCTCATTGATTGGACTCCAGGTTGGCTGACTCCTGACTCCAATTAGCTCTTGAAGAAGTCTTTAGCCTAGGGGTCCACCCTGCACTGTGAATGTTTACATGGTGTGTGCATGAAAACATATAATTATTTGTGTGGTATTAGTTTAAGCAGACTGTGTTTGTCTATTGTTGTGACCTAGATGAAGATCAGAACACATTTTATGACCAACTTATGCAGAAATCCAGGTAATTCCAAAGGGTTCACATACTTTTTCTTGCAACTGTATATTTGTAGTTACAAACAGAATTGGATTCATACCGGAGAGTAAAAGGCATGGCATCAAAGCGTCGTTCCACCTCGCTGAAGACCATACGGGAAGTTTTCATCTTCAAGCCGTACTGCTTACTGGGGTCCCTCTTATAAATGGTGGTCCTTAGACCTGCATCTCTGGCCTAATTTTAAATGACAGAAGGTGAACATTATAAGTATCTGTTTTGAACACAAGAAGAGTTTTTAGATACACGTTCTGCAGATATGGGTTAAGTAACCACAGAGCACACTGACCTTCCCTTCTCCGGTGCTAATCAAGACGTCCACAGCATAGACTTCATGTACCTCGAACTCCGCCTTCTCATGGTCCTTCCTGAAAATAAACAGCAGCCAGTGAAAACAAATGGTTTTGTACATTCATACTCAAGATTGGTACGGTTAATTAATATTTAGGATGATTCACAGCCTCAGATCTCTTTTTGTACAAAACAATTACTAAATGTACCTTTGCTGGTCTGACGGGTTCTGAATGATGGTCTTCTCTCCATCGATGATGTGTTGCTTTAGCTGATGAGACAGCATACCTTTAAACAAAAGGCCGGGAAGAAAAAACGCATATTAAAACAAGATTAAAAGAAAATCCCCCACTTGCATGTTAAGAACTCCTAAAAGTCATTGTTCTGTAAAGAGATACAAAAAGAACCACGATCATGTAAATGTGAACACTTGAGACACAGACGCTGTAAAGACACTCACCCTCTATTGGTGTGCATTTGAACGACTTGGCGATCTTGTTCCAGGCTTCTGTCACTTTTGAGTTCTGAGACAGAAAAATGCATATTACATTTTACGTAAAAAACAGTGTAGCACTGCAATTAAAAATGAGGGAAAAGCATCAGAGAAAATCCAAACGATTATTATTATTTTTGTATTGGTTTTTCAGTTGAATTATACTTAAAGTTCAGGGTAATTAACTGTTAAAAACATACTGTCAAATCTTTTTTTCCCAATAAATGTATGTTTTCAAAGTAAATGGATAATTGTTTTTTAATAATCGTGATATAAATTATTGACCCAAATAATCGAGATTATGATTTTTGCCATAATCGAGCAGCCCTACCTGATGTTGCCTTACACATAGAAAAATGACCAGCTGTATGACAGCTAGAGAGGGTAACTCATCATTATGGCTGATATGGAGCAGAGTCCTGATATGGAGCAGAGTCCTGCATCTGATTTTCCGAACCCGCCCCGCCATCCGCACATATTGCCAATTTGTTCCGCAAACCGACCTGACCCGTCAGTTGCGTATTTGGCTCAAAAAGCGTGGGATGTTGGTTATTTTCTCCATCTAGGATGACACCAAAAGCCTCCCAGACGTTGGATTTCGCTCTTGAGGAAGAGATATTGACAATGCTGTATCCTCCGCTAGAGAGCTTCACCTCAGCCATTTCGAACGTGGCGCGCTCAGCAGCAGATTGATGCAGTGCAGATTATGCGCGGTCCCGAGAGGGAGAGGTCTGATGATTTAAACATTAAATTATTATTATTTTTATATATGTATTATGCAACACCCGCGATTCGACCCGCATCTTCTTTGTTTTACCCAGAACCGAACCCAGATTTTTTTTTTAAAAATACCACCCGCTAATCACTTTTTTTGCGGATCACCAGTCGGGTACCCGATGCAGGACTCTGATATGGAGAAGAGCCTGTGAAGAAGTTGTTCCACGTACCTGGCTTCCAGGTTTAACAAGGCGAAGAGCTGCTTCTGCACACAGATGGGCTGCTTTGATTACATCAGCTTTCTTGCCTGTGATGGGGTTCTCCTGCAGGAATGAGACACAGAGAGAAGGGGAATTAAAGATGTCTTTATCTATAAAACACTAAAGGTGTATCTAAAACAGTTGCCTTTCTTTTTTCTAAACCAGGAGCTCACCTTACTGGCTCCCACCACAAAGCTGTGGGCAACATTGGCAATGAAGCCATCGACATGAACCCCTAGATCTCTACACAAAGAAAAGAAGAAAAGATGAGAGCTGTCCAGCTGTGTAGACAACGTATGTTGATGCAGGAAGATATAAAAACAAAATATATCAAATAACAATTTAATCTGTTAAGGCCATTAAATGTTAGATATACTGAAAGGTGAATTCCGTTTTGCCTGTACATCAGCTGGAATATATTGAAGGATTTATTGTGAATTCAAGGTAGTAGCACTAGAGACTGTAATAAATTGAACAGACAGAAGGTTAGGCTATGAGTGTGTGACTACTGCGAAACATACAAACATATTGTATGACCACATCACCACAGGCAACAACAACAAACATATTTACAACCTTGCAAATACACACGAAGTACAAACAACGATACAAAAGGACGAAAACACAAGTGGCAATACAACAAATAAGTTGAGCTGACTTTTCAAAGCAAAACATTTATAAAAATGTGATAACTGGAATCGAGCAGTTGGATGGGCATAAAAACATACCATTTAAAAAACTGCAGAAAAACCCCCGTTCTAAAAATTCCCAACCTTACTTGTCGTTTGCCACACAGGACAGACAGGAAGACGAGCGCTTACTGATGAAGCAGACAGGCAACAGCCAAGAGAAAACCCCCACATACAAGCCAAGATGGCACATAGAAAGAAGGGAGGACAACACACTGGCAGACTCAAGACACAACGGGAAGAACAGGGTGGACATTTTTGCCGAGAGTGGTGCCTACATTTTGACCAGATCCCCATCTTTAAGTGTGAAGTCAGGGTCACTCTTCAGGGGAGAGAAGTGGCAAACACAGTTATTGACTGAGACGCTGGTGGGAAACGCAATGCCTAGAAGAGGGAAAAGAAAACCACCATGTCTTCATTTGGAAATCATCCACAAGTTTAGCATGAAAACAGGGCTGAGAATCAACAATTGGAATCCTCTTTCTGGGTCCACCTCAGTTCACCAGAATTAAAACAGCCTTACTACTAGTTTCAATTTTGGCTCACCTTTTTTCATTTCCTTTTCCTTCTTGAAGACCTTTCCAGTCTCAGCCATGATATAGGCATCCCCCTTCTCACAGAGGCTGAGCACCAAGACCCCGGGCAGGGCTGTTTCCACAACCAGGCGAAGAGCCTCTGGGTGACACACAGAGAAAATTGATATGAGATTCAGAATAGGAACCACGTGGAGCAGTAATGAGATGTTGAAATATAAGATGAGAATTAAACAAGTCTTATGTTTCTATTATCTTAAAGGTGGGGGAGGTAAGTTTGAGAAACCGGCTTGAGAAACACTTTTTGTTATATTCCATGGAATGCTCTTAACATCCCGATAGCAATGAATATCTTAAGTGCTTTGACAAAAAATCCATAAAAATGTAATCTGTGGAAGCCGTAATACTGTAAAAAGCACGACCAATCATTTTTAGCCGGCCAGGCTAAAATAACTGGATGGCCTACCTGCCTGTCAGCCTTCCATCGGGGCACAAACTTATCTCGTGCCCTCATTGGTCATGTGCGCGTTCGTGTGTGTTGGAGGAGGGGCTCTGTACGGAAGTAGCCGATTTCTTCCGGCTGTGTATTTTCAAATTCTAGCGCACTCGAGCTGGTTTCTGGTTGCTCCAAAATTACCTCCCCACTTTTAATATGGCTCAAGTGTTTTTTAATTTTTTATAAAGGCTGCATTAGTAAAGTAATTTCCCGAATCAACCAGATGGTTCAAGATGTTCTATTAATAAATCAATCTTTATATCCATATCACTGTTGATGCATCTTTCAAAATATAATTTTGTAAATATTTTGTAGAGACTTTTATTTTATCATATCTACCACTCCAAATCATAAATAAACAAGGCATTATTTGTATGTGCATTGAATGATGATCTAGAAAAGTCAAACGCCCGGCTTACGATAATCTACCATGAATAACGTTACAATAACATGCCAAGTGAAACTATTATTAGTGCAGCAGATACATCAGCTTGTTAGTTAAATGTAAACTAATGAGCTGTCAAAGAAAATAAAGAGTTCATACTGGTGATGTCAAGAGGAAAACTGCACATAAAAGTAATGTTAGAGTTGCTGCCTGCTTATCTTAATGTTAAGCTGACAGCACTGGGCAACAGGCTGAGCTAGCTGGTTAGCTAGTTAGCATCTCACTTTAGTCTAAAGACAGGCAGTTCCCTCCAGTAAAGCCTAAAACGCCAACATTGATGAACAGTGAAAGGGGACCTAGCATTAGCTAAGAGTAAAGCAGCTGTGCCTGTTTGGTAGCCAGTGAGGACAGCATGTGTATGGCTCGCATGTTAACCACATGGCTGCTGCTGTGGGGAAACTAACGTTAGCTGTCTGCAGGCCGGAGAGAGCAGCATCAACGGCTACTCCTTTAACTGTACTCACGGTTGGCGATGTCACCACCCATCTTGTACTTGGTGACAACCAGGTCCTCTGCTATGGTCTGCTCTTTCTCGTCGTCAGACATCTTGGCAGTGAAGTTTCAGTCGCTCGTGCAAAGTGAAGGTTCCCCGCGCCACTGATCTGACGGATCCTGCTAACCACGGCCTCCCGCTGCCCGCCAAGCCGCGCCCCCTTCTACGTCACAGCGATGCCGACCCGCCAAAAACGGATGTATATTATGTATCATCCCTTTTTAAATGAGCAGTTATGCTAAAAATATCATGTGGCATTGGCTGTTTGGAGATGATACATAGGTTACCTTTCAATGTTTTGTTCTTTTTACAAAAATGTAGCTTCAGCTTCTTAATGACACTCAGATTAATTCAACATCAAATTTGTAGGCATTAGGCTGAATACAACGATACAGAAAGGTCACTGACCCACAGGCATTTCCTGTTATGTGAGAATAATCTGATAATAATCTGTTTCATTCACTCTTCGTAAATATATTAGTAAACAGTTACCAACTTGTTCTCAGCCTCAGCATTCAATAGATCATTTGTAGCAGCCCATGTTTTTTCACACAGATGGTCTGGAGGGGAAATCTGTGTGAGCAACAGTATATCTCAGTCAAAGCATACAATTTGAGCATGACAATCTAAGTTAAAACAGAGAAAATAAATCAAGGTCAACACACTGCAAAACACATAGCAAATTCTGATCCAACTATAGTTTCAATGGGAAGACAAATAACATTGAATTCAAAAGCATGATGTTGGGTCCTGCAAACATGGACATTGTGACCTAACAACCATAGTAACAACTTCCCCCTAAAATCACTGTGACATTGCTGCTGAAAAGGTCCAGAATTACCTTTCATGGTCTATTATTAGACCTGACTGAGGAAACGCACCTACAATTCACATAGTATACACATGTTAATGTTATATAGGTAAATTAAAAAATAAAAAGTTTGTGCATCATAATAGTTATTCAAAATATGTTTAATGAGTAGAAAATGCATTGCATATATCATCATTAAAAGAGGTCTCGAAACAAAAAAGTCCAAACTCCAAACAAACACATTTGTTCTCCAGAAAAATCTTTGTTCGTTTAAAAATGTAAACAGAAAAAAATAGCTTGTAATCTGTTCCTGTAAAGTTTTCAACACTCAGTGCTATTAGTTTTGGAAAATGCCCTAAAACATTGGTCTGAGAAAAAAATACAAGCTGTGAAAAAGTCATACATGTTGGGTTTTTGAAAATGTGTCATAGGCTACATTGATAATGGCTTTTGATTGTATGTTGGGTCCTTCATGAAAATATCTCAAAGTGAAGTTCATGAGATTAAAAACGTTCTTCATGTAGGCACTGATTTGGACTTCAGAAACAGCCTGCTGTGCCAGTAGTCAGGATTGTCAAAAGATCTGTCGGCGGCTGCTGTTTCCCCGACCCCGACTCCAGCTCGCACCTTGACATTGGGTTCAAACCCCGATCTATGTGCCTCTGTGCCCCCTACTGCTCCCTCCCCCTCCCTCTGCAGGTTGTGGTACACCACAGCGTCTCCAGACAGCAGGGCAGCAAAGGAGTCCATGTCTTCATACTCATACGCCTCATCCCTTCCCTCTACATTCAGCTCCTTCCTGTCCTGAAGAGCTTGACGCAGCTTCGGCTGTCTGTTTGTGTAATGATAGTTACTGTCCTCCACATATTCATCCTCCTTTTCCCCCGCCTCACCCTCCACCTCTCTGACCATACTTGCTGGTGCAGGAGGAGGAGGAGGTGGAGGAGGAAGAGGAGGAGGCTCAGGCGTTGGAGGGCTTGCATCTTTTTCACTACCCCTGATGTCCATGTATTCATATTCTACATCATCAGATCCCTGCAGCTCTGAATCAGAGTCGTAATTGCTTCTTGTGTGAGCCCCCCTGACCTCCACTGAGGATGTGGTGTCAGCTGAGCACGCTGTCGCTTGTGACGACACGGAGGAGGTGCGCTTCTTGTTGGGCTTTAGTAAATGGCTGCTGTGCCTGGGTGAAGGAGCTGTTAGACACGTCCGCTTGTTCATATACTCATAGTCTTCTTCATCTGGGTCGTCCAGGAGGCTCGCTGAATGAGACTTGCTCATCCTGCCAGGAGCAGCTCGAGACGAGGAAAGTAATGTATCTGAGAAGGGAAACAATTATAAATTAAGGTTCGCATTAGAATATTGTGTAAGGAAGTTAACACATAATGAGGATACACTGTCTTTTTTTTACAAGACAAGCCTTTTAATACAAATGTGAAATTAGTCAGCATTTCTGCCCTCCCTGTTGACTTGTCTCCAAGTCAGTGTTTTAAAAATAAAGTTTTTTTGCTGAGATGCCTAGAATAAGTTCTGTTTTATTATGGCTAGGCAATATGGGCTTGATTAACACATAAGATTAAATACCCTACACGTGAATTATTAAGTCCTTTAGTTGGATGTGACATATAGAGCAATTTTCCATGTAAGATGGTTGACAATATAATTTGAATAGAGAACAAATTTGATTAGTGCTATCACCTCTGCCTGGGCTGTCTCCAGGAAGCACATATCCGTTCTGGTCCTCTTCGTCCATCTCTGGTGATGGTGTCTCTGGAGGCCCGGCGGAAAAGCTGTCCCTCTGTGAGACGTAGGCGCTGTCCTCACGCTGACGTCGTCTCTTCAGGCTCCCGGTCATAGAAAAGTCTTCATTAATCTCCAGCTCCACTGTCGGGCCGCAGCCCTCCGAGCTCTCAGACACAGTGCGGGCTGAGTTTAGTCGAGAGCGCGACTGCCACATGGCCTACACAAGACACAAACACACAAGCATCACTAAAATGGCAACAGGAAGGACAATTGGATGATGTTGATAACAGCTTTAAAAATGTTTGGCTTATGTACATTAAAAAATTAAAAACAGTTTACATACAAAGGGACTTAAGGGGATATGTCGCTATTTTTGTAAGTGTGTGCAGACGAATATCACCTGCCTGACACAAAATATGTAATGTTTTGCCTCTAGAGGACTCCCAATTAAAACAATAACAAACAATGGATTTTAGTGATGTTATGAAGTAGGCGTGAGATCAAGGAGGTTGTTGTCTTCACCACCACCTTAGTCAGTTTCTTCTATATTTTTATGCAGAAAGTTTACATATTATATTTCAACACCTCAAAAGCCGGTTTTACCTGTCCTGGGTTGTCAAATCCTGGAGTCATAGGCAGGTATCCAGCCATGTTTGATGATGTAATAATCACCTTTACAAAAAAAGACAGAAGTAAGATGTCAGTCTCTAGAGTGTTGACAGAAAACACATTTCTAGATATAAACTGGACATAAATTCAACAGTAAGAACAACTCTTACTCTGTGAGTGTCCATCCTTGAGAGGCGACTGAGGCTCCTAGACTGAGAAAGGGAGTGGGTGGCCGGAGTCAAACCATCCACCTCCTCCTCCTCCTCCTCCTCCACCAGCTCAATGCCCAGATCATCCAGGTCGTCCAGGTCTGCGCTTCGCTGGGCGATTTCATCCGGGGGCGGGTCCTGCAGGGTGCAGTCCTCCTGGTGAAAAGAGGTGAGACTTTAATTAGCATATTGCATCTACACTCTCACTGAGTCACCACAGTAAAAAGAAACCAAACTTAGAAAACAACTGACATACAAACTGCATGGTTACTGATAAACAAACAGCGTTCTTACTTTGATCACCAGGTAGCGAGGCGGATCTCTTGCCATTCTCGTAAATTCATTTGCCAGCTCTTTAAATGTTGGACGGACATTCTCATCAATCATCCAACCTGTAAATAAAAAATAAGAACACAATTTAGTCAGGACATTTCACGAAAATGAAATAATTGTGGCGCAATATGAAAAGTCGCTAAGCCACCTAAGTCATTAGGATTCATCTTGCAGGGATAATGAATGTAACAAATATTATGGAACTCTGATAAATAGTTGTTGAGATCAAAGTGGTGAATTGACCAACAGTCCAATATTGCTCCCCCTAGATCCTGCTGCTAGCATGGCTAAAAGGCATAATGTTGCTTCGGTTAATTAGTAGATCAGACCAGATGTACAAGAAGAATAGAAGAAGACACTCACACTTGACCATGACCATGTAGACATCAATGGTGCAAATTTGAGGCTGGGACAGACGCTCGCCCTTCTCCAGCAGATCAGGAACATCCTGAGGACGCATCGTAGTGTACGGCTCTACACCATTGGACATCATCTCCCAAACTGTCACACCTACATGAAGGATTACGTTTTGTTTAGCTAAAGTTTATTTGCACATTTAAAAAATAAACTACATAAACACAAGATATAACAAATAATAATACAGTGCAAAAAGTACCCGCACAGGGCTTATTTAAGCCTTCACATACATTATATTAAAAGTTCCCAATTATATAGAGGTGGTGACAAACTATTACAAACAAGATACACTATTTATAGCAATAACAAAATGCAAGCTGAAATATTTAGTGTGGCATTAAACATAAATAAAGGTTTTCATAAACACTTAATATTACTTTAACTTGGGACTACCTGGTTTAAAAACTCACCGTAGCTCCAGACATCGCTCTGATGTGTGTATCTGCGGAACAAGATGCTCTCTAAAGACATCCATTTGATTGGAGTCTAAAGACATAAACAGAGAATTGTCTATATTGATTACTCCAGTGAAAACATATGAGTCTTATATGAGTAAACAGGAGCAGAGGGCAATATAAATCCATGTCAAAGTCTCTTTGATGAACTTTGGTCAAATTACTGAGTATCATATCTTTTCTGTTGGGCTACACACCTTGACCTCATTGAAAAAGTACTTCTTGTCATCGGGGTAAAGCAGGTCTGCAACGCCGTAATCTGAGATCTGGGCGGTGTAATTATTCTTCAGGAGAACATTTCTGGCGGCCAGGTTCCTGTGCACCATCCTGTTTTCCTCCAGGTAATACATACCCTGATGAGAAAGGACAAACGTCTTTAAGTGCTCCTGGTATCAGGGGAATGAACCAAGCTGTGGTTAAAAACAAGTACACACACAAACAATGAAAGGGTTGGTCCTTTACCTTTGCGATTTGAACACACCAGTTGAGCAGCCTCTGTGGGCTCAGTTTGTTCTTGCTGTTCCTGACGTGCTCCAGCAGCGAGCCCTGAGCGCTGAGCGGCGTGACGAGCTGCAGGCTGGCCCCGGGACAGATCCCCAGAGTCCTGACCACGTTAATGTGGTCAATGCTCCCAATGGTCATCATGTGCTGCAGGGGACAGTCAGAGAAAATCAATACAGGTCAGAAATATCCACTGTCAATTCAGGTTTTCCACTGCAAATCTTCAGACGTCTATTGATACAATCCACTACAATCTATAAGTGATAACAAAATGAACCAAACTTCTGAACGCAAATTGACTCCTCAGAGTAGCCAGCTATACAACCTTTGGGAGCCACATTTTGGGCCTACCATCAGTGAGTTTTAGATACAGGAGATATAATTCATGTTTTCTCTTACGTCTGTCAGCTCATAGAAAGTCTGTCGTCCGGTGCGGTCGTTAATCGTCTTGATGGCCACAGGAAGCTTCACTGTATCACCTTCAGGGATCCAAATGCCCTGTGAGGTAAATAAAAATAGATGTGTTAATTACCTGATGAAAATCAATTGTGCATGGATTGAAAATACTATTTCCACAATCCCCAGTACCTTATGGACGGCTCCAAACACTCCGTTACCCAGCAGCTTGATCTTTTTCAGCTCGGTCGGCTTCAGGATCCGAGAGTGGACCCGAGCTCCTTTCTCTCCCGGATCCAAAGGCTCAAAACTCTGCAGGAAGAAAAAACACCTTTAGTCAAACTATGCAAACAAAGTGAAGCTCCAGTGAAGCTGTTCAGAACAGGAATAACTAATACATTGCACCTATAGAGATTTGGTTTAATCTTGAATGATGAACTGACACAATTTAAAAAAGATATGCCCACCATTTATGTCCTTTCTTAAAATCAAGAATAACAGAAATGCTTGGTAGGCGAGTGTATAATCGTGGTGGGAGTGATTGAACTCTTAATTTTTGGTTGACCGATTTCCTGTTTATAGCTGTCCCTATTCTGTATGAATGGCTTAGTGTTGCACTAGATGACCTCAGACTCTGACTGACCTGTCCACTCTCCATGTATCTCCTCATGGCTCGCTTACGACGGATGGCGAGACCTCTGCGGTACAAAACGGTCAGCACGAAAATCGAGAATGAAGCGAAGAGCAGGGCAATCACTCCCAGTACGATGGCTGTGGTCGATTGTCTGATGAGGTGAAAAGGGAGAAAGGATGACTCATTACTTTATAATAAATTAAAATACAAATAAAAACATGTTAGTTAGAGAGGAGCAACTTACCCAGAAATAAAGCGCTCTGTCCCGAGACATTCTCCAATTCCTGGGCCGTAGCACCTAAACAGAAAAGAGGTCAAATTGAAATAAACACAATCTGAGCTTCGAAATGAAAACAGAGAAAGAAGCTCTACTCATTTTTACCCTAGGGTGCAGTTTTTGTGGCACGATTCACAGCTGCCTTTCTTGTTGGCATATTTGAAGATGACTTCCTCTCCTCCCATCACGCCCTCGGGACACGAAGACACGCAGTGCGGGCCGTCCTGCAAGCGGGCACACGCTACACACTGATCTGCGCCCTGAAGAGGAGAAAGGAGGCTTTATTTGACAGACAAAAGAAAAGTAGCAATGCAACATTTTGATGACTAATCAATGAGCTGATCAGCAGATAAATAATCGGTAACTATTTTCATTGATGTAAAGAATTTAAATACATTTACTCAAGTACTGTTCAGTAGAACAATTGTTAGGCAAGGTCATTTACTTGAGTATTTCCATTTTCTACGACTTCATACTTATCCACTATCACTTATAAACTTAGGTATATATATATTATACGTTACATTTCAGAGGCAATTATTGTAGTTTCCTTCCACTACATTGATTTGATAACATTAGCTACTTTGAAAATTGAGATTAATGATATTAAATGTTGTAACAAATGATGTATCTTGTATTATCATAGTTACATTCCTGGATAAATCCACAGGCTATACAGTATTACAAAAAGTCTCTTTACCAGCTGCAACATTAAAGTAATAAACACACTAAAGGATTCATATTTATAATCCAATAATATAACATATCTTTCTGAAATTGGCTGCTCTGCAGAATAAGTACTTTTAGTTTTGGTTCTTGAGGTACATTTTGATGTTTATACTGTAGAAACGGTTTGTGTTATATCATATTAAACAGGTAAGATATTTGGGATTTGGACCAACAAAAAGAGACATTTAAGGACATCACCTTAGACTTTGAGAAATGTTTAAACATTTTCTGACAATTTAAAGACCAAATAAAAAATCTTGAAAATAATAGGCAGATGAATTGACGATACAAATAATTGTAAGTGGCAAGTGAAGCCAAGTGGACGAAAATGTTTCAAAGTCAGTGGCAATATGGAGTATGAGGTCACTAGGGGGCAGCAACAAGCTTTTATAACACAATTCTTGATCTTCAAGAACTTGTATTGGGAATATCAGTGTTAAGCAGCGCAGCTATTCAGCCTCTTGTTTAAAGTTGTTAGTCAGTGAGGAGATGAAATCATACCGGGCCAACGCAGGTCTGCTTCCCCTCCTGGACCTTACACTCAGGGTGGCAGGGCATACACTCTCCTGACTGAGAGGCAAACTCCCTCCTCTCTCTGCAATCAAAGCGAAACAGTCAATCACTTTGTAATTCTTTCAGCGGACTGCAGATAAGATTGAAACACCTGGGACGGCTCCGCCACAGCAAACATTACTCACATTAAGACAAACACTATGGCTTTTATTATTCATTTGATTAATTATTCTTTAAAGACTCACCCAGTCAGGAACATGCAATCTGGCACGCACGTTCCTCCCCGGCTGTACTTCTTGCAGGACAGACACTGGTTTGGCCCCGGGGCCCAGCAGCCATCAGAGGAGCACAGGGGGTCGCACACATGGCCCTCACTCACTACAGACAACAACAAAAAGGAGAGTATCATCGTTAACACTGACAAAGTAACTGGTGTCAACTATTCTTTTCTAATTGTATTTAATAGTTTAAGTAGTTTCCTATGTTTTGTGTGTTTCACTATGTGATATGATGTTGGTTGTTTTAAAAGCATATACAAATAAATAATATTCTCTAACAAAAACTGAAACCGATTCACCCCGTTCCAAAGCTCGAGATTCATATTCAGTGTTTTTACTCAAATACTTGAAAACCATATTGAATTCAAACCCCGCTCAACTATCTTTGGTATTCAACCTGAAGACTATCAGACATTTGATCAACATGTATCGCATACTCTACTCTTCTATAGTCAGAATATTAATTAAAAAAAACATTCATCTCAAAAAGAGATGATATAAATCATTGCTCACTTGTTTCCCTTTGGTTATTATTGTGTTCTCATTTTCAATTCATTATATTTTAAATGTATCTATTTAATAATTTATATAATATTTACAATATGTTTTGTTGTTATTTACAGAAATTAATATGTAAATATTACATTACATGTTACTTGTTAGACGCTTTTATCCAAAGCGACTAACATACTCAATACTGTGGGCAATCCCCACAGGAGCAATTTGGGGTGAAGTGTCTTGTCCAGAGACACAAAGACTGCAGTGGGGTTTGAACCTGTGACCCCGTGATCCGAACACCTACGGACAATCCGCTACGCCACACACCTCCATAATACACCATATCATATTAATGACACTGTGTACTTTAAAACAAATACACCTTTTTGGGTATGAAAAGATCCCTCCTCACTCACCACACTGATTTCTCAGTCTGTTCTCCTTGATGTCGATTTGTTTATTCCGTTGGCGAGAGCCGCTGTTCAAGATACGCGTCCAGTTAACGGTGTGGTGATAGCAGAGCTGCGTGTTTCCTGTGATGTAGACGCCGCCGTCGTTTATTATTTGCAGCGAACGTAACCCCAGGGAGGTCAAAGAGCCGATCTTCATCACCAGGAGAGAGTAGCCCCTGAAAAAGTGAGGAGTGAATAAATGCTGGGTAAGAGAATAATAATGCCAATGTTTTTATATTGCTTTAAAAACTATGGAAGCATAGAAACAGATTTTGAATTCGAATAAGCCGTTTTTCTATAATTATTATAACAATAATACGAGTATTATGAATCATTATGGACACAATCATTGTGTTTAAATTGCTAATTGTTTAAGCTATTTGTTCTAGAATAAAATATTGAAATGCTTAAACATAAAAGTTATTAAGCATAGCAATAACGTGTTCAGTTGCTTAAAAGGTTCCAATTGTTAGGGCTTTCTTTGACTCCATAGAATACAACCAGCACACCCACATTTTCCAGCCAAACACCAGATGATTTTCAAAAGAAAGAGCATGCGTGAAAACCAGGAGAACATTTGAAGAGTTGTCCCCACCACCTGATACCCAGTACCAAAAATGCTCATGAATATTATGGTTTAATAATTTCTTAAACCAAGAAAAGTAATTTTAAATAGAAATATTGCGCATGGCTAGAGGCAGGCATGTGAAATAATAACTGTACCTTTTGCTCACTCCTCTACACGCGGTAAAACAGAGGCACAACAAGAAAACAAATAAATACAAGACAATCAGATGTATGCCAGTGAACGTTGAGTCTGCAATGCAATGAGAAATACAACAACAAAATAGTAACATGACTCACAAAGAAAAACCATTGTTAGAACTATAATAAAAACAACAGGCTCACTTGAAAAGATTTCTGCCCTGAATGGATTGTAGGTTGGAGAAGACAGACAGGTCAGACATGCTTTCAGGCCACGACTGGATACTGAGGATGTCTGAAAATAAAAACAGTGTTGTTCCAGATTGCAAACACTGTGGCGTGACATAATGTAAAAATACAGTGACAGTTTAAACACACACACCTGTGATCTCCCTCACAGTGTTGAAGATCTTCAGTTTCTCTGGATCGAGGGCTGGTACATCGTTATATGCATCACTATAGAAAGAAAGTTGAGAAAATGATTGCAAAGGCAGCAACAAAGAAGGAACAAAAATAGTTTTTACCTACTAAATACCTCTAAAGCTTTGTTTTATTTTAGAAAAACGAATGAGAAGTAAGTTTACCCTTCGATCCCAGTCACCAGGAAGTGAAGGCTGCCCTGGATCTTGGTGCAGTTTATGAAGCTGTCGATGTTCTGAGCATCTACCGTCTGCATCTTTTCTTTGCCAGTGCCAATGCAAGCTGAGAGGAGGATAAAGAAGCAATGTCAGTGAGAAACCACCAGCAGATATTCAATTTACTACTATTTAATGTTAAAGATATTACACACAAAATACATGAGCAACAAACAAATCTGATGAATCTTTTTGCAGCTTTAACTAGCCAACTGCACAGTAAAGTAGCTCAAATCAGCTCAACATTTAGCAGCTAGACATGCTGCTTACACATAATAATTTATATTACTGTAGAGTTTTTACTTGCAAATATATATATATATATATATTATTTAATCCATGTATTGAAAATGGACTGTTCAGTTGTCTTAAACACCTTTTGGACAGAGGCCTCCGCAGGATTCACATCTTTTAAATCCGTTTTTCTCCACCTCCATTTTATCAGAAGGGCAACTGCTCACACATGAGCTTTCATCCACCACGAAGTTAACTGTGAAAAAGAAACAAGGTAAGTCTCAAATAAGTGACTTAAACATATATGACCAGGGTAATATACAAGTAGTATTTCATTTGTTTTATAATTGTTCACAGTCAAAATACAACTCTATTTAAACATTAAAGGGCAGGAAAGTGGCAGCAAGGGTAGAAAGAAATTATTATTTAGCAGGACCTAACTCAAAACATATATAGACAATACAAATAGATGGTCTGCCAATGACAGGCTTATTCTATATATAATATGTGAATACTTAAGAAAAAGAAGAATCAATCATCATCCATAATCTACTGGGGAAACAGATTACCTGCCATTTCAAAAACTGTAAACAAATCTTAACACATTTTCTTTAACTAATAAAATATGTATACAACAGCATCTGGGGAACCATCAACTTTGACCTGCGAGTGTGTATGACTATGAGTGTGTGGACTCACGGGGGCACTGGGCCACGCAGATGGAGCCGTACTGGTACTTGGCATTGGGGTTGGGCTCCAGTTTGAATGTGTGCTTGTTGTAGATGAGGGTCTGCGGACAGAGAGGCACGCAGGCACCCGAGTTGTTGAAGTTCCTGCAGGCCTGCAAACGTCACACAGACAGCAAAGTCAGCAACACAGCTCATACTCCAGGTGCTTATGTCCAGGGGTTAAATTGGGCCGGGGCTGTCCGGGGCTCAGCCCCGGCACATAGGACGATGCTCTGACGTGATCACCCTCGCACATTTGTCATATGTTTACAAAAAACTATATATATGTTAAAAACTTTTCTCGTTCTTAATATAGACTATATTTAGGGTCGATATGTGTTGACTTTACTTTAAAATAGCAAATCTCTGTTACAGATATAGTTTTTCAGCTTAGTGAACGTGTGTCTCTGCTCCGATCAGGAGCGGCAGCACCGCCCGGGCTCCTCCGCTGCTCCTCCGTGCAGAGAGTCTGCAGCGGTGCCGCCAACCCCCTCGACCCGTCTTGTAACACCGAGCCCATTTCTTAAACCATGCTAAATGTATGTGTGTGCATAAAGCTGAGTTATGATCGGTCACAATGACACCGAGTTTGGTGATGATTAAATAGTTTAGTGAGATTTACTCACATACTTTTGGTCATACTCGCGCAGCACTACAAATGAACTGAGATGTCCACACAAATGTTCTTTAGTAAGTGTGCAGAGCAATGTTGATTTAAAAAAGCAATTTGAAGGTTGTATATATGTACCTTATCTTTTTTTGTGTATATATTAATAATTTATATTTATATATATTAATTCCAGTTTATTTGTAGTATTTTTATTGTTTCATTTGGTGGCATCGATGTGTGCATTTGATAAAGATAATGGAGCAGTTGCTTTAGGACCTCATATACAGTATACCCCTTAAGGTCAAATCATGAGATCTTCTTTTTCTTATTGTGACATGTCGATATGTGCCCTTTGTAAAAAGGCCTTTAAGCAGCAGACTCACAAAGCACTCTGTATCCAGAGATCCTGTGCAGCCTCCCGCACACTCGATGTGACAGCATTCGCTCGGGTTAATACCAAAGCATCGGCCGTTACACTGAGGCGCACACACGGTCTTGGTCACTGAAACAGAGAGTGTACGAGCATTTGTTAATTTATTGCAGCAGTGGTTACATTCTTTTTTATTTTAATATTTTCTTTCCTCCGAAATCTCAAAAATGCCCAGTGCATAAAGAAATCTATTTTCCTTACACAAAATATCTAACACATTTCTATTCAACATGGTTTTAAACAAGGGGATTCCAGTGTGTATTTATTATTCTCTCTTGATTCAATAAACATGAAGTTGATTGAAATGCTTGAAAACCCCCACACTACAGAACTGCTTGTTGCTTGGGAAATAAAGTGATGATGATTTCACTCACAGATCTGGCATGTGTCATTTCTTGCATCCCAACATGGAAGGTCTCCACATGCCGCGTTGCAAGGCTCTAAGAAAAAACAAATGTAGCACATTCATCAGTTTCAGTATTTCTGCAAGAAGATTAATAAAGCATTATGCAACAAAAATACATGTTTTATAGTCTGGGTCAATAAGAGGCTTTAATTATTTACAATTTAACCTGGGAAACTTTCATCTTAGATATTAAAACAAATCAAAAAGGAATAATGAGTGAGCTGTGAGATGGGATAACATTTTTTTAAATAACATTATATTCTCACTCAATTATTTTATCTATTCTGTCAGACTTTGGGGTAAAGTAATGACCTTTCTATAATCAATATTTCTTATGTTATTACTATCTATCATCAGTAGTGTGTGGCTCTCATTTTAGCCTCTTCCTTGTGACAGCCTTTCTGCAGTAGATGCATGTTAACATTGTAAAGCAGACCAAAGCGTAACTCCTAGACATAAAACATAAAAATGTAAGGTAATATGTCTTATTGTCACCCTTTCTACTCACTTTTAGGCCCGTTGTCCTTGATCATAATCTCAGCTTTTGCATCCTTCACGATGTCTAGCCAGTTGACCTGCTTGACGTAGCTCAGGTACTTGTTCTGGATGATTTTGACTCCTCCCTCCAGTATCTCTGTGGGCGGAACACAAACATTTAAATGGAAAAAAGACAATTAGCAGAGCAAGCTCGGGCGAGCCCATGACTCATCCCTTACTACAGTTCATACATGAAATGCACTCATGTTACAGTGGCAGTTGAGACATTCCTGGGACTTCACATCACCTACACACACCGCTGCTGCAGCCCCCCCGCCCTCCTGAAGGTGTGGCTGCAGTGTGTAGGTGTGTGAGCTCCAACAGTCACCAGGAATTCCTCCTTATCTCAACTCCTGCATGCACCCACACTTAAACACACCAACATATATTTTTACTTCCCAAAATGTTGATCATTTTGCTTTTATTCATCTATACTTGTGTTTTGTGTGCATGATGAATTTGATATTTGAATGATATTTGTATTCAATTATCTTTTTTTATTTCCCAAACTTTCGAGATATACCACGATAATATTGCTATTTGGTCACGATAATCTGTTATTGTGTGTCCTGGTCGAGAATGATAAACATAATGCAGTGTTAACCATTTTCATTCAAATAATATTTTATCTAGAAAATGCTTACAAAATGATTCAAATGTGTAAGGTGTTTGCAGCGAGATATGCGGATTAACATAGTAGTGAGGACGCTGTTTAGTTTTTGTCAGATGTTATTTTTAAAAATCTTTGAGCATCACTACGCTGCGTCCACACTACAGCGTCGACAGCTTCAAAAACAGTTTCCAACGCGTCTGCCCATTCTCTTTGAATGGGGTGACGTCACGTTGCCTCGCTTTTCGCCGAACTGAATTGTGGGTAGCATAGCGGTCCGTCTCCGCCGTCTCCGGCGTCGGAAGCGTCAGAAGTTGAACATTGTTCATTGAACATTGTTCAACTTCTGACGCCGGAGACGCCGGAGTAGCCAGCGCCAGCCAATCAAATCCCGTTTCTGAAAATCTGACAGCTCAAGCGCTAGCCAATCAAACCGCGTCTAAGCTGGGAGAGACATCCCGCCGTTGATTTCTATATTTCAAAAAAAGATGGAGGAGAAACTATTTATCGCCGTAGCAAATCACCCGGTTTTGTATGACCAGACCCTCTTCACCTACCGGGATACAAACCGGAAGAACCAGTCATGGAGGGAGGTGGCAGAGACAGTGGGTGAAACTGGTAGGTTTTCGCCTGTTTGGGGAGTTTATATATATTGCTCGCATAAAATCCCCGGTTTTTTTGCTTTGTATGTCGGGGGCAGGAGATTCATGTGATTGGTTGTTGGTCGCGTTGCTCGAATAAAATCCCCAAGCTTCAGACACGCCCAGCTCCAAGCTTTTTTTGAAGCTGTAGTGTGGACGCTCCGTAACACAATTCCATTCATCTCAATTTCTTTGGGACAGTGGACAAGACTAATGTTTCCAAACCTGCAAGCAATGTTGGATACCAGAGGCAACAGTGTTTTTTGGTTAACCTGACCATTTAACATCAGTCATCATGAATCAGTGCACTCTTTGTTTTTTCTGAACTCAGTGAGACATGTTTTTGTTTACCCACACTCACACACTGATGGCCGAATTAATGGCCTCGGACACCTAAACACACACACCGAGTGACTTCCTATGTACCTGTGAGGTGAGTCAGGCCCAGCTCCTGCAGGCCGTGCTGCCCATCCTTCTGGTAGTTCACCATCACAGCCAAGGCGTATTTCCCCTCGTACAGCGTGTTGCCTCTGATGACCCGCAGCTGGTTCAGAGGCACGCGGCTGAACTCATTGACCGCGAACAGGATGTAGCCCGTCACTTCCCTGATAGACTGCAGGGAGGAACAAATATGAAGAAAGATCAATTAAACACACAATTTGGACCTTTCCTCTATTAAAACAACAAGTAAGGCAGAGTTTGGTGGCACACATTGCAGTCAGCTTCTGCTAGGAATATTTATAAATCAGAAGGGTTGTACAGATGTCTCCTCTCCAAATCAAGCATACGCAGTGGTTAAAACGAGTAAAATCACAGTGAAATCACAGAGAGAAGAAACGGAAAGCGTTCTATGATGCTGTTTGAGTGCCCCTTGTGTTTGCTAAGACATATATGTCTGATGACTAACATCATTCAGTCAGTTAAAACAGCCAACATTTTAAAATAGATGTATTGTAAACATGAGGCTTGAGAGAGGGATACATACAGCAAATTAAACAGACCTTTACCTTGAATCAAATAATGGATTTCTCTAACAATGTTGGAATGATTGGGAATAATACGTTTTCAACTCAACAAAAATAAATCATAAATGTAATTGTTTTCAGAAATTGCTATTTAAGGATGCGTAAATTATAAACACTATAATAGAAAGAAGAGAAGAACAAACACCTTTGCTCTGATTGTTAGTCATGGTGATTGTTATCAGAGTCACGACTTGGCAGCAGAGGTGTGTTTTTCTTGTGTTGTCAGTCACCATGACGGTGGTGCAGCGATTATTCAAAGAGATTAATAGAAAAGGACTTGGAAGGGGACATAAATGAGCTCATTGTTCATTTGAGACGAAGACATCATCCCCTGTGGACGGAGATAAACAACTCAGATGTGGGAAGTATTTTGGCATCACGTTAATCCATATCCCTGTCCAGACTGGTTAGTGGTTACCATGCAGTTTTTCTCAGTGACACATCTGTGAAAGTCTGTAAACGTGCGGTGATGCCTCATAGTATTAATCGACAGCCGCTGATACAAGATGCCTTGATACAAAAGTTCACATTTGGCCTCTGATTCCGTTTATTAGTTAGTTGGATTATTTTCCATTAAACTCCAACAGCGTTTCCAATCAAACTCCATTTAGCAACGTCACATGTGTGAGGCATGGTTATACAACTGTTTACCTTTCCGCGGAGAACACGAGCACACACACAATTGGTTCCGGTTCCTAGGACCAATTATATAACAAGAGCTAATGGCCTTCTAAAAATCCCATTTCTTGTTGTTGTTTTTATGTAGCAAAGAAATATATTATTTTCTCCTTGTTTCTGAGAGAAAATGGACATTGGTAAACTTACATAAATACTAAGTGTTAGTGTAGTTTCCTATTGTTGGTTTGGTTTGTTTTAAAAAGAAATACAGTAAATAAAGCAGATGACCTCAAAATGGCATTATTCAGCCCAAGTCGATGGCACTGTGTACCACTAGTTGAAAGCCTCACCTGCAGGAAGGAGACGTTTCTGGTGTGCTCCATCATGGTAATCTCCAGGTTGCCCATCACTATCTCACAGCCGTTGTAAATATCCTTCATCAGCTTGTACTGGATCTCTGAATTTCCCGTCGTGCTCAGACCATTTTGGGTGCCAGAACAAACCTTCACTGTAAAAGTGAATAATTAACTCTTGTTAATGTCAATATGTTTGGATTAGAAACACATTTGAAAGATAAACCTGGTGATGTATACATAATCTAATTAAAATTAAAAAACAAAATGAATTGGCAGAAAAACAGATTTGTGAGGGTAAATACATACAACACACATTTAACTGGAGAGACAATGACTGGAGTCTGTTTCTGTTTTTCCAACATGGACATTTAAATAAAAATAAAATGAATGGACATGTCTGTGAATAAATTACCAACGAGCTACAGTATATTATGGCTGATGAAGGCATAGTAACACATTATTCTACCAAAAACTTGTTAACACTACAATAATGATCACATTTCAGTATGTTTTATTTATTTATATTTATATAGGCTTACAGATACATTTAATAGCCCGTATATTTATTCAGCTTTGTTGTGATACATTGAAAACAACAAAATACCGGAGAAAATTCTCCATATGTGTACACACTAAAGTAACTATGGATATTTTGTTAAATCAAGGACTAGATTAAGCCCCTATAAAGACTGTTTTATGCCTTACTACACACCACTGTGTTCATGCACACTATCAATGAGTGTACTGTAACAGTTTGAAACAAGCTGGGGATTGTACACAGGGCCGTTTTCTGTGAGAGAAACATACAAGGCCTTGTTTACGAGCTGTGGGAGTTCAGCCATGCAGCGTCACTGGAAGGCTGCTTTGCTATTCAAATGTCAGACAGCAGAGAAGCAGCGCAGAGAAAAGAGGAGGGCAGAGCATTAAAGATGACTGTGAATCTAAATGTCAATACTTTGCCTGAGAATACTAACAATTAAGCCTACATGTGTAATGTACACGTCGTGACAAACAATCATAATATGTCCGCTTTTTTTACGTTTTGACTGAATTTCGGTTCAGTTCAGTTTGTTTCACAATGTGTTTGCTAGTTTTACTTAAGTTTGACCTAAGTTCCAGAAAATATTGTTTTTTTATATATTTCCTCAACATGTTTAGTGTCATTATGTTAGCGCTTGGTATGATGGCATGAATCTCAGAGACCAATCTAGCCTAAAAACCTGAGCAAATTAAACTAAAAGTATCTGCATGCCCGTAAAGAGATTTTTACCATTCAGTTGCAAAATTGTGTGTAGTTGAAATCAAAATGAAGGGTCGAAAGAAAAGGGAAAGGGTCTTAGCCTCCCAACTTAATGCCCGTGGCTCGATTTGGGGTTTCAACTGGTGTGATCCCATCCCGACACGCTCTCTAGTTTTGTTGCTTTTTCGTTATTTGTTTTAACTTAGTCTATAACCTTAGTCCAAGCATCATGCATCAGTCAGTGTTGTTAACTTGTTATTCTGTTGTACTGTTGAGTAAAGATGTGAGGAATGTTTTTTTAACCACACTTACTCACAGGTCACACACATGAAGTAAAGTCGACACACTCACAAACACATTCCTCCAACTGTCATCAGAGTCGATACAGAGCTCAGAAGAACAACAGGACCAACAAGGGCATACAAAAGCTAATCATTATTAACCTACAGCACTGAGTGTGTGTGTGTGTGTGTGTGTGTGTGTGTGTGTGTGTGTGTGTGTGTGTGTGTGTGTGTGTGTGTGTGTGTGTGTGTGTGTGTGTGTGTGTGTGTGTGTGTGTGTGTGTGTGTGTGTGTGTGTGTGTGTGTGTGTGTGTGTGTGTGTGTTTAAGGGAGAGACGGTGCAACGAGCGTGTCCTATGTCCATAAAGTCCTGATAAGAGTCGCTTTATTGTTTTCCTGAGAACATCGGGTTTACAAGCACTGGCTTTGCACCAAAAAACATATTCAAGGATGGTTTCTCTCAAATCACAAAAGCACATACCCCCCCCCACTGTCTTTCCAGAAATAACTTCCTACTCTAGGGACATTGTGAGACGTTAAGCAGCACAAGCCCAAATTCATGTTTCAGCGTTTTTGGAGTGGAGGCAGGAGACCCAAAGGGAGGTATTTTAATAGTGTGTCCATGATTTGTGTCAGTTTGTGGGAAGTGGAATAAATATGTTGTTGTTATTTGGGTGAATTAACCCTTTAAAGATGATCTCTATGGGCTCAGAACAGTCTCATAATACACACATGCACACAGAAGGATTCAAACTTGTATTTCCGGATCCATACTTGTGTTTTTCAATGCACACACAAATGTATTCCGTTTCATATACATGTAAATAAAATCCAAATACAGAAAAAAGTTTTATATATGTATTTTTGATCCTCACTTATTAGTTTCCCGTTTAAATCCCCTGAACCTGCAAACACAAACAGCTTTCTGTGCACGGATCGCTTTGCATTCGTGTGTGGGTTTTTTGAGACTCCCCTGACGGTCAGCCGATTCGTACTTGTAAGTTTTTCTATCTATAGCCAATCAGATGTCTCCTTCATTCTAAGCCAATCACATGAGCGCACCCCCACGAGGGTAAGATTACTTCATATACGCATTTTGCGCAGTCCGGTCAGCTCGCTAAACAGAGGGCGGAGCATCAGGTGATCATGCAGAGCAGCGTGTCTCCATCAGACTCACTCAGCAGCTGATCTGATCTCTCTCTCGCGTCCGGTTATACTTCACTCGCGTTTATGTCCATATCGATCAGATCCAGCTCTCCTGATCGGCCTTTATAGAGAGCACCGATCAAACTATTAAGAGTGAATATCGGCCGATAATGACCGGCGGGGCTCCCCCCCGTTAACAGGTCACTGTCTAGCACTGGCTTCGTAGTGCACTGATCGATTAGGCTAAGCTAACCTGTAGCTGCTCCCTCCACACTCACAACAACTTCATACAGACATAAATAAAGCAGCTGTATTCGCCATACAGGAAACACTCATTTAAAACGGGTTTGCCTGCCGTTTTTGTGTACACAAGCATTCATCAATGGTTCGGAAAGTGGCGCTGTACCTTAATAATATAAAGGCTTGTATTTGCGTGCATTTCCTGTTCGGAAAGTGGCGCTGAGAGTGGAGGGTGTCCTGAGATTAGCGCCTGCAGGCAGGCTCCATGGAGCTGTCAGCTCCGGACTGCGCAAAATGCGTACATGCAGCGCTACGTCATGAACGCAAGAAATCTACCCTCGTGGGGGCGCGCTCATGTGATTGGCTTAGAATTGAGGAGACATCTGATTGGCTATAGATAGAAATAATTACAAGTACGAATCGGCTGACCGTCAGGGGAGTCTCAAAAAACCCACACACGAATGCACAGCGATCCGTGCACAGAAAGCTGTTTGTGTTTGCAGGTTCAGAGGTTTTAAACGGAAAACAAATATGTGAGGATCAAAAATACACATGTAAAACTTTTTTCTGTATTTGGATTTTATTTACATGTATATGAAACGGAATACATTTGTGTGTGCATTGAAAAACACAAGTGTGGATCCGGAAATACAAGTGTGAATCCTTTTGCAGATCATGAAATACAAGTGTGAATCCTTCTGTGCGCATGTGTGTATTATGAGACTGTTCTGAGCCCATAGATCTCTGATGATTTCACACACTCAGTTTAGTCAACAGGAGCCTGCAGTTTGTTTAAGAAGGGAGCTTATACTAAGTTAAAAAGGCCTACACCATAGGGTTAATCTGGGTTTAATGAGACGAAATATCTTTAAAAGATACTTAATGTACCAAAAATGGTTGCTTTTGCTGAAATGTTGCACTAGTTATATTATTTGTTCCTTTTACCAATGTATGATTTTCTGAAATAACTCTGGTCTTTACAATTTAACATATATGCAGCATAACAGAGACCCTAATGAGTATCTTCAAGTCATGTTCTTGTACAGCTTGAACCACACATACTGGAATATCTAGGCCTCTGCTGTATCGAGTTTCACCATGTTTTTAAATCTGTTTCTTGCATATCGATCAACTTCATGCAATTGAAATCCCGGGAGCCCTCCTTAAGAAACCAGCACATGAACTCTTTAACATTTATACTTCTGCACGCTGTAGCACGGGACAAGTCAGGGTTATCACATCAAGTTGCAATGACTAACATGCTTCAGAAACGTCTCATTCTTCATTAAAAGCCATTCAGTTGGAATGATGACAGTTTATGAGCTGCTCAAGGGTGAAGCCCTTTATCTACCCCACCTTAGTTAATCTATCAGTGGACGAATTGTTGACTCTACACTGCTTGAATTGCCTGTTGGGAAATACTCATGAACACCTGCACACGTATGTTCAAGAACCTTCCACCAATACAGTATGCATACAGTATGCATACAGTTGAAGCACAACCCACTAGAAGGGACAAACCGGTATGCACACATGTTTGAGACAAAATGGTATGTCAGCCATGCAGACAATGCACAGGCTGCAGCTGTGGAGGCCGAACATCTCAACAGGCTGAGTGGGTTTTTCTGTCAAAGGAGGACTTTCAATGTTGGCAGATGGATGATGGAGAAAAAGGGAATGGGGTAGAGGGTTTAGAGTCAATAAACACACATGCAAACAATGGCCCTATTTTGAAAGACTGCAAAACTAGTGTAGTATGTGAATCAAGACGTGCGACCCATCTATCTATGTCTCACCATGGAGTCCACTTTCCTACTTATTCCATTCGCTAAATATTATTCACAGCACATAAACTCAGGGCATAAATGGCCTCATTGTCCTTGGCACTAAAGTGTCACATAGCACATGACGAAACATAACACAGATCAGGTTAGGCTGTTATGTTCCTTCGCTGCTAACAGGGTTTCAAAAAGGCAGAGAAAGAAAAGAAAGGAGGGAGGAGGAGATAAACAAGCTGAATAAAGCGGTTGAGACGATGACTGCAGTAAACAGAAACTTGGCACAGGCTGTGCCAGAGATTACTGCATACCTCACAAGAGAGCGCACACACACGCACGCTCACAAACACAGACACCTGAGCACATGAACTATTCCATGTTGCAGAGCATTCACTGGTTTACAATGGTTGTGCAAAAATAACCAGTAAGAGTTGTTAGTGTGTTCACAGCATGCAGTGATCAGAATGACGCCGACTGAGAGTTGCTTAACATTATTCTTTGGCAGCAGGAACGGCAGCATATTTGCTTTTTGACGCATCTGTTATTTGGATGTCCTGTAAATGTACAGAAGCAAATCAAACAGGCTCCACCCAATGTTGTTTTTCTTGATGGTAAATCAAATTTTACACTGAGGCATCGTACACTTGTAAAGCAAAGCCCTATCTGATACATACAATATCTCACATCTGAGACATCAACTTGACTCTTAAAGTCATGATGACATATGTGGAAAAAACCTATCCTCCTTGTTGGCAAAACTGAAAACTGAAAACTTTGAAAATAAAAGTGATACAAGTGTTGTTTGTTTGCAGGGTGAAATCATGCTTCTTATATGTAAAATAGTTTTCTCCAATTGCTTCTTTCATGAAAGTGCAGTAAGCATCTAAAATGACAACTGGCTTTGAAGTTTGACGAGATACACTGAACTAAAAAAATTATCCTGAATTATTTTATTATGGCTGCAGGTAACATTGGTTGGTATACAGGTCCACCGTCCTGCACCAACATAACAACAAATGCAGTTCATTAAGGAGAAGGACCGATGACAGAAAATGTCACTTTCATACTTTGGAAATTCCCAATTCTTTATTAGAAAGACATTAAGTAGTCATCAAGCAAACAGGGTTTATTTTGTAATGGATTAAAGAGAATATTAACTGCAATAGAAACTTTGTACAATCTATTCAATCAAATGTTCCTTCTCATGTGATCATGATTATTTATTCACTGTGTTTTTGTGATTTTAGTATTAAGTATTAAGTATCATCTGCCTAAAGATGAATGATCTGGTGTTCACATTGTTTCTCTCAAACTCACTGTGTCATTTGTTTCACCTGCAGCCAGGGGACAGAGTCTAGCTGAGATTCAAATCACAACAACTCTGCCTCTAACATGTCACCACCCTCAGTGGTGGAAAGTAACTGACTACAATTACTTGAGTGCTGCGCTCGACAACAATTGTTATGGCTACTTGAAGATTTTATTTGACTATACATTATATTTTAGAGTGAAGTATTGCACTCGTTACTTCATTCCATTAATTTCTATTGACTAAAATATGAAGCTAAAACGAATCTGCAACTGTGTTGATTATCTGTTTATCATTATAAAGAAAATATACAAAAGATTTCCAATTAGCACACTATCAGGAGGATTTGATGCATTTTTCCAATGAGTATAATCGCTAATACATTATGCACTTTTACAACTTAAAGCAGGATTAAGTATTTATCATTTCACATTGTGGTATTGCTCCTTTTACTTAGCTAATACATCTGACTATTTCTTTAAAATCTCATTATACTGAGAAAATGACAAATCAAAGGTAAAGTTTTAAGATCTTTTGGGCTGACTGTGGTTGTCAGTCAACAGTCGGTGTAAGGTTGGGCTCGTCTGTCCCAACCTTACACCGACGTAACAATGAGACAAACGCGAGAAAGCACACAGTCGTGGGAGAGGTGCAGGTGACTCACAGCAAACAAGCTCTACGTTTGCGGAACAGGTTCTCGTGTCTGCGGTGGCAGAGGAAGGACAGGTGTTTTCTAACCCCCTGCATACTGAACAGCTCTAATCCAGGTGTTCGCTGGGATTTAACATTTATTCTGGGATACTTCAGTGTACAAAGTGATGGTTTTGGAAACAAAAGAGGATTCGTGTGTGTGTGTGTGTGTGTGTGTGTGTGTGTGTGTGTGTGTGTGTGTGTGTGTGTGTGTGTGTGTGTGTGTGTGTGTGTGTGTGTGTGTGTTTGCCCACCTCCTTCTGTCTGCGCGCTGCAGAGTGTGAGAGCACACGGCAGCAGGACGCACAACACCTGCTGCAGCTTCCTCTTCATCAGGGCAGTCATCCTCACTCAGATTATCCAAACCGGCGACGTTTTAAATAAAAATGTCCATCTCATCGATGATAAAAAGTTTGGATCTTTCTCATTACAAAATCGATCGTTTTATTCCGAGACAGTCCATTTAAAAACAGCAGGTTGTTTAGTTAATCCAAATTGTCTTTTTTCTTCCTTTCCTTCGCTTTGTTCTTATTAAAAAGGTAACTTCACTCCGTAGTGAAAACCTGTTTTCTGTTTTCTCGGTTTGACATGAAACTGAGCCGTAACTTTACAAGCCGCCTATTCCGGCCCGTGTGAGAGGAATCACTACAGCTCAGTGATTGGAGCCAGAGCTCAGCCAATCAGCAGCCGGAGCGTCTGTTTCTCTGGCACTGATTTAACTGGGAGGGCCTGTCAGCAGCCGCAACACCAACGACAGCTGGACACACGATGCACACCTTTAAGACACATTGAGTCACAACAGTCCTAACAAAAAGTGTTTCATGTTGTTGATTCAGGGTTATAACTTATGTGTCAATAATCAATCATTTTAAATATGTTGTTTATTTTATGTTTTATATGTCATTCATTCTTTATGCAAGCCCTCAAAGTTTGGAATCAGAAGGCTTTGGATGTTAGTGCAGAGGGGGTTTGTAATTTACAGTAGTAATATTATCAAAAAGCACTATACTTTCAAAGTAAAAGCATTCCATATTAAACAGAAAGCGCATACCGCAAAGAAATGGCAACGCATTAAAACCCAGGATTAACATTTAAAGAAACAGTAATATATATAATATATATCCGGCAGTGGCACAGTCAGTATGGGGGCATGGACTGTGAGCTGTAGGGTCGCCGGTTCAAGTCCCCGAACAGACCTAAATATGGAGTGTGGACTTCTACTTGGAGAGGTCCCAGTTCAACTCCTGGGCCCTGCCGTGGTGACACCCCCCTTCACCCCCCACTCCTGTTGCTCCCCGGGCGCTGTACAATAGCTGCCCACTGCTCCTTGTACTAGACTCCTGGTGCAGAAATGCAGAGCAGATCCTGCTGTGTGCTCTGCATGTGTGACCAAGACCATGTGTGACTTCAAGGCGACGGCGACGGGGATGACAGGATAAAGGCATCTAGAAACCATGTGTGTGATTTTTGGTAACATGACGTAAAGAGACTGAGTGTGATTAATTCAATATGTTGACAAACTTATCTTAATCGGCATATCCTAAAAGACAAATTACTAACATCTTGATCTGAAATTCCAAAGTTGTTGAGTAAATGTAATGTAGTAAAAGTACGATAATTGTGGTGCAGAAGTTTACAGTAGCAGGAAATGGAAATACATCAAAGTAAATAACAACTTGCATTCAGTAAATGTACTTGCTCAATCACTGTGAAAAGGCAAATACACCCTCCTTCTCTGCCAATGACCTTCATCAAATAAATGAAGCAAAAAACTAAATCACATCCCCTCTAATTTTCCTCTAAAAACAACAACACATGCACCTTCCCAAAAAATGAAATCAGTTCCCTTCTGTGTGTCACACAAAAGGAAGCTTTCTTACATCTGTTATCTTAACAATTGGGCTTTGACCCCTCCACTCCTTCTTTCTGGAGCCCTAGGTAAGGTAAGATTGTTTGATTGCTGAATCATTTTATTGCACCGTGATTTGACTGATGTACTTCGGACTTATGTGTGTATGAGTTGTGCAAAACAGCGTCAGCTAATTACTTGACGCACAAGTATTATTATATACAAGTTGCACAGCAGGAAATACGTGGTTTGGTCTGAAAATCTTATCTCTCGACATCTTGTTAGTTTGTCACTCAAGCTTTAGGCAAACATCGTCTGTCTGTAAGAGTGGGCGAGCCAGCTCAACTGCTCTGTAGAAACTGACTATGCCTGCTGCTCAAGTCTATCACACACACACACACACACACACACACACACGCACGCACGCACGCACGCGCACACGCACACACACACACACACACACACACACACTTAACATTTCAGACGTATCGTTTCTCACCCAAGCAGGTTAAATTACATAGAATTATACATCTGACAAAAAATGCCTATTAAATAAAACAGTCTTTTAAATTGTTTCCAGTCAGTGTCATTTGAAAGGTAGAACAGAGTTCTCAAAACAAAAGGTTAATATTTCACCACTACCAGGAAGTCATTTTCAGAAGTATTTTCTCACAAAACAGCCTGTTTAAGTTCAGGGAAACACATAAAGATGCCGCTGTTCTCTGTCCTTACCATGCCAAATGTTTATAAAGAATAGACAGACAGTGCATTACATATATAGTGAAGATGCTGAGGTCATAAATGTAAGGAACTTTACCCAGAAATAAAATTCAGTTACATTACATGTTACTTGTTAGACGCTTTAATCCAAATCACAAACAATTGCTAAAACAATAAATCAGCTTGAGTCTCCAATACTCAGAACATATTTTCTGTTTTGACCCAAGCAGTCCAACATGGCACTTTTTGCAAAACTTTGCACAGTCCTCAACAAAAGACACAGGAATCTGACATAAAGCCACTTTATTGTCCTTTCTTAATTGCCTTAATATCAACTCATCAATCAGAATGTACCACAAATTAATTTGATATTTTTACATGCTCTATTTTAAACAGTTGTAACCTTATTTTGAGAAGGTGTTTTAAATCCCCTAGTTGCTCTAAACCTTGGCTTCAAGTGGATACTCCACCCTGCCAATAATACATTCTGTTCAACAAAATTGATTTTCTGGACTAAACATTTCACACTACGCAAGGAAACAGCGAGTCTGAAATAATGGTATTTCCCCTTTAATTCTAGAGTTTGTCGATAGTGGCTTTATTTGTCCTCATTGTTTAGGGTCCCACAGACTGCCCTGGTGCATAAGTACAAAATATTAACAATAATCACAAATTAAACATTTACATTTTCAATTGTTTTAAGAGAGCAGCCTCGTGCTGTGGAAATTCAATTGTATAGATCCAAGTTTTACAGTTTGGGTTGCAAAGGAAAGTCATGAAGTAGGCTATAAAACAAAGTTGAGTATGTTTTTTGAGCTGTTAAAGAGGGCTAATCAGAAGAATTAGGTTTAAAAAAGCTACATGCAACTTTGATTTGTAAAATGTAGACATGCTGTCTTTATGCTTTGAACCAGACTGCCCTCTTCTGGTGGAAGCGTGTCACAGATATTCTCTTTTCAGTCACTTGTAAACATAAATGTAAAATATGAGGTATGAATATATTTATGGGAAATTAATCAGTAACACTGAGTTGATGAGACAGGTCGTACAGAAAAGTGGTTTATTTGTAATACAGCAGGACTTTTCTTCTGGTCTTACATCACATACAGATGTCTCCTTGCACTCAGCATTGAAACACGTTATTTACCGTTTGTATATCTACTTGTGTAACTATAACGGTACAGAATGAATCATTTTAATGTTTTTGTTTGCACTGATTATCATTGTTTCACAGACAGTCTACGTCCTTACACCCCAAATAAAACCAAATAAATCTACCACTGAGTAAGAATCAAGTAAACTGATAAAACAAAAGACAAAAACCTAATAATTTAAAATGATGATATAAAACCCACCATATGAGGGAATTAAGAAATACATTAAATCAGTCTTTATAGATAAATATATGTGACTCCAAATCAGAACCGATTAAGATGAAAGGAAATAGAAGTCAATTCTACATATAAGGACAAAACCCAAATGATTAAACTCTTGATTTAACATAGATGCAAAAGATGCACAATGTTCGGGTGGATTTACAGTATCTTGCACTGTCACTGGTATACGAGTAGTAGTACCCATGTATGGCACACAAGAAGTTTTTTTACTGACGTAGGTCTGTGGGTTCTGCTGATTACAGTTGTGACACACGTCGTGGATGTGTTCTGATTACCCTGCTTTCTTTCACATAATAATCACTGAACTAAAGCAATATGCATGTCAAATAAATATTACAGCCATTTATAGATTCATCAACAATATTCACATTCAGTAACAGTGAGTTATTACCCCCCCGATATGCAATTCTGAGACAAAAACACAGAGAGCAACCTGACGCAGATTGAGTACCCACAGAGGCAGATAAGCACAAGCAGCATCGACGTGCATGCAGTTCCCAGGATGTAAAGGTTAGCAACAATGTCAGCAAGATCTATCAGTACGCATGCAGGCGGTTGAGAATGACTTGTGCGTTTAAAAATATTTTAAAAGGGCGACTTTGACACTTCAGAAACATTGGTAGTAAAATCACGACACAGATATTGAAACATTTCACAAATGAAGCAGTAAGAGGGACAGGCAAAACTCCTCTCCTGTTGAATTTGTTCTCGAATAATACTGACCGCTGGCACAAACACACACAGAATGTCTGCACACTCGCATACATTTACACACTTTATCTGAGTATCGAAGTGCCTCAGCATTGCTCACAAATTGAAATGTAGAATTAGGGTGACATGCATCAGCTGTGATTGTTCCCAAACATGGCTCTGTTAGAAAAACATAAAAAAACAGGAAGTGCAACTGACAGAAAACAGTTCTTTGTATGGACAGCTGACAGATGAAACCAAAATACATCAACAAGAAGTCATATTTGACTCACTGCTGACTCAGTGGAGACTTGGTACAGCACCTAGAGACAAACATACAGTACACTGCACCTAAGGACAAGAGGTGGACACAGGAAAAGCAAGTGTGTGCTGTGATTGCTTGTGATTAATGTCCATTATGTATGTGTGCGATTATATGAAGTACATGAGAATCAATTTCTAATAAGCACTGTTAACCTGTTAAGCCCCAAGCCTGTTTTTCAGGTCTCAGGCTCGAAAATGACATGCCCAGAACAAATGAACAAGACTATATCTTCACTTGTAAAAGGGGTAAATTAATCATCTTTTTTCTCAAAGCAAGGTTACATCTGTGAGTTGGATGTAGAAAAGTCAGAATCAATATAGATGTTTTTATTTTAAAGTATAAATTCAGATTGAACATAGTAAAAAAATGTCTGTCCAAATAAAAAACATTACTTATAGTGAAACACACTCTTGAATGATGGGATAGTAGACTAAAAGCTTTAGGAATCCAAACTAAAACATAAGTACCCTGTATCAAGATTGATGCCAAATAAGTTACATTTGACCTTTTTAGATAGGTTTAGAAAGAACCAACTTCTGGGGTCATTTGGGTGGATTTGTGATATCTCTGGAACCCATTGGTCGAATTTTGGTGATTGACACCACTTTTGAACCGTGAGAGCCAATAGAATCGAGAGGGAAGTTCCTAAAAATCCATCTAAACATTACCATTGGTGAAGGGAATGATGTGCAGCCAGCATGCCCAAAACCGGAAGCTGGGTTACAGCTCTCATACACTTTGTATGAAAACTCAGTTTTTGACAGAAATGTTATGATGTGACACAGAGACATTAGATTAACCTTCAGCAGCGTTTTTATGCGTTTTAATGCCATTGATCACAACTTTTGATCAGAAACAGCAAAGGTACGATGTATTTGCCGGTTTTTTCTACGTAAAGCTAAGTTGTGTGTTGTCTGGTTTTGCCTTCGCTGCCGCAAGTTTTTTGTCTTGTTTGTGCAGATCCGATGAAGTATAACATATTTCTACCGTGAGTTATGTGCTAAGTGCGTTAGCACTCTTTCGCTTAGTGCTAATTCAGACGCTCGGTGTTAGAGTTGTGTTTTGTTTTGGTAAAAAAAATTCATATCGCCAGTTAGCTGAGTTTCTTCCCGTTAAGTGGGTATGACACATTAATAGGTGTTAAATGTTAAAAAGCCCTAAAACACAGTTTCGGGCAGGGGCTATGGGGCTTAACAGGTTAACTACTTAGAGCTCAACAGACTGAAAATGAAAGCCTAAAATATCCCTTAAATCATGAATCTTGCTTTTCACCTATTGATCAAATCTCCCGTACCTAACCGAAGCCCCCATTCCAGGAACAAATAGAAAGTTGGACGGCTGCTTGTTCCTGTTTATTTTTTGTTCTTGAGTTGATTGGCCAGCCAATCAAGACCCTCGTAGAGGCCGTCTCCGCTGGTGGCGCAGGTGGCCTGGATGTACCAGTTACGGTGACGCAGGGAGTGTAAGCCCAACTTGTCTGTGATCTCAGCGGAATTCATGGCGTTCGGTAAGTCCTGTTCAGAGACGAGAGGGTGAGAGAAGTCAAGGGTCAGTCATCTGGCTTTGTGTGACTAGAAAGCAAATATCTTCCATTTTAGTTTAGGTTAAAATTGCAAGTATTGTTTTTTCTGCAGATGTGTGTGTATGGTTTTGGTTTGAAACAGATCTAATTATGGTGATATTGACTGATATTGCAAACGTGATAAATTGATATAAAGGATAGAAGGTCACAAACGAAACTATGTATATATATTCTTTTCCATCAAAGACTTCCAGAGGGTTGTAAGCTTTTCATCATTCAACTAAGGTATTTCAGATCAGAATCGATTTTATTACCAAGTTTACACATACGAGGGATTTGCTTATTATCATCTTTTAATTTAGACAATAATGATTATAGCAGTAGAATTCTATTTTGAAGATACTAAGAGGTTTGTTGATATGGACTGATCTTCCACTACAACACTTTTTTGTGTCAATTTATATGCAATATGTACAATAAGTGTGTATATACCGTATGCCGAACAGTTTATAGTTTCTTGCCTGTTTGTTGGCAAACACAAGGAGGACTGCATCCCTCAGTTCGTCCTCAGCTAACATCCTCATCAGCTCCTCCCGTGCTTCATTCACACGCTCTCTGTCGTTACTGTCCACCACGAAGATTAGACCTGAAACAGCCAAACATAAAAAACGTCATCCTAATTATTTCTGAGGAAGAACAAGAAAGTAGCGTTTGATTAGCTCTTCTCACCCTGTGTGTTCTGAAAGTAGTGTCTCCACAGGGGGCGGATCTTGTCCTGCCCGCCCACATCCCACACAGTGAAGCTGATGTTCTTGTACTCCACTGTCTCCACGTTAAACCCTGGAAATAAGAGTGGGGTGATACAACATGTAAAACAAAAATGGCGGTCCATTTATATGACAATAATTAGCAACAGATATTATTTTTGACTGAGCACCTACCGATGGTTGGGATGGTGGTGACTATTTCCCCCAGTTTGAGTTTGTAGAGGATTGTAGTTTTTCCTGCAGCATCGAGGCCCACCATCAAGATCCTCATCTCCTTCTTCCCTATGAGGCTTTTCAGCAAATTCCCAAAAAGGTTCCCCATGATTCAGATGAGGTTCTGAAACTTCAGTGTGTGGCTACAACCTTGATCAAAGATGATTTTTCACAAATGTGTACTTGTCCAGCAAGGTTTGATTAAAAAGGGGGGCTGAAAAGAAACAGAACAAATACACATTATTACTTTTATGTTTAATGCAATATTGCATTGTGAAATCAGATGAATGATTCTCACAAACATGTTGGAATAAAGAGATGATTAGTAATAAGTTACACGCTCTTTAAGGCCTTTGTTAAATTACAAAGAAGGACACACTCCTGCTCTTTTAATGATCTGAAAGCACTGCACTACCATGAGTCATGACAGAAACTGTCACCTTTTTATGTAAATGTCCTCGCTGTGGGACAAATAAAGGATCTCTGATTTCTACACGCACCACACTAAGACAGGTGCAAGCTATGCTAATTGCCTTCAGTCAGACTCCAGGCTGCAGCACAATCTGTTCGGACCCTTCTCGTTGTTTTCTTTCTCCTTCAAATGTGATCTTGCAACAATGCCAAGCCCTCAGAGCACATTCAAAATGTCCTACATTACAGGCCTGGCTTGAAACCATTCAGTTGATCCCCAACCACAAAACCACCTGGACTAAAACACGGACAGAACAACACGTCTGCAGCTTTGTCCAACATTCTGATTATTGTATCGGCAACAAACATTTGTGCATATTTATGTGTCAACAGAGTTTAGGAGTAAAATGCTTTTATATAAAGGGCTGGGTGATGTGGAGAAAATAAAATGTAATGATCTCTTTGTACATCAGTGATGTTGAAATAAGTAGGTAAACAAAAACACTACAACACCAAAAACAGTCTAGTAATTTCCCTTTACATGCAACATTCAAGACGACTCTTATAGATATGCAAAAGATAAGACGATATGTAGTTGCAAAACACGATATCTGTATACGATGTAATATACTGCAAAGCTTCAATCCAGAGTCCAAAAACATTGGACTGTAGAACTGCACACAATTATCAAAGCGAAAAAGTCCTCTTACTAGCTATAAGCCTGATTATCAGATTGATTTGATTTCAATGTATTAATGTATTTATCTGGTAGTTTACATGTGTATGTTGCCTTTCAACACAGCAAATGTTTTTCACAGATGGAATGTACCTGTAACTAATGCAGAGGGTTGTGTTATAGGTTATATTTAATGTTCCCAACTAATGTTTTCTAAATGTAAATGTAATGTAATATGTTTTGACATTCTGGCATATCTACAAATTGCAAATGCTCTACATTTAACAGTATGTGTAGAAGTTATATTTCATGTTCATCCTACAACGCCAGTTAAGGACTCAGATTATCAACAGACTCATATTGAGCTAACACACAGAGGATAAAATACAAATAAATAAAGTCTCCAGAAGAACTGAGACTAGCTTCAGCCCTGTCCATGGTGCTGAAGAGGACCACCACACCTGTCACTGCCTGACACCAGATCCTCTCCTCTCAGGTGCGTTCACAGGTATGAGTGTGAGCTCATATACATGTGATTACTGCACGATATACCGGCCTGATCATGTTCATTCAGCTCCGGGGGACTCAGGTTACTGCAGCAGGATGCTACACGGTTACGTTATGGCTAGCCGTCCATCCCACTGCTTCAGTTTGCGAATAAGCACACTTAATCTCAGCTACCAAGTTTAACGACCTCCTCATTATCTAAAATAATGTAAACTCTTTACCAGTTTAACTTTAATCGCTGTATCGATGCGCTAGCTAACTACCCGATCCACCCCATTCATCCATCCGATTATATCCCCTCCTCAGCGGGCATCCTGCTGCCAGAGAGCCGCCCACCGCAGCCACAGAGCGGACAGCACCGAGGCTACACAGCCGCCACAAGGCAACCATTAAACACAACGATATTGAATCACCTGGTGGTACATGCGTGTGTGTTATCTGGGTGCATGGTGCCAGTATCCTTACTTACCTTAGCCGAGTTTTCCTCTGCTGCTATGTCTCACGGTATTTTCCGGGAGACGAACTCAGCATTGAACCAGATCTCGCGAGATTTGATGTCAAAGCCAAACCTTGATTGTGTACCCTGCATAGTATAGGTTGACTGCAGAGGTGGGGAAGTACATATACTCAAGTACTGTACTTAAGTACAATTTTGAGATACTTGTCCTTTACTTGCATATTTCCCTTTTATGCTACTTATGAGTACTTCTACTCCACAACAATTCAGATGTGAATAGTGTACTTTTACTCTTCTACAATTATTCCATACCTTTAGTTGCTTTTACAGATTTTGATTAATGATGTGGGAATCATCACTTAAATAAGTCTTTAACTACACCTGGAGAAAATTCACAAGCTACACGCTGCAGTATACAAAGTCATTAAAACTAGCTGCACCTTTACCAGCTTTGCTAAACACATTAATGCATCAATAATTATAATCAAAACATATAATATATCTTATTCTGAAATATACCAATCTGCATGATGAGTACTTTTAATTTTGGTGGCCTACTTTAAGTTTATTTAGGTGACAATATTTTTGTACTTTTACTTAAGTAACATTTTAACTGCAGGACTTTTACTTAACAGAGTATTACTACACTCTGGTACTTCTACTTTTATATAGGTACATAAGATTCCATCTCTGGTTGACTGTCTTTTTTTACAAGCAGGATTGTATTTGGGTTTGATAAAGATTTGCCACATTTAAAAATTATTTTGGAACATTGTCACTTCACTTCTGATTTGTAAGTGTTTTGGTTTTTCACTTATACAACAATGAAATAAAAGATGAGGTTAAACACAACATGCTGCTAAAGCTTCAGTTATTTTTTAGTTCAATTTCAATAACATAAATATCACTCTTCACATAACTTTAACAAAAAGTTAACAATAAGTAGTGCCAATAAATTACCTCTGGTGAAAAATGTGTTCTTTCTCCAAACACATAACAGTTATATTCGTTTCTCTGTTTTCAATGGGCCATGTTTGTAACCACCCAAGACTCAAATACTACTTCCTTAATTTGTCTGATTAGTCACAGACACCTATACACAAAATGGTGTGGTCATTCTTCTCGACTTCTTTTTAAATAAAATAAAAAAATGTTTTAATTATTGCCCATGTCATAACAAAAAAGGAAAAAAATATACACATTTTGCAATGTTGTGTAATATATTGTATTTTAAAATTAAATAAAGTATAATTGCATTGAGGGCATCAATTTCAATTCAAAATGCTGAGAAGCATCACCAGCTTCCACTTGAACACACACAGGAGGTTTTCCAAGAGATGACCAGAGTGCATTTTAATTAGCTGTATGCCACTTAGCATCAAGTTCAGTCGAAATGATCATTGTCATGTATGTGCTGATTTGAATTGCTACTGAGCTTGACATCCTATTGTATAGAGTTCCTGTTTTTTGTGTGAAATCAAGTACGTTTAGTTAAATTAAGTTGGTCTTCAGGAAATTATCTTCAGAATTGCATAAAGTGCAATATTTTTATCCACAAATGGGGAACAAAATAAAAGTTTCTGAATAGAAATAATCATGCAATCCTTAATGTAAATAATTAGGTGATATAGACTATACTATTTTTAAACCACAGAAAATCTTATAGTCGCCTATATGAAAAAGAGAGTTTACCCCCATTGCCACATTTACCTAACACATTAGGTAAATGTGGCAATGGGGGTAAACAAGGTACGTGAAAACAAATACAAATGTATCTTTATGACACTACAAGGATGTGTTTTGATTTTGTATCCATCCATCCATCTTCTCCCGCTTATCCGTGGTCGGGTCGCTGGGGTAGCAGTTCCAGCAGAGAGCCCCAAACTTTCTTTTCCCTGGCGACATCAACCAGCTCTGACTGGGGGATCCCAAGGCGCTCCCAGGCCAGCGAAGAGATATAATCCCTCCACCTGGTCCTAGGTCTACCCCTTGGTCTCTTCCCAGCTGGACGTGCCTGGAACACCTCCCTAGGGAGGCGCCCAGGTGGCATCCTAACTAGGTGCCCGAACCACCTCAACTGGCTCCTTTCGACGCGAAGGAGGAGCGGCTCAACATCTCGGCCGCTTGTATCCGCGATCTCGTTCTTTCGGTCATGACCCATCCTTCATGACCATAGGTGAGGGTAGGAACGAAAATGGCCCGGTAGACAGAGAGCTTTGCCTTCTGGCTCAGCTCCCTTTTCGTCACAACGGTGCGGTAAAGCGACTGCAGTACCGTTCCCGCTGCTCCGATTCTCCGGCCCATCTCACGCTCCATTGTTCCCTCACTCGAGAACAAGACCCCGAGATACTTGAACTCCTTCACTTGGGGTAAGGACTCATTCCCTATTTGAAGTGGACAGTCCATCGGTTTCCTGCTGAGAACCATGGCCTCAGATTTGGAGGTGCTGATCCTCATCCCAGCCGCTTCACACTCGGTTGCGAACCGATCCAGTGAGTGCTGAAGGTCGCAGACCGATGAAGCCATTAGAACCACATCATCTGCAAAAAGCAGTGGTGCAATCCTTAGTCCACCGAACTGCAGACCCCCTCCCCCACGACTACGCCTCGAAATCCGATCCATGTATATTACAAACAGGATTGGTGACAAAGCGCAGCCCTGGCGGAGGCCAACCCTCACCGGAAATGTGTCCGACTTACTGCCGAGGACCCGGACACAGCTCTCGCTTTGGGAGTACAGAGATTGGATGGCCCTGAGTAGAGACCCCCTCACCCCATACTCCCGCAGCACCTCCCACAGTAACTCCCTGGGAACTCGGTCATACGCCTTCTCCAAGTCTACAAAACACATGTAGACCGGATAAGCGTACTCCCAGGCCCCCTCCAGGATCCTTGCGAGAGTAAAAAGCTGATCCGTCGTTCCACGACCAGGACGGAATCCGCATTGTTCCTCCTCAATCTGAGGTTCGACAATCGGCCTGACCCTCCTTTCGAGTACCTTAGAGTAAACTTTCCCGGGGAGGCTGAGTAGTGTGATGCCTCTGTAATTGGCACACACCCTCTGATCCCCCTTTTTAAAAAGGGGAACCACCACCCCAGTCTGCCACTCCTTCGGTACTGTTTCCGACTTCCACGCAACGTTGATGAGACGTGTCAACCATGACAGTCCCTCAACACCCAGAGCCTTCAGCATTTCCGGGCGGATCTCATCCACCCCCGGGGCTTTGCCACTGTGGAGTTGTTTGACCACCTCAGTGACCTCCCCCCGGGAGATTGGTGTTGATCCCCCGTCATACTCCAGCTCTGCCTCGCGGAGTTGTCGGGTTCAGGAGTTCCTCAAAGTGTTCCTTCCAACGCCCTAACACTCCATCAGTTGAGGTCAACAACGTCCCATCCTTACTGTACACAGCTTGGATGGTTCCCTGCTTCCCCCTCCTGAGGTGTCGGACAGTTTTCCAGAACAACTTTGGTGCCGCCCGAAAGTCCTTCTCCATGTCTTCTCCGAACTTCTCCCACACCCGCTGCTTTGCCTCGGCCACGGATGAGGCTGCTGCCCTTCGGGCCTGTCGGTACCTTGCAACTGCCTCGGGAGTCCCCCGGGATAACAAATCCCTGAAGGCCTCCTTCTTCAGTCGGACGGCTTCCCTGACCACCGGTGTCCACCAGGAGGTTCGAGGGTTACCGCCCCTTGAGGCACCTAGGACCTTGAGACCACAGCTCCCCGCCGCGGCTTCGGCAATAGAGGCTTTGAACACCGACCACTCTGGTTCAATGTCCCCAACCTCCACAGGAATGCCCGAAAAGCTCCGCCGGAGGTGTGAGTTGAAGGCCTCCTGAACTTGGGCCTCCTCCAGATGTTCCCAGTTCACCCGAACTACACGTTTGGGCTTACCAGGTCTATCCAGAGGCTTCCCCCGCCACTCGACCCAACTCACCACCAGATGGTGATCAGTTGACAACTCCGCCCCTCTCTTTACCCGAGTGTCCAAAACATACGGCCTCAGGTCCGATGATACGATAACGAAATCGATCATGGACCTTCTGCCTAGGGTGCTCTGGTACCACGTACACTTATGAGCATCCTTATGTTCGAACATGGTGTTTGTTATGGCCAATCCATGACTAGCACAGAAGTCCAGTAACAAAGCACCACTCCGGTTCAGATCAAGGGGGGGCCTTTTCTCCCAATCACGCCCCTCCAAGTGTCTCCATCATTGCCCACATGTGCGTTGAAGTCTCCCAGCAAGATTAAAGAGTCCCCTTCAGGAGCCCCATACAGGACTCTTTCCAGGGTCTCCAAGAAGGCTGTATACTCTGAACTGCTGTTGGGTGCATAAGCACACACAACAGTCAGAGTTTTCCCCCCCATAACCCGCAGGCGTAGGGAGGCGACCCTCTCGTCCACTGGGGTAAACTCCAACAACGAAGCACCTAACCGGGGACTTGTGAGTATCCCCACACCCGCCCGGCGCCTCACACCTTGAGCAACTCCGGAGAAGAATAGAGTCCAACCCCTATCCAGAAGTAAGGTTCCTGAGCCGACGCTGTGCGTAGAGGTGAGCCCAACCAGATCCAACTGGTAACGCTCCACCTCCCGCACAAGCTCCGGCTCCTTCCCCCCCAGAGAGGTGACGTTCCACGTCCCCAAAGCCAGCTTCTGTCGCCCGGGTCTGGTCCGTCGAGACCCCGCCGCTTTCACTGCCACCCTTCTGGCAGCGCACCCGACCCCATCGATGTTTCCCGTAGGTGGTGGGCCCGCGGGACGGAGAAGCGGAGGTGTTGCCCACGTTGCCTTTTCGGGCTGGGCCCGGCCGGGTTCCGTGGCAAGCCCGGCCACCAGACGCTCGCCGACGAGTCCTCCTTCTGGGCCTGGCTCCAGAAGGGGACCCCGGGCTTCCTCCGGGCCGGGTATCCTCACTTCTTGTGTCGTCTTTCATGAGGTCTTTTGAACCAATCTTAGTCTGGCCCCTTGCCTGAGACCAATTTGCCATGGGAGACCCTACCAGGAACACAAGGTTCCAGACAACACAGCCCCCAGGTTCATCAGGGCACACAAACCTCTCTACCACGGTAAGGTGCTGGTTCCCCAGAGATTTTGTATCGTCACGGTTTATTGCACTTATTGTATGTAACGTAAAATGACTTACTGTTTGTTTTACCAGCAAAGTATAAATATGCTGCTATGCTGTATGCATAGTTCTGTTATCTGAGGGGGAAGCAGGCTTTATTTGTATTTTGCACAAAAAGATGAGTCATTAGTTTACATTGTGTGCTGCACTGTGATGTTTTGCATTTTAATGTACTTGATCCTACTCCTATTTGTAAAGAGGGAATCTGTATTTCACTGCTATTTCAGACATTTAAGTAAACATTCACCACACATTTACAATGCTTTGACACACTGTGCTACACTGTTGCTCACCAGGATTCAGTGGACAGAAATAAAGAGCAGCACAATGCTTGAGCAAGCAACATCATGGCATTTCGCCTAGCACTGAGCAGACTAGGTTTATTTAGCTGGCACCATATCATAGAGATTATACTAACGTTTGTCATAAAAAGGTATTGTTTATCTAATACATCTGCTGCTTTGCAGGTCATTATTGCAAATAAAGCGAGGGGGAGTGGAAGTCATTTATAGATGAAAACAACACAGTTGACAAGATGGAATGAGCACAGACTCTGCAAAAATGATATCTCAATTTGCAGGTACTAGTTTGGCTTTTTGAGTTTTTTAAGAGTAACAGAGTTGTAGTTCAGACATTTGAATAAATAGTGTTTATACATTTCCAATCTTTGTTAATCAAGCTATTCTTATAGGTTGATTAATCACTACTCTACTTGAGTTGCTGACATTTAATGATCTTGTTAGTAAGTCATCGAGATGTTCTGTTTGACAGGAGTCATGACAGCACTCATACATTACACTCAAACTAAAAAGAGGGTGATGAATCATTAAATATAGGGGAAGAAAATAGGTCTCAACGTAGTGGACATGTTTGAGATCATCTAATTTGTCAACTTTGTAAATGACCACGCAATGTGTGTTTTATTTAATTTGCACATTATGTTTTCTTACTATGTATAATCTCTTGTCTGGTTTTGTAAAGTGTACTTGGGTGACCTGAAAGCTGTAAAAAACATTATAATAATAATAAAATGTCTAATAATAATAATAGTAATAATAATAATTATGATAATAATGATAATTTACAATTTGTATGTCTGCTTTCTTTTTCCTCCTTGAAGTTATTGTTCCCTTATTATCCATACACATTTAATATGACAGAGAAATACTATTTTTGTTATTATGGGCTTTCACCTCATTTGACATTGTCTGATGTCCTCTTCTGAAGTCAGTATCAGTGTGTTAGTGAGGGGCTTCAAACAATAACACAGATAACTCACAGGCAAAGGAGCTGACAGTCTGCTGCAGAGCACTGCCCCCCAGCGCCTCTGCGGAGCTACCGCTGCAACCCCCCTCCCCCCCGGCGGTTGACGGGATGCTGGCGGAATGATCGAGGCGGACTCTGTAAGGAGGCCCAGGTGTTGGTCCACGGGCCCCGAGTCCTTATCACTACAGCATAATAACACATCAGCATTACTCGGGGCTGAGCCATTTTGGACACACAGGAGCACGCTCTCCCCCCGCCGCTGTATGCAGAAGAAGCCTGAACACGGAAGTTGTTGGTTTGGATGGCAGCTGTTTTCCAGAAGTTCACGATGAAGAGCACCGTTTTCCTGCTGCTCCTGGCAGTTCTCACCTGTGGACTCTCGCAGGGAAACGAAAATGATGTCGAGGAGGTGCAGGTGGAGACCCTGGTGAGCCAGACACAGTAACAATGCAGCAATAACACCCACTGCCAAATATAACAGTGTTAACAGTTAACTCTTCTGACCCAAAGGTGCAACCCGAAACTTGCTCTGTACTTTCCAGAATGGGAGATACGTTGAAAATCCACTACACGGTAAGACAAAGGACACAACAATCCGTTATGTCTGCGTTTTGTAATAAATCGTAGGGAAGCGGACCCAGCTGCTGACGAAAGCAGTTGTTGTATATGTGGCACCGTCTGCATGAACCATGGGAACCCGCTGTGTTTATGTATTACAGACAGATCTGGGTTCAGCAGCTGTCAGAACTGCATTTTCGAAATTAAAATGGGGCAGATTGTGGTTTATTGTCAAGCAGTAGGCCTACGTTTGATTTGGGATTGTCTCGTGTGCCTTTATCTGTCCTCTGCTATTACTATGGAGTGATGGGGCGGTGCAACACGTCAGCAATAAAGCCCAACCACTTCATCCAGGCATTCTTATAGTAGGCCTACAGGAGGCTCTCTATTGGAGGCTCACACATGTTGATCTTTAGGAAATAGAAAACTCACAGTCTAAATGTTATTTGTCATCAGTGATTAATCAGACACATATTTTATAGATGAATCGACTAATTAATCGTTCGGTAGATAAAATTATAACAATATTAAGAATCCATTATATATGTTATATTTTCTTTGAAGAATAACGTAGTCAAGTATACCTCCTAAAAGGCTGCATGCTCAAACTTCTCAGGAGTTGATACATTTAAACAAATCAATCATTCCAATCTTAGTGTTGTTCTTTCCTGTCACCATCTCACACGTTACCATGTATATTTCACTATCCAGGGTAAACTGTTGGATGGAAAGGTGATCGACTCGTCACTATCCGTGGACCCGCTTGTGGTAGAGCTGGGGAAGAGGACAGTTATTGCTGGTAAATTAACAGTAAATCATTGTGTGTTGCTCAATCAGTGGCACTTTTGAGAGTTCTGCAACATGTTGAGTGTGCCGGGGAATGTGCTCGCTTTGCTGATTGAATTTCTCTGTGTGATTTTCTTATCAGGTCTTGAACAAAGCTTGGTTGGCGTGTGTGAAGGGTAAGTAAAATGTGAAGGTCCATTTGAAAGAAAGAGCCTATCAATTGATTTACTTGTCTGCATGCAGCCTTAAGCCATTGCAAAAACTATGTTCTCTTTTTCTCGTTTAGGCAAAAAATTAAAGCCACTATTCCATCTCACCTCGCATATGGAAAAAAAGGTTACCCTCCTACAATTCCAGGTACTGAACCCATGCAGACAAATCACACAGACATATGAGCAAAAGGCTTGGTGAAAATGTACAATCATGAACAAAAAAGAATAAGCCTCATTAGTTGTTTATTTATATATGTATATGTTCCTATTTGTGAACCGAATGTACGCACACTGAAGTGCAAACAATTAAATAATTAATTTTTCACCTGCTGACTAATAAAGTCTCATCTCTTTTTCACTTTTCATTTTCATTTGTAAAACAAAAAAAGTAAAACACATTAAACGTGAGTTGGATCTCTCCTAGGTGACGCTGTCCTTGAGTTCGAGGTGGAGGTTGTTTCTCTGACACAGCAGACGCCATGGCAGAAAATGGTGACGGACGTGCTCCCCCTCGTGTGTCTGGCTCTGGTGCCCACTCTGCTGGGCCTGGTGGGCCTTTACCTCTACAACAAGGCCAATGCAGAGAAGCCAAGCAAAAAGAAGTCAAAGGATAAGAAGATCAAGAAGAAATAAGGACAAGCCACAAAACTATTTAAATAAAGTTTTTTAATTGTATTTAGTGTTCTTTATTTTTATTTAATCTGAATTGGCTTTGTGTATAAACCATTCTGGGAATTAAGATAGGAAATGTTGTAATTATGTATAAATTCACTGTCTTTTAATCCTGGGTAAGTTATAATGGTCTGAAACTTCTCTTACCAGAGAAGCTATTAACCAAAGCTTTACAGTTTGTCTCTCTATCAACCTTTCACACAGCATGCACAATAAGCCTTCCATCTTGAGATAGGTAACATATATTCATAAAGATTATGTTTTCCTTAAAGTTACATTATTAAAGATAATTATTTCTGTATGGAAATGTAGTGCAGACTTCTGTGATCACTGCATTGCCACATAGTAACCTCACTTTCAACAAGTAACCTGACTCAAGTCTGGAATTCAATTGTCATTTTTGAAGTCGAACAAATAATCAGGCATCCTTAAATATCGAACATTGCAGAATGTACTATGAAATGATTGGCTATACATTTATAGAAGAAGAAGATACACTTTATGAATCCCATACAGGGAAATGTATTTCCCCACACATTACACACACAGGGGAGGATATACATGCACACACACACACAACCACATGCAGATAGGAGAGGTGACAGAGCAGAGAGGCTGCCAGGTACCCAGTGCCAAGGGAGTTATTTCGAGGTTAGGTGCCTTGCTCAATCAAGGGCACCTGGCGGTGAACTGGCACCTCTCCAGCTACCAGTTCACTCCGATCGAGACGTGAACCGGCGACCCTTCGGTTCCAAGATCAAGTTCCTACAGAATGAGCCACTAGCATTGCAATGAAATAGTGAAAAGCATGTAAGTAATCGTCTGCTATTTTCACATTGCTGTGAAAGATATTTGGCCAGTAAAACACAGTAGTCTGGTGAATTTCAATCGCAAAATGAGTGTGAAACTCACTTTATCTTTATGATATGAAATAAATAATATTTTAACGCACTCTCAGTAGAGTAAGGAACATAGGTGGGCTTGTTTTACTATACGGCGGTGCTCGACGGCACTGCCAGTGTGCCTCCACCATAGACTGTGGCCTCCACCCATGAACTCCGCTCACTCGCGTTACGCTGGTAAGAAACGTTGACTACACTGATATCCCTCCGCGATTAAAATAAGAATGAGGTTATTTTTCTTAAGATATTTTGTGCATTTTTTTATTTAGTTTAGACACTCAATTCGAACACACTATTCTGTAGAAAAGATAAACAACATAGGGCATCTACAAGATTGTATTTTTGAAATAAATATCTTGAGGGCGGAGCGGATGGCCCTACTTCTGGCGGTACAACCTCTTCCGGTCCTCTTTCCAGCTTCCCGTGCAACATGGTGAGTGTGTTTCAGCGGCGGCCGTGTGGCAAAAACTGAATTTACTGTCATTGTATTCGAATTATCACACGTAATTGAGTATTATTCCCATTTAAAGACATAGCTATACAACGATGTGTAAAAAAAGTCCACAAATGTCACTCGAATGTATTAATAAAAATAGTTGGGGCCTTATGCTAGCTGTTAGCATGCTAACCGTTTTGTGCATGTGTTCCTGTGAAACAGCGAAGGATGATGTTAATATATGGAAATACACCACAAAGTGGCGTGGATTCATTATATATCTTATTTTATGCCGACGATGTGAACCAATGTGTCAGTTAGACATCATTCAAAAGCTTCAAATTATTATTGTTTTACGTGTGGTGCAATGGCTGCCGGGTTTGAGGCACCGCTGCCATCACATGCATATACAAAGCCCGGTTTAGGAGAGATACACGATTATGGTTAATTCCCCCCACCATCTTATATTTGCATTGCGTTTATAATTAGTTAAGTTTATGGTCTATTCTCAGATAATGTTGACGTATTACCTTGCTCAAAGCCTGTTGGAAAAAAATGTATTGGGAGACTGGCAATTGATTGACCAATCCCGGGATTAGGGACTGTTGGGGCTGTATTAAAAGAAAGGTCAATTGCCATATAGGTCTTCATTTGAATATCATTTTACTTCGTGTATTGTGCATGCAAATGACATATTGCTAGGAAATTAAATAAAAAGGCAAAAACGGTAACCAAAAAACATTGTATTCAGCATGCCAACAGTTGTCAAATTACACTTGCGATGCAAGATATTTAAAAACGTTTACAAATGGTACTTACATTTGTATACGGTAGGATTAAAGTTGTATTGGGTAAAAATCAATACTTTTTGCAATTCACTTGGAGACAAATTATTTTTATTTAAAAGAGGAAATTCTTAAATGTTAAACATAAGCAGACCTTTGCCTTGACTTTGATGCCAATTGTAGGTACTTAAGTTGTTTTGTTAAATAGAAGCATAGCTATTGCGCTGTTTTAGGTTGTATGTCTCTGACTCTTCTCTTTGTTTTACAGACAAAGAAAAGGAGGAATAACGGTCGTGCCAAGAAGGGTCGTGGCCATGTGCAGCCCATCCGCTGCACCAACTGTGCCCGCTGTGTGCCCAAGGATAAGGCCATCAAGAAGTTTGTCATTAGGAACATCGTGGAGGCCGCGGCAGTGAGAGACATCTCAGAGGCCAGTGTCTTTGACTGTAAGTGAACATGCCGTTTGCATCATAAATTGTCTTTTTGATTCTTGTGGCTTGTCCTAATCTGAATCTTTCACCCTGCAGCTTACGTTTTGCCCAAACTCTACGTGAAGCTCCACTACTGTGTCAGCTGTGCCATCCACAGTAAGGTGGTGAGGAACCGCTCTTGTGAGGCAAGGAAAGACCGCACCCCACCTCCCAGATTCAGGCCCGCTGTAAGTACTTTCTACTAGTCTGTGTTGCGTTAACTGTTGGATCTGCTAAACTACACTTAGTCCTAGTCACAGTAGATATTATGACCAATAATAGGAGGTCTAGCGCAGGTGTTGAAACTGGCACAGCTGAATGAATGCAGATATGGGGATTTCTTTTCGTTTGACAAGTCACATTGTCCACTGTGAGAAGGGTCTATATGAGAAGTCTAAATGTTCCCTTTTTTTCTTTACAGGCCGGTGCACCAAGAGCCCCTCCTAAGCCCATGTAAAGCAGAATTGGATGATGCTGTACATCTGAAGAATAAATTCAAAAAATTCTTTACAAAAACTTGAATGTGTGGTGTCAATTATTCTCAACTCACAATTGTGGATAGTTTCAGGAAAGACAAGCCTGTCAAGTATTTTATTTGGAATAAACCTTTTTACAGTACAAAACTTACAGGAATTGAAAAGGCTCTGCAGTTATTTAAAGCAATATCAAACCATTAACGGGATGGTTAACAAATATGGTAAAACTCAAGGGAAGAAATGATTCAACAAAGGAAATTGAACACATAACTAGTTTCTAGTAGTACAGTCTATAAATGGATTTATTTGGTGATCCTTGTGTCTAAAAGTAAAAGGTTGGGGAGCGAACAGCATTTGTTTCGCATGCATCAGGTTTGTCTAGTGTTGCACATGAAGAAGAACTTCTAACTTTAAATTTTTCTGCAGATAATTTTCTAACGAGGTTGCTTATTTTTGGAGAACAAAATGAACAGTTTTGAGAGCTAGCCAAGTAGTTTGCTATTTCTGTACAAGATCAGTCACACTTGAGGTCGACAAAACAGCTGAAAATTCAGAATGTTCCACACATTGTTTCTAGTTGGTTCTTTGTCTCCTAGTAGTCTGCGTTCCCAAAACCCTTATGCATAATGCATTTAATAAATATCTTTGTTCAGGTCAAAGATGGCAAAACAATGTGATCTTTTGTAATGAGCAGGGGGCAAAAGAATACATAAGGCACAATAGCCAAGTCAACTAAACAAAACACACCAACAGAATAATTACACCTGGGCCTTGTTTAACTACAAGCCTTGGCCTAAATCCCAATATACAGTGAAGTTGGATCCAGTCAATAGGTCTAAGCTCTTGTCCAAGTAAAACTGATGTCAAGTTCAGTGACCACTTTGGTGTTGACCATCTAAATTAGTGATGTCAATGGTTTTCTAAGTAAGGTTGCAGCAAACTACATCTCAAGCTTCACTGCCATGTTTGACTTAATGCAGACTTCTCTCCTGACATGACCTCAGTCTATATTTTTATATTAAGGCAAGTTAATTTGAATATTAAATAAAACTACAACTTTAGAAGTGAAATATTTGTCCACCTATTTAAATGTGTTTCTGTAATGGGGAGAAGCCCACAGGGCTTTGTGTCAACACCTGACGCTCCCTTTAAAATCTCATACAGTATTGTGTAATAAGATTTCTAACCATTAATCAAAACAAGTACAACTCCACTTCATAATTTGTTAAAGCAAAAGAACATATAGGGTAAACTTAGTTTATTTATTTTGAAAAGGAATCTCCAAATGATCTTTTCTAGATGTCTTCTGTAAAGCTAAGTGGAGATACCTCCTGGAACATCTACAAGGTTTAAATAAAGGAGCAATACAAACAGAAATATTACCTTGCCGTTTCTTTCTTATTCCTACTCGATGCATTTTTTCCCCCTTTTGCAACTGTCATTTTCAAAGTAGAAAGAAGTGGTTCTTTGGTTGAGATTAGAAGATAAAGAGACATGTCATCCTATGAGAAATCCATGGAATCATTCATAACACTAGAAATGATCCCGAAGTATACACTTCAAGCCTTGAGTGGTCAGAGGATTTTGTTCAACCTGCAAAGGTGCTCTTGGGGAATATATACAAATTTAGAAATCTAGATATCAGTGGGTCTCTGAAAAATATGTCTCAGTTTGTCCTAAAGTTATTTGAGTGACTATTTAGATTGAGAACATGGAGATGAATCTGAAATATAAACAAGGAGTTCTAGACCACTATCTCTATTGTTTTACCATTTAAACAGTCAAAACAGAATCAAGAGCTAAAAGTGAAACATCTTTCTTAACCCTTGTGTTGTGTTCGAAAGCTGTTAACGTTCATGGTGTTCGCGGGTCAATTTTGACCCATGATTTATCTCAGTCCAAAACACAAAAACAATTATTACTTATGCATTCGTAACCGTACAATCTTGTTGTAATTTTATTTGATGGCCCAAAACACATTACACCACATATTGCCCACGTGCATGTGTGAGTTTAGGTTCAAGTGTTAGTGTACATATTCTTTGAGAAAGGTGGAGTTCCCGTGGGGGGAGGGGGGCCAGAGGGATGGGAGACCAGGTGCATGTTGCATACAATTATTATTACAGTGGATGAAGGGGGTGAGGTGTCTAAAGTCAAAGATTCATTTTGATTGGGCAACATTTGACCCAGTGACCCACAACAATGCTGCTGGGTCTCCCCAGACCCGAACACCAAATGATACACTTTTAGAGACCTTCAGACTTGGCTCAAATCAGTTTTGTAGTGTTCATATAGCTGTTGTGGAGGATATCATGAAGCCTTGTTCCGATCAAAAAAACTAGAGCGTAGTTATTATATCATCTTTAACTTGAAACGGGTCACGGGAGACCCGAACACAACATAAGGGTTAACGTACATTTAATTTCTGCACCTTATTAACAATATTACAGGTTATATCATAGATCACAACCAGCATTTTGAAAGAAAAACCCTTTTCACTGTGGACTAAAATGTGTTCAAAGAAAATCTAATATCTAAACGTTTTTCCTGTGAGGACATATTAAACTGCCACTGCACTTATTCATGTCATAGCAGCAAAAGCCTTGCACGTTAGTCTTTGATAAATGAGTAAAACTGTTTTTTTCACATGAATGAAAATCAGCGTGAGGGAGTGAAGAGTGGGAGAATATAAATATTGTGCAAAGCTATAAGATGTGGACTATTGTCGGGAAAAACTTGAATAAGGAATTTTATTTTGTAACTTAAGTTATTTAAAATCACCAACAATGATCTGACATGATTCTGGTCAACAAGATATGATCAAGGTGAAGAAAGGCACAATACAATAAGATAAAAACATCAAAAATAATTAGAAAATATAAATAGATTTGTGTTGGTGTGCAGTTTGATGTAAGAGCAAATGTTAAAGGCTTGTTAAGACCCTAACCTATTCAGTAATCTCTACAATTGTGGCAGTGATACTCGTACTCTTTTCCCAGAGGGGGGAAAACCTTTTTTTCTCATTTAGAGAAATGTGCAGGTCATTAATGTATTCAATAAAATAGTTTAATATAATTAAAGTATTCTGGCAGGTATCAGTGCAACAAAAGCAGTAATAGAAGAGAGAAAAACAAACATTTCGTACATTGTGCCACACGGCATTCACACAAAGGCCTTCCTTTTCTACCTTACTCATTCAATTAACTTCCATAACACACAGGTTCTGTCATATCACCATCTCAAAAACACACACACAAACACACACACAAACACACACAGTTCCATCTGTCCCACCCTGTTAAAAACAAAAGTGCATTTCTTATTCACGGACAACCCCTCAAAATCCTCTATTCGACTTGGACCTGGTTTTTGAGTTTGGTCTGCACTTTTTTACATTATAAAAAGCATTTCATGAGGCAACCCCAAGTTGTAAAAACTCTGTAGAACTTAACATTTGTAAGGGAATCATTTAAATAAATAAGTGCTTTTAGTACAAGGCATTGACCTTTCTACAGATGATATTGTAGGTGAGCCTATTCACTTCTCATTGAGCTGTTAAAGTGCACAAGAAGGGACTTTTCAGGTTATGGACAAAAGCCAGATTGGTATATTGTAATTTGTGCATCAGGTTTGAATCCTGAACTTTGGAGCAAGGCACATCTGCGGATGAAAAAGTGCATTGTCTCATTATCTACAAGGAATTAAAAGTGCTTTTTTAATTGATTAATTGATCAAAGTGCATTTAAAAGTACAAAGGACCACGCTTATAGTGTTAGAAAACACACATATGAGCTGACCATTAATCCTGGGATATGCGTTTGAGTACCAGCACCTAGTTTCATGTATTTAGCGTCTCCTTTAACCCGTGTGCAGACCAAACCCAGCCAGGTCCTTGTCTCAGTGTAAAAATATCTCTAGATGAAGCAGGCTGACCATCCTCAGTCAAGAATGTGCTCCCCTCGGACGATGTGTGAAGAAAATTCATAGCGGTCCTGGCTGCGGTGTCCACAGATGTTACACTCGAAAGGCTGGCGAAAACCGTGGCAGCCCATGTGGATGGTGAACATGACATGGTCCAGGAAAAGCACACGGCAGTGCGTGCAACGAAAAGAGCGCACAGCTCTTCCCTCCCCGTCTACAACTCGAAACGCCTCTGTAGAGGTGGAGGACGGCGCGGTGGGGGAGCTTGGGGTTGGAGCGAGGGCAGGAAGTGGGAGAGCTCCGTCCTCCCGGTCTTTGGCGCGGCTGGGACTGTCCCGGCTCCTGCGATGTGGAACCAGAGGAGGCGCTGGGTGGTGGTTTTTGGAGTGAGGGAGATGATGGCCATTGTTGCTGTGCAGGGCCGGAGCGGTACTGTTGCAGGGCTCGTCTGGCATGCTCTCTGTGTCTGTAGAGTCATGGCAACCGTTGCTAGGTGAGGCTGCATGACTTCGACCCGCAGGCAGGTCTTCGTGACCCTCTGCTGCCTCCCGACCCCCGACCCCCGCAGCTCTCAGCCCGGCTCCAGTCCCTGTGCAGTCCAGCCTGGCGCCCAGAGCCACGGAGCTGTGGAGCGGCCTGAGTTCTGTTAAACATGAGGGGTGAGTGGTGGGAAGGTGTAGAGGCCTCAGTGTGTCCGACACCCCTCCTCCTCCATTACCTTCTACACCTGCATATTCTCCTCCCAGATGAGTAAAGTGTCTGGTTTCGTAGTCCTCCGCATGCATCTCCCCGTCTTTATCCAAACCAGTGCCGAGCTCATAAGGTGCATCTGCAAGGTTGAGGTGTATGAGCTTCTGTCCTGCAAAAGAGAAACAGAATGTACTGTGGAAATCTGTGGAATACGTCCAAAAGCTTGTCCAGGTAAATGAACAGCCTGCCAAGTTATTTGGTAACATTCTTTATGCCATGATTAGTTTGGAGGTTCTAATTCTAACTCAAATTCTGTATTTCCTCCCAAAATGTTTTTAATATAATTAAGTTCAGAATGTGCCATCTAGAGTCAATGTGATTAAAAAGCTTCTAAATGATGGTGCTTTGTATAAGATTTTAAATAATACATGTTCCTGTTAAGCATTTAATATGTTGTTTTTCAGAGTCTGTATTTCCTGTGTAAAACCCAGAGATCTCCTGCACAAGATGTGCATCAATTCATCGTGCATATCTTTCTGATTCACATTGTAGTTTGGTTTGAATCAACAGCCAATCATGCAGCTTGGGCACATACAAAAAGAAATCACTTGAAGAAAAAGATCAGTACTATTGTATGTGTTTCCAATTCAACCAATTAATGCGACTTTTAGTTTCCTCAACCTGTCCACTCTGAGACCAAATGCTCACCTACACATTTTTGAGGTGTGGATCTCTTGCGTTTGGTGATGCTGTTGGCAAGACGATCGATAAATGCCATCTTGTCTGAGGAGGGTTTCAGTAGAGCGTCTGGTATAAACTCTAGCTCTCTCATCTCCTCTCCTGCAGAGTACAAACAAACTTTAATGTTATTTGGGGGGTGTCTTATTACCCAGACAGCATTTATCTCAAATGTTTAAGTTGTATGATGGTTTTTGGATAAAAAAGCAATTAAGTGAGAGGTTGTGTTCATTGCTCTGTTTAGGAGGTACTGTAGACTACATTTCACTAGATTTACATCCGTTTTGAAAATGTTTACAACACTATGTTTAGATTTTGGTTACTATCTTATCTGTGGAAATGTTGTTTACCTGTGACATGTCACCTACGTGAATTCAATTAAACTGTACCTGTATTATGCGCACTGGAGGGCTGCTGTGACTCCAGACTCTGTAAGTAGCTGTGGCAGCGCTCGCGGTGCTCCTCCAGGGTGCTCTGCTGCTTGTAACTGCGGCCACAATAACTGCACTTATAAGGCTTCCCTACAGTTGGAGAGGATACTGGGAAGAGAGTATAAAGAAAAAAATTAAAGGCAAATTAGTGTCACAATATTGTATGCTATCATAAAGAAAAGAAAAACTGTTATCAGCCTTGAACCCGTCCTACCGGCATGAGTGCGAAGGTGGCCAGTGAGCGCGTCTCTTCTTCTACAGGCATAGCTGCAGAAGGGGCATTTAAAGGGCTTCTCCCCTGAGTGCAGCTTGATGTGGCGGAGTAGGTTACCCTTTTGAGTGAAGGAGGCGCCACACTGATTACACTGGAAAGGTCGCTCACCTGGGGATAGATCGAACCCATCAATCCAAATGGTCGGATTACATCTAAAATAATGTGTGTCTAATTTCCTTCCATGACTAAATCCCCTTGACCCATACTCATATAATTGTTGGCGTTAGAAAGAGGTTGGAAAGCATCCTTCTTCATGTTAATAATTCCCTCTTCATTCCCATCACTCTTTGATTTCTTGTAAAAATAATCTCACCCACAAATGGAGTGGAACAGTAACCTTATTTCTGGCATTTCAGGGTAATATCACAAACTTCCATGTGCTGTTCATCAAGCTGAAACAATGGCTTTAAGACAAGTTCTTCCAGTAAATAGTTAAGTAACTTTGGCAAAGAACACAAATTATTATTATTTGTTCAGTACTTCAGTAAAGAATGGCAACAACACAGCAATGTGTGTAGAAGGTTATGTGTATAAGAAAAACACAATATTTCTTTTCAACATCCATGCTATGTATTTGGACATGTGTCTGACCTTATATCCTTCACATAAAGCAAATGTTTTCTCACAGAGATGACTTATCTGAACTGAACTGATCAGTTACCTGTATGGCTGCGTTTGTGCACCATGAGAACATTAGGGCCAATGCAGATCATTCCACAGATGTCACACTTGAGCTTTCCATTTGGAAGTCTGGTGGCTCCAGCTTGCATGGATTCAGGATTGGTGAGCTCCCTGTAGCCTCCAACAGCCTCAGATCCCAGATCAGGACCCCCTTCTTCTAGCCGCTCCCCTCTTTCATCTTCAGTACTGCGGCCTGGGTCTTCATCACTGTACAGCTCCACTTTAATGGAGTTGGCTACAGAGGAAAAGAGCAAACACAAAGAAGTTGTTCAATACTTTTAACCAGCATATCGCCAGATTTAAGAGAAACAGACAACAGTGTGCTTATTTGTCATTACTTATGTGATAAAAGTAGGGACACCTTAGTATACTTTCACAAGCCGTAGTCTGTTCAGCTAGTATACATCTGAGAGAAGCTGATACTTTTGGTTGGCTTTCTATTTATCATGGTTTGGTTTCACAGTGCAAAAAAATAGGATGACATTTAAAAACATTTGAACTCATTGGAACTTAAAAAGAGGTGAATAACCATTACTCACTTACCACTGAGTGAGCGACTAGGGGAGGTATCCTTGCTGTTTGGGGTGCTCACTGTTGCTCCTCCAAGAGCCCCAGAAAACTCTCTTTCCATTGAAGAGTCTCCACTAGCTGCAATAGAGAAGTGGAACAAGCTAGATCTGTCATTTGAACCACGTGCTAATTAATGCAAGTATGTACAACTGTTAATACAAATTGAATTAAGAGAAAGATAGGAGTCTTACCTGAAATGCAAGACGGGACATTGCAGTCTTCAACATCCATACTAGTTCAAGCTGAATACTGAAATGACAGTTGTGCAAAATGTTAAAAAATCAATCTGAATTATCTCTATAAAAAAACTCACATCTAGCCCAACGTGTGTTGTGCAACCCCCATTAATACAACAGGTAAACATTCAGTAGTTACAGGCCTAGGTCAAACTTGACATCACATGGGTAAAATATAACCCCTGATACACTTATAAATTCATTTGGACAAGGCATGAAAACTTAATTCAGAGAAGTTTAGGATTATAATACAAAGATATTGTGATATCACACATGAATGTCAGCTAACTACAAACTTGTCAGTGCAACTTGACTCAAGAAATACATCGTGAACTGCACCAATGTTAACTGCAACATTAGCTACTAGCACTTAAAATATATGAGCTGAAGATTAGTTAAGTAATCGAACCAGACAACAGTTAACTAGCAGCTAAATTAGCGTCAACTCAAACCTTAGCAGCCACAGATCAGCTCATTGACCAATGACAACGTTAATAAAGTAGGCTAATGTTCAGGCTAATCTAACATTGTGCTCATTTGAGACATGTCTGATAAACACATCGTGATCAAGAAAGATAGCCTTTACTTTGACGTTTACATAACGGTGGATTTGAGGTGACCTAAATCTATGGGTCGGCCTATGTGGCTAACGTTAGCATGTGAAATTACCGTTAGCTAAATTAGCTAAACTTCACACTACAACAGTCTGCCATCCTCGGTAGTTTATTGAAAAGAATGTCCCAAAGTTAAAGCTAAGTAATGTGGGAGATGACGCAAGGGATATAACGTTGACTTGTGACATTAATAGTTTTAATGGCACTAAATTGGACACCCAAGTCTTTACGAGGTTGTGTTTATCGCTAGCAATACAAACCAACGTTAGTCATTAGCTAGCCACTGTCAATGTTTCCTAAACGGTTGCTATGGCACCCACCCCCTCCCAAATGCAATTGCTAACCAGCCAGTGTTGAGCTATCGAGCTAGCTCTCCCTGAAGCACTGAAGCCGACTTTTACAACACCGTACAGCGGAGATAGTCAATCATAGAAAGTACTTTTGAAGTGGTACGGTTATCGCAGTAACTGTCGCATTACCTGTCCCTGTCAGGGCCGTTTCAGTGAGATTATTCTGTATTTTCATCTGCCTGTTTATGACGGCAGCATCCCCCGGCAGCGTTTACCTCCAGATCCAAACAATTTCCGGTCAGATGCCAAACCTCTGCCTCTCAAAAAGCAACAGTGAATGGCCTCACTTGAACCACGAATATGTTTTACGAGAAACTGTGAAATGAACTTACAACATGTCTTTAATTATTTATTTAGCACAAGCAAACACGGCTAACACGATATGTGTGTTGTTTTACATTACCGTTATATTTATTAGTAGTTATTTTTGAATGAATAGAATATAATAGAACATGTCTACATTATGGATCTCCACAGGAGAGAAACAAATTAAATAAAAAGATTAAACAATTGATGTAAACTAACCAAAAACAACAGCTCAGATTCATACAGACAAAACAGGTTACAATGTGCAGTAATAATAATATTTAAGATACAGAGACACCAGGTAGGATACAACACATATTCATTTGATGTATTTATGTAATATATGTAAGGTATTCTAATGTATGTAAATCAGATCAGATAACAGTTGGTACGTTTAAAACAATGATAATACTTTTTTCAAAATGTGTTCTGTACTAAAGAATGGCATGAAGCCACAGGTTGAGGGACACCTGCTTCATCTGCATTACCAGACCCTATATTTTGACATGTCAATGAATAAATTGGACCAATATATTTTCAGCTGGCGATGCCAATAATAATGTATATTGCAGCGCTGAAATGCTGTCTTAAATCAGGTAATATATTCATTTTGTAAATACTCTTAAAATGTATTGCTTTGGTGCAGTTGCATTCTGAAATTGATTTGGCATGTCTCCTCATCATCAGTTGTAAAAAAAAACAGCTTATTCTCCTATGTGCAGCTCTTAAAGTTAATATACATTAGTGGCAAGTCTCTGTTAATCTCTGTACTTTAAGCTTTATCAGATGTCATTCGTTTCTGGTGATACAACATGATAGCAGTTTCAGAGATTTAATAAAAGAACCCCATAAATAACAAAATGTTGTAGGCCGCAGTCCAATTGTTATTATTATTGACATGTATATGGAAAAATAAAACTATTTTGATCCCTTGAAATAATTCACAATTTGCTACCTGGTAGTATATAAAGAATAACATAACTCAATAAAAATAACCCCTTCCTTTAGCCGCAACATTCAAATCATAAACACATGAATGCATCAATATTTCAATAATCCAGATTTACAGATATACATTAACCTATCCTGAAATCTTACTTTTTGCCGATTAAGTATATACTTTTATTTGTGTGTACACTACTTATATCTTGATCCTTAAATTTGTTGCTGTTATTTTCACTAGCCTATGTAGTAGCCTATAACAAATAACAAATTGTACGGTGTCCTACGGTGTCCTTCATGAAAGGCGCCTAAAAATAAAAAGTATTATTATTATTATAATAACTTGTTCTTACTAGGGGATCTAAGTACTTTTCTACCTTTACTGCTACTACACATTTTAATCGGTGATTGAGCTTGAAGGACAGACTGAACAAGTCTGAACAGGCTGTCTGTCAGAAATCTGCTTTGTCTGGGGCGCACAGTGACCTCTACTGTACAAGATGTGTCAGTTATGACGTATTGGCTGTTTTTACGACGGTGTGCTTACACAATGACAGTTTCCGTCAGCTCGACTCGCTAATCGTAACCGCGTTGAGCGAGACTTTTTTTTCGATTTCAGTTTCAGTTGGGACAACAATTTCAACATTTCAAACTAACGCTCGATGTCGAGTTACATTTTACACACAGAGAGAGAGATTTTTTGAATAAATAGGAGTTGTACTTTGTGTACTTAAACTCTGAACTTCCAGCTCGAGGCCCAGCAGAGAGCTCGAGCGGCAGCTCCGAAAAGTTTGTTGTTGTCACGTGATGCGAGACGAATGTGGCGATAAAAGTTTGTTTAGATAGTAAAACTAGGTGGCGTACTACGTTATTAAAACCTTTTGAACTCCTTTTTTCACCAAAATGCCTCAACCAAAGCATCGAAAGATTGCTGTTATAGGGTACAGGTCTGTAGGTGAGTAAAGCACACGAGCTGGTGAGCAGCTAATGTTAGTAAGCTAGCTAGCTAACAGGCTAACGCTTTGTTTTCCTCTTAATGTGTAATTACACCACACACGCTAGATAACATTCGTCCATGTTATTTGTGCTCCGTGTGTTTACCCAGCAAGTTGATAACAAAACCACACTAACAATTAACATTATCCGATGGTATACCTAAAGCCATCTGTTACTATTTTGTAACGTGTTGTGTGAAAACAAAGTTAGCTCAGCCGGTGACATCCTAGTATGGAGACTAGTAGTGGGGGTTGAAGTCTAGCAAGTATGTAATGTCGAGAAATTAAGAAAATCAGCCTCTAACCATAATAGACATAGCAAGTTAACATCAGTCGTTTATATTCTAAAAATATGTTTGTGTCTGATATTGCGCCACACTAATGACTAATCATATTCTGAGTTAACCGTTTATTTATCATGTTTTATCACGGTATTTATAATATTTAAAGAAGACATTACCAATAATGTTGCATCAAAAGCATTCACAAGTCTTTATAGCAGTAAAGAAGAGAAATGACCCCACAGATGAACATAGGATTACACATTTTGATAGCTGTGGTAGCAGAACCGGTTGTGTATTTTAAGAGCACTATCACTTCACCAATAGTTAATATCTGTCAATTATTTAATAATAATAATACAATTAATGTAGTCTTTATTATCGGTTTGTACACGTAATCTGAGAGTTTTTAATACAATAGTCTTTCCGTACACAAACATGACATATTTCAGAAAGCTACTACACTGACACAGTATTTGTGTCCCCAACAACAACAACAACAACCATGTTATGTTTCTTTGCCCTTCACAGGAAAGTCGTCTCTTACAATACAGTTTGTGGAAGGACAATTTGTTGACTCCTATGACCCCACCATCGAAAACAGTATGTGTCATTAATAGATTGTGCGTAAGATATTGCCACTAAGAAAGTATTGATATATAGGGCTTGATCTAATAAAAAAAAATCTTTGTTAATCCCTCTCCCCAGCCTTTAACAAATTGGTCAACGTGAATGGTCAAGACTTCAATCTTCAGCTGGTTGATACAGCTGGACAAGTAAGTTCTTCATCTACCAACATATCTGACACAAGCACTTAGCTCTTGTTTTTTTCCTAATTCTTATGACACTGTCACCCTTTAAAAAAAAAATATATATATATATTTGTTGTTATTTTGTTGATTAAAAAGCTAGACTGGCCTACTGGTAGAACTGTGTTTTCCTCCCTTTTTGTGCAGCAAGCAGGAAAGGGAAAGGCTCAACAACAACAACAAGAATATTTATTTAGATAAAAAGCTTGATTTGAAATCTGGAAATTATTAATTATATATTTTTACAATACATTTTGGTTTTGTACTTGAACAAGGCTTTAGAGTTATTGGAAATGTTTGGACCACACACATCAGAACAATTCATACGCAACCCACAATGGGAATCTAATTTTACAAATAGTAAAATATGAATATAAGGAGTGTACCCTAATCTTTATCAGCATCTATGCATAAACACACATTTTAAACAGTATGAATAGAAATGCAAAAAGAGCTTAACCTAAACTGCGTAGTATTCAGATGTGGATGTACAATTGAAAGTGGTAATCCTGTATGTGCGACTCCATTTAGTGATGTGTTGTGTTTGGTAACTTTAATGCCCAATGAGATTATAATACCTTTTTTTCCCTTCTGTCTGTAGGATGAGTACTCCATTTTTCACCAATCCCACTCAATGGACATCCATGGGTATGTCCTTGTCTACGCAGTGACTTCCAATAAAAGGTGAGTGGATGTTTCTTTTTCATATCTGTATGAATAAGAACACACTGTTACTAGTCTTAAAACATTCTATATTGTGTCTCACAATTAATGATAGGAATGTGTTCAAACATATACAGAATTAACTTTTGTTGATACTTTATTGCTAGACCAAAAATATTTAAAATGGTTAAAACTACTATTGTGATAACCCACAGTTTTATCTATTTCAGTGCTGTATTCAAAATCATTGGGTGCCTGTTTGCCCATTTCTTTAAACAAATGTTCATAAGTATATATTTTTTTCTAACAGTACTTTGATTTCTGTCCCTGCTCAGTTTTGAAGTTGTACAGGTTCTACACGACAAGCTGCTAGACATGGTTGGGAAGATTCAGTAAGTTTAGTTTGATCTTTAAAATACAATGTTTCCAAAATGGTCTTTTTTTATTTTGTAAGTGTTTTTTGTTTTCCAACAAGTTTTTATTTTTATTTTTTAAAGGGTCCCAACTGTTCTTGTAGGGAACAAAAAAGATCTCCACATGGAAAGGTAATCAAGATTATTGAACATATTTAGAATCTAAACTGCATGATGTTACTGTCATTGAAAATACAATTAATAATACAGTCAGACATTTTTCATGAAAACGGAAGAACTAAAAATGGATTATGTTAACCTAGTACCTGTTTATCCAAATACTAAAGGAATTTTCCGTAACTGAAGTTTACATTTCTATTTTGCCAGGGTTATCAAGCCAGAGGAGGGAAAGAAACTTGCTGATTCCTGGGGAGCTGCATTCATAGAGTCCTCAGCCAAGGAAAATGAGGTAATGACAGATATTTCCAATTAATCGATGCAGTCCACATACTCATTCTGACAAAGATTCACAAAATGAATTTCATTTCAATATGTTTCATCACACTGATTACAACATTCTTGCAATGCAGACTGCTGTGGAGGTTTTTAAGCGGATCATTTTGGAGATGGAGAAAGCTGATGGAAATGGACCTCCAGAGGAGAAAAAGTGCGCTGTGATGTGAAAGTGTATCCAGGACATCAGCAAGCTCATTTGCTGAAGACAAGAGGCACAACTTCACCAGCTGGCCAATCGTGACCTCACCGACACCAAGACACTGCAGTGGAACTTTTCTGCTCCATTGTGATGCTTGATTGATTTACATAGCAAGCCAACTGTCAACAGTCGATAAAACCATCCCACATATTGTAACCGCAAGGAAAACTTTCTAAGAGCAAGATTCATCTTTGTTTTAGACAAAGAATTACTGACAGTAAATACTTTCTTTAAATACTGAAATGTAATCGTAAACTGGGCATAACATCTATTCAAATGCCCAGAAAACAAAAACATATTTCCAGACATATTAGTCCCAATTAATTGCATCAAATTCTTTAAGTGTATTATGGCAATTACTTCTAAAGATGATGTTTGAGACATCATTGGCTTATATCTTCTAACTCTTTGATTAGTTGAGTTAATGTAAAGGTAGGGCTGGTAAATAACATTCTTTAAGGACTGGTATTATTTCTGACAGTGATTGAGAGTCACAGTTCACATTGCTTTAAATGTGGTGTTAAAATGTCAGTATCTCTTACAAATGGAGTTCCTTAAAGACCCTGAAGGAAATTGAACATAAGAAATATAACTTGTTTCACAGTTTTTCTCACTGTAATTTTTCAACTTATCTTCAGGTACCTTTTGCCAATGGACTCTTGAACTTTGTCTTCATGATGGAGGAATCTATTTGTATATCTAAAAACTCACATTTTAAGCTCTTCCGCTAAGCATATTAGTCCTCTTCAGTTGTTTATACAGTTTAATGTCTCCTTACTGACTGTAATAAAGATGTCATGGGCAACCCTCAAATAATTTTAGTTTAGGTTGGAATAGATTTTTGGTATTTACCAGTTATGGCCTTTTTATACAATATCAATAGAATCTTAGTCATTGGTTTGATACTATTGGTTATTTTGAGTGGTGCAGGTTTGTTGTTTGCATTATTGAGTTGCATTTTTCAAATTACATTTTAACACTGCGTAAGACTATTCGAGTGTCTCAAGGCGACACATTTAGTTCAGTTATCCTTGATCTCATGGTTTTGATATGATGGTTTAAACTGGCTTGATTAAACCAAGCCAGAATGGCATGCAGTCCATTTAATTCACATGTTGGACTTGCATGATCACTGTTAGATGCTTGATATCCTTAATACGTGTTTTTCCTTAGATTTTGTAGCCTGGCAAAACATGGATTTCCCCCCATAATCCTCATGTTAAACCTGTAGTGGGTAATTGTAACTTCCTTTTTTTTTTAAAAGTGCTTTGCTGAGTAGTTGATTGATAATGATGATTGAATTTAGCTGGTGATGCTGTGTCCTGTGCCTTACAGTTCCTCAAACTCCCTCATCTTCCCTTCATGACTCAAGGTGCTCTTAAAGGGTTAGTTTGTTTCCTTCTGTTGACTTGATACCACGGTGCAGGTGGTGTTGTGCACCTGGACACCAATATCCCCTTGTGGGTCAATGATAATTCAGAAATCTTGCTGTAAACAGTTTTGTATATAAATAAATCTGTTACTCATTTGATGTGTCTTTGAGCTGGATTACAGTAGGGGTCGCCTATTTAGAACTGCGGTCAAGCCAGCCTCCACTTCGGAAAACACAGTCAAGCCAGCCCGCACGTTGTATTGCGGTGCGTGAACATCCTATGCATTACGGTAGAGGCATGGAAAAACTGCCTTCAAAATAAAAGCGTTTACTCAGTCAATAACAAATATACCTAAAAAACATACCAAACATATTCATATATACTGGAGCTTAAATTAAGAAATATGTACTATATAATATGATCAATAATAATTTAAAACAAACTACGTATAACTACCACATTATAACTGAGTGAATGTTTTACATTTACTCAGTTATAATATGGTAGTTATTCGTAGTTTGTTTTAAATTATTATTGATCATATTATATAGTACACATTTCTTAATTTAAGCTCCAGTATATATGAATATGTTTGGTATGTTTTTTAGGTATATTTGTTATTGACTGAGTAAACGCTTTTATTTTGAAGGCAGTTTGTCCAGGCCTCTACCGTAATGCATAGGATATTCGCGCACCGCAAATACAACGTGGGGCTGTCTTGACTGTGTTTTCCGAAGTGGAGGCTGATTTGACCACAGTATTATTTTAAGGCATCTAGGTAGGCATAGACACAGGATTATAGTATGTGGGGTTAATTAATTCATGGTCTTCAGATATTACATGTTGGTGCGATAACACTACATGAACTACGGTAACGAATGCCAGCCATTCAAGTTTCTCGTTGCGAGGTGTAGCGGAAGACCTGCGTGGTCCTGACTGCAAGATCCCACCGGCTGTAAACGAACCCGGCTACAGGAAGGAGAAACCGTGAATGGAATATGGAGTGTGTAAGTGTATCTAGCCTACTTAAGCGTGGATAGATTGTACGGTTTTGTAATTAATCCCTTTTCACCTTAGTTATAACCTGACTTTCAGAAGTACGCTAATGTTAGCAGCTAAGTAAATTAGCTCATTCTTGGCAGAGTAGTTCTCAATCTTACTTACTTTCCCCCGGTATCGTTGTAGAGTTATCATATAAAATAATCAATACATAGTGTACAATAAAACCTTACTAGTGCCACCGAAGTAAAAGCCACAGCCGAATTAAGTCACCTCGACTGGCTCCTTAATGTCAACAGACTAGTAGCTAGCTTGTTGCTAATGCTTAATGCTAATCTTTTAATAATGTTTACAAGTGGAGTTTATTCAGTTTTACACATAACTTCAACAACGAGGACACTCTCCGTTGGTTTGCCAAAAAGGTTCAGCTTATTTTATAACACTACTGCCAAATTAATCGTTTACACCTGCGGATACAACTATAGCCATGGATCACATTTCTAAAGCAGGTAAAGGGTTGTGCTTAGCTCAAGTTGTTAAACGTATTGATAGCAGACACCGTAGCTGCAACTAATTAGCTATAATCAGTTTTAATCAACGAGTCAGTGCGTATAATGGGTAATAATGTTGTGAACCAAATGTTAGTGAGACCTTGATAAATGCACCTTGACAACAACCTAATACATAACGTTAGGTTTGACCCATGGAAGCATACAACATACACATTGTTACCTACACGATCCACTCTACGTTAACCCTACGTTAACCCAGCTGCCCATTTATTAACCCTACTCCAAAGTTAGCTTATAACAACATTATACGTAAACGTAACAATGTTTAGTGTTGCACCTAAGCTCAAATCATAAACATGTTAAACCACATGCTTAGCCTAAGTGTTGCTGCACAGTTTTGGATCATTACATTAGCTTAGCTGAGGATTATTTAGCCATATTATGCAGGCTTCTAAATAATTAAAGTTTACACATTCACTTCACAGTTCACACAGACAACTGAATGTTAAAGACCTTTATCTCTTTATTTCAGATTCCAGTGGCTATTGATGATCTTGAGGGCAAAAAGGACCCTGTCATAGAAGGTAAACTAATGTAGAAATACATTGATACCAAAGTCAGAAACAGTCATGTTTAAAAACAGCAAATAATTGTCCTGAATTGTCTCTCTCATTCCTTCAGACCCAGAGCACAATGTGTACACCAGGTTTATGAAGTCCCATCGGTGTTATGACCTCGTACCTACCAGCTCCAAACTTGTTGTGTTCGATACATCACTTCAGGTAAAACATAAACTTTAGATTTTATAAATGAAATCTATCTGTCATTGGCTAATGGAGACTGAACTATTTGCTGTAATTATTTCACAGGTGAAGAAAGCCTTTTTTGCTCTTGTTTCTAATGGGGTAAGAGCAGCGCCTCTGTGGGACAGCAAGAAGCAGTGCTTCGTCGGTAAGGACAATTTTCCTTTGGTACACTTTCACTCTGTGTAAGACAAAATGGAATAAAGGTTTGACTTGATTCTCTTCATGCATCTCCACAGGTATGTTGACCATCACAGACTTTATTAACATCCTTCATCGCTACTACAAATCTCCATTGGTAAGATTGTGGACACTAAATGGTTACTGACCTAGAATGATATAATGAGGTATAACATTTTACAACTCGAAGATGAATTTGTCAGGCTGTGTTTTATCTAATAGGAATGTGACCTTAGAACTTTTTAAGCTTGTTTGATTCTAGAGCTGCAATTATCAGTTGACTTAATGATTAGTCAGAACAGAAAATGTATCACTCTACTCTGATAACAGATTCAAGTAATGCATGAAAACATGTCAGAAATGGCTGTTTTTAGGCTCTCAAATGTTGAGATTTCCTGCTCCTCTCTTTTTCATTCTAAACGTCTTTGTTTTTTTGGACTGACAAAGCAAGACTTTTAAACATCTCCATGGACTTGCATACATCTCCATGGACTTTTCCTAATCTGGGATGGACCTTTTTCCTTGTTGTCTATCATTTTATAGACCAAACAATTAATCTATCAATTTCTAAATGTATCTACAGCTTCATCTACCAAGATCTTTGGTTGCAGCCCTTTCTCAGATCTTCTTGAATAAGTCAACCCTTTCTCTCCTTGTTATCCTTTAGGTCCAGATATACGAGTTGGAAGAACACAAAATTGAAACGTGGCGAGGTGATTTAGTTTAATATGTAATGATATATATATACTTCTTTAAATTAACTTGTGGAATTTTGAAAGTCTTGACTGTATTTTCTGTTCTTTTTTGTAATAGAGTTGTACCTGCAAGACTCTTTTAAACCCTTGGTTAGCATTTCTCCCAATGCGAGGTGAGTGTTTTTTTTGTATTCATCTTTTGTTGTACAGAAGTACTTCAAGGCATTTACATTTTGTTTTGAGTTCTCTTATCTGGACACACAGATGATGCACACGGAGGCATCTGATAGTTTAGCCTGTGAGAGTCTCTCCTTAAAGTTGCCTGACTCACAGCAGATGTCTTTGAGATTGTACAAATGTAGCTGTCTGACATTTTCCTTCACGACTTTTTGGTTTGGCCAAGGTCTCTGTTTTTAGAGTTCAAACACTACCTGACAATAAGATGAGGCTACAAGCAGCTTTTCTACAATTATGTGATTGATAGTAGAATTCATATTAACTTCATGAAGTAATCAATATCTCCAATAGTTTCAAAGTTTTCTAAATCTAAATAAAGATGCTGGGAGATTTGAAGTTCTGTTAGTATTTAACTTGTAAAGATGACTTTTCTCACTATTTTACCAATAATTGAAAAGCTAACATTATTTGCTATTCTTTAGATTGTTTTCCTTTCACTTTTTTCATCTTACAACATGCTTTGTCCAAAACACCTTGATTGACTTAGTCCTCTTTAATCTTCTCTGTGTCTCAGTTTGTATGATGCAGTATCATCCCTGCTGAAGAATAAGATCCACAGACTGCCTGTCATCGACCCCCTGTCCGGGAACACACTCTATATTCTCACTCACAAGAGGATTCTCAAGTTCCTCAAGCTTTTTGTAAGTTATCTCTATACGCTCCGTACCAGTACTGCAGTGAATATAGGGGTGCAACAACTAATCTATTAAAATCGATGACCAAATTAGTTGCCAACTAATTCAGTCGTCGATTCATTGGTCACGTCATCACGTGTGTTTTCCGCGCCGTTAAGGTCCAGCGTTATCGGTCTTTTTATCGGTACTGGAGACATTTAAAAATATATGTCATGTATTATTGCTACAAAAACATTATATCGCAGTCTTAGTGTCTTATTGTTAGATCTCGTTTCTAACATGCAAAAAGACAAAAAAAATGCGTCTATGTTCGGTGTATTTTCTATCTTTCCAATCCAGACGAGATCTCTCTCCCCCGTCTGTGTGCGAGTGGGCGGGGCATTTTACACACGCGGCAGCTACAAGCAGCAACACACGGAGGAGATGGCGGTGTGGTTAAATGTTACCCGTCTTGAGGTGGACAATGCTCCTTGCCAAGAGTGTTTAGCATGTGAGGGCGGTAACACGAGCAATTTATCTAAACATTTAGCAAAAGTGCTCCACATTCAGACGGAGAAATGCACCGGGTTCGACTGTCTTTCTAGCAGCTCTGTAGCTCCATCCACGAGTAACGTTTCCACGTCAGGTGTTATGTATGCTAGCAGCAACACACGGAGTTAACTCAATTATACAAACATGGGTTAATGATTAGAGGAAACTGAGTTATTTATTTTGTTAAAGTTTCAGCTATTCTGTTTACAGTTCTGTCATCACATAATTTAATATGATTTGTTAAAACATTGTTGTTTCTTCTGATGAGAAATATTATTTATTTAATTTAAATAAAAAGCAATGTTCATTTTGTTTAGTTAATTTAATAATATATGTATTTTTGAATCAAGTATTCATCTTTATTGTCTTCATTGTTAGTTTCCACATGCCTAAAACAACCTCAAGCTAAATCTAAAAGTTGATGGCTAAATAAGAGCGTTTGAGAAATTGTGCAAGGCATACAGTAATAGTCCGAATAGTCGATTAATCGTTTCATTAATCGATTTTCTAATTAGTCGTTTTTTGCAGCCCTAATTGAATACATTCAATATAATGGCAGATGATGAGTATAGAGTAAAGACTATTTGCTACAGTTAAGGAAAAAGTTATAATTCTAACAATATTTACAGAGACATCCAATCTCCCTCAGTTTTGATAAAGCGTGCACAATCTCTTGTTATTGTTTCCAGATATCAGAGATGCCAAAACCCTCTTTCCTGGGACAAACCTTAGAGGACCTGAACATCGGAACGTTCAAAAACATAGCAGTGGTCCGCACAGACACACCGCTGTACACGGCGCTGGGTATGTTTGTTGAACAGCGAGTGTCAGCGCTCCCCGTCGTGGATGACAAAGGTATGAGGGCAGTTTGTAATGACACCCTGGTTGATTTTGCATCAATGACAAAGACCTCTTTAATTGTGTTTGTTTGTGAACTAATATGGTGCTTCTCATGCAGGTCATGTGGTGGATATATACTCCAAATTTGATGTTATAGTAAGTTGTTATTAATCTTATATCATGTTTTTATTTTACATGCACAAAGATGCTTGTATAATTTCCAAATGCCCAGAATAACGCATACAAATGTTTGCTTGATTTGCCCAACAGTCCAAAATGTTCAGTTTACAAATTAATTTCAGCAATATTTCATATAGTATTTTAGAGGATTTCTTCATATTACTCCGGCTTACTTGAGATGTGAATATATATATATATATATATATATATATATATATATATATATATATATACAAGGATTTTGAAATGCGAGGCTAAAATTGCCACTGTATTTCTTTCAAACTTTTTTGTGAAACGTAACATATTTAACCTAAAGACCTGTGTTGCTGCAGAATCTGGCTGCAGAGAAGACGTACAACAACCTGGACCTGACGGTGACAAAAGCCTTGCAGCACCGTTCTCAGTACTTTGAAGGAGTGCTGACCTGCAACAGGCACGAGACCCTGGAGGCCATCATCAACAGACTTGTGGAGGCCGAGGTGAGCGTTGGATTTCATCATGTGTCACAGAGTAGCCTTGTGGCTGATGGCCCTGTTGCTTTTTGCTATAACTGTCCAGAGTTTAAATGCCCTGTGATAAACCGTGTCAGAAATGTTCCTCCATTTGTTTTAAAATGAAAGTACTAAGTGGGAGACTAAACACATGTGAAAGTACCTTAGGCTACAAGTAGCTTTTCTCTGGTTTTGCATTAAATAGAAACTCAAACAAAACACTTGAAGACACTTTGTTATCAACACAACTACTGACACCTGGCATGTCCTCTATCAGTTTCTGTATAAATTCTTCTGGCTTTGTAGAAATACAGTTTTCCAGAGGTGAGAGTGACGTTGATTGTGGTGTTTCCCTCAGGTGCACAGACTGGTGGTGGTGGACGAGCAGGAAGTGGTGAAGGGAATAGTCTCCCTTTCAGATATTCTCCAGGCATTAGTCCTAACCGATGGGGAAGAGTGTAAGTACAGTACAGTTGTGTAGCTTCTTTGAATAGACTCATTTTAAGTAAAAGCAACAGCATAATATAAATACACACCATAAAAAGAAGTAATCATTCACATGTTTCCTGAATATATAAATGTTACTATCAAATCTCACAGTTTATTGGCCAACTTACACAGTATATACTTTCTCTGATTCATCTCTGTAGGATTTTACAGTTTAATTTTCCTTTACAGAAAAGTTACAACACATTTTTTGTGTATACTTTTAATTTTGTTTTTTATAAAAAATATGGAAACATGTCAGATAAAAGATAATTGGAATCGGCCCAGAAAATTGCATTCAGTGATCTCTACTAAATGTGTTTATGATGAACTAAGTAATGATTTTTATTTTCTGTCCACAGGCACAGCTTGAGGATGTTTCTGAAACAAGAAAGGCTACACAATTTTAAGAGCAAATGGAGAGAGAACAGGCATGTGTATATTGAAGTACCATCACCTATCTCCTGTACCCAGACTTCCTATATTAACACGTGAATACTTCGCCTTCTCTGCTAAAATATAAAGCTTTAGCAACACAGCAAGATAAAATGGTAGTAGCATAAGACATACAGAAGCTCAAATTCCAAGCAAGGAGAGATGTGAAGACCTCTGGATGAGGAGCCGTCTTCTCTGAGCAGGCATCATTCCCACCGCTGTGCTCCATGATCTTAGGCCAGTCATTATGGCTCTTATCACAAATTCCTTCACATCAGTTTAAATTATATAATCGGTCACTAGCTAAATAAAAACGGATTTACCTGTAATGCCTTTTGATGGCAGAATTACATTTCTTTAATACAGCTGGAATATCAATGCACAAAAGGCAAGCCTATGTCAAAGACTTTTAAACACTGTTTATTTTTCAGATTAATATTTGGTGTGCATTGTTGTTCTGGGAAGTTCCAACTTTAGCCTGTGTCCTGTACTTTGTACATAAATGATTTGTTTTTTCTTGACAAAATGATCTTGTTTTTCCAATTGGTTTTATTATTTAGACGTGGTTGGAGGATTCGTAAAAATGTTACCTAGAAAAATCTAAAACTTAATTTTGAAGGTTATATGGTTGCAGAAGTATGTATCTGTATGTGTGTCTCTTATACTCTAGCTTAATGCTACACTTTGTTTAGCTCAATTAATCATACAAACTCTAGACTTTGAAGGAGACGGCTAGTCGTCTGCACTGGTCATTTGTGTTAGAATATGATTTCACAGGTAAAACGAAAAAGCCCCGGTCACGGTCTGACTACATTTGAAATAAGCCAGGAATTGTTTCAACTATTAAATCAATTGATTACATGTTAAAGGTGCGAAGAATATAAGGACTCTGGATCAAATTAGTTGTGAAGCCAGACAACAATGTAGCTGAGAGAATGGATCTGTTTTGTTCTATCTATAAAATGTCAGAAAACTCAGTTTCTCTATGTCCAAGGTGATGTCTTTAGATGTCATGTTTTGTCGGTTCAAACCCCAAAATAATCAATTTCACATGATCCACAAACAGAGAGAAGCAGGAAATGTCCATATTGAAGAGGCTGAAAAAGCCTTTCTATAATGACTAATCCATTATTCAAAACAGACTCGCCTACTCATCGTTACAACTCTAGCCTTAGAAGAGTTTAATAATATTAGGCTGTCAAGAGAAGGTCATTGGTGCAATTCAGAAGAGTATCAATGAATCCTGGAGGAGATGACCATTAAATGCTCTGGATATATGGATTCTGTGTTTTGCCATTTTGTCTGTTTTTCATGTGTGACAACATGTTTAGTGGATTGTATATTTGACTTTAGAAAGACATTTTTTCTCTGCCCGTTTTGTTAATCACACTTTGGGTTTTTGGCATTATTATCGTTAAAGGGACTTAACTATTGCTACAAATGAGCTTTAGTTTTTGAAAGTTTGGTCCACCTAAAAACAAATGGTCAAATGAACATGTCTGTGGCATTGATTGCTTTATGATTTCTACCTTTTTAGTGTGTTCTGTTGGTGTCAGTCACAGTCAGTGATGATGTGTGATGTCTGCTGCGTTCAGTTAAACATTTCATGTTAATTGTATTTAGGGGACTTTATCAAAATCACTCAATACCAGCATTTCCCTTTTCCATTTTCAAAAGAGGATGGGCCAGGAACCTGTCACACTTCCTGTTTCTACATATGTAAATTGTAAACGCACAGATATGCATTGAGATTAACATTGGAAGGATGAGCAATAAAAGGTTCTTAAAGAGATTGGTATTATTGTTAAATGTTTTATATGACCAGATATAACCTTAATCTAAAGATGTAACCAGGTAGCTGATATAAAATTGATTCACACCGCAACATTAAACTGTTCGGTGAACCAGCATTAAGTCATTTGTCCAGTTTTAGATAGTGGAAAAAAGCACATAACAAAATAACATCATCACCTCCATATGGCAACCTTTTTAAATACAAATTTGAGGTTTGTACTTTATTATATGAGTTGGTCATAGAGATATTGACCCATGTGATTGTAACTTGGACTTGAGTCGGCTAAATGTACTGTTTTGATGATTATTTTTACAGAAAATAAATGACATGATACTAAATACTTGTGACTTGAATGGAGACATTATGACTTGAGTTACTTGTCTGAGATACTTTTATATTTTCAGATTGAATATTAGATACAGAGCAATACAAGTGTGTAACTTTAACCAGTATCTGACCGCACACATGTAATGGCGTTGTGATTGGAATCAGTATTTGTTTAAGTGATAGGATGTTACGCAATTAATACTGACTGAAGTTATTGTTTGTTTGTTTAAAATGAAAAATTGTCATTTATGTCATCAAGTTATACATTTCATACAAATATAATTCCTAGTCATACTTTAGGATAGGTTAGATACATGTCATTAGTACCTTTTTTCACTTAAAGTCTGGTTGGTCGAGATGAAAGAAAGTAAAATAAATACACACCAATTATGAAAACAATTGCATTTATTACTCTATATTAGAAGGTACATGATTGAAGTCCTGAAGGGGTTTTTACATGGATGCAGTCGTCTCTTTCACTGCCTGCAGAATAACAACCAATTTCTTTCTTTCTTGGTGACACTTAGAGCAAGGTATTTCAACCTTAAATACACTATGCATTTTATACATTGTAAGGCAGGTACTATTGGACAAGACAGACATTCCCCTTTAGTGTGTATGTCATGGTTGACACTCAACCACTTATCAAACAGTAGATCTACACATTTTTTCCCAGCCACAAGCGACAGTCTCACGGGCAGTCTCTTTGTTCTTACATACATCCTGAAAGACTTAAAAATTCAGGGAAAGAGTGATTTTTAAAATAAAAGTATTGGTCAAACACATTTTTGAGACAGCAATTCAGACATTTCAGTAGTATTTAGTTACATTTCTTCTCCCAAAGACAAAGTCAGATCGTCCTTACAGTCTCTAGTCAGCAGAGTTCTGCAACTGGTTGGCGTGATTTGTATAAACATTCTCATTTTCAGTGGAGTGATCTTAAATAAACACTTGAGGACATGACCAGAGATAATTCTGAGAACATTTGGTTTTAATGCTGTGAGGTCAGTAGTAGTGCACACGTGGCCTTCAGCCTTGCGTAGGGACTCACAGCATACAAATATAAATAACACGGGAAAGATTACACACACACACACACACACAAAGTACCTGTTGAATTTGCATACAGCTAAAGACAAAAGTGCACCTATTTCCTGAAAACAAAACATTTCGACAGTGATTTCTGACTAAGTTAGATTGATGGAAAAAATCCACATACAATTTGCACACTCAGGAGGTATTGTACGGTGAACAAAAGGAGCTTTGAAGGGAAAAATCAAACGCTGCTGTGCAGTTATAGACGGCTATTAGAGAAAAGTCAACATTAGAGCTGTGACACACACAAATGTCATTTCAGAGGTCAAACAGTAGATCGTCATCAAAAACAAAACACAAGTTAGTAAGGTAGTTTTTCCCTTCCAACAACAAAAAAAACCAATAAAAAGATTCAACCATTTCAAACATGACATAAAATCCAATTGAACCCTCTTATTTACACTAGTATCATCCTAAACAGCTAGTTTATGTGCAGTATTTATACTTGGCCAGGAAATATATGCCCTGCAGGGAAAGGAACATTGGACATGCTCTGACAATATATTAAAAATGTACAATAAAAACAAGCTATGATTCAGATTCAGGGTTAGTGTATTTAAAAAGGGATTCAACGTAAAAAAAATCCCGTGTTTTATAGTACAGTGTGAATAGGATTCGCTGCTGCAAAGAACGTAAGGTTTATCTGAGTGTCGTGCACACCGGCTTATCTGAGCTTACTCTCATGGCAGGTTATGTTCTGTGGGGTTGATCAAACACAGCGGTTTTAGATAGATACAACCATTTAAATATTCTACATGTGTTATGTAAGAAGTGTCCCAATCCGAAGCCAGTGTCTCAGCTAAGAAGATCCAACAAATACAACACACAGACCCTGGCAGCTGTTGCTCTACATTCAACCCCCCATCCTACTTTAATACATTTTGCTTGATTCCTATGTCTGTATGTTGCTTAAGATGAAGAGCCAAAACAACGAGTTGATTGGATAGCATAAAGAAAACCTGAGGTTTACAACAGCTTGTGGGAAAGGGCTCCAGGCAAGGGGTCCAAAGGCTAAATCATGTTTGGCAAGTTGCCAAGCTCCTATGACTTTGAAGTTTTAAAACACAAACTGCCCTAAGTGCTTTGTACATGCTTACATTGTAATCAGCATACAAGCAAACAACACAGTGGTAGCAGAACCAGATGGAGCTCTCTTTGAAGGATTTCTAAGCAGTTAGTGATATGTGCCTGTATGTTGTAGGAGAAACCTGAACAATAGCCTCACAAACACCCCATATATTAACAAGATCTAGTCATCTGAATAACAGAATAAGTAAAAATAAGTTAAAAACACTCCCAGTTTGCACCCTTTCAAACACAAGAAGAGCAAATGTGTTAACTATTAAGCGACTGTGATCGAAGAGACCTTGAGGAGATATCAGCAACTGATTTTCAGAATGTTAAATGGTTAAATACATGTCCTGCAATCGATTGCATACAAGTACACAGGAAACCCAAGGATCCTTGTTAGTACGGAGTGTAGAGAGGGACAAAAAGGGCAGCAGTAGCTGAGGACAAGACAGGAAAGGTGTTCTTGGTAGTTTGGCTGGGTAAGCGAGGTAGGGTTGGTCAGAAATCAAGTGGCTTCAAAACTGGCAGGAGTGTCAATGGAGAAATATTTTACAAAGTGCTCAGTTTTCAAAAGTCTGGAGTCGGGTAGTGCTCAGTGCTCGTTCTCTGAGCTCACACTTTAATGTCCTCTTGAATGCTGAGCTGGGAGAGGCTCTTCTTGATGCGCAGGGCCGTCAGGCGGGCGGCTCCATTCGAGTACCAACACTCCCTCATGATCTTGCCCATTACCCGTAAGGCCTGTGACAACATGGAGAAGGGGCAGATAAGGATTAATAGCTCGTAATACAGTATACATAGCTATGATGACACAAATGTAGCTCAAGAAGTCCATGCATAATGTTCAAAGTTTGTTTAAAAGAGTTTTGTGTTTCCTGTGTCAAAACACTCATTTGGCTTAAAAAATTCAATTCAATTGCATTCTAAAAGAGCATTATAGGATAACTCACTTCATTGCATCGTTAGGTGCTGTCATTTCTAGCAACTAGATGACACAAAGATATACGTTTGGCATTTCTGTGCACCAGTATCTAATGACCTGTACTGGTGTATCACTTCATCTAGTAATACTGGCAGATATATCTGGCTCTAGTTGTAAAAAAGCCAGATTAAGTAAGATTAACGGAGAGCAAGCGCAGCCATAATGTGCATCTCCCTTGGCACATGAAAACACACAAGAGCAGAGAGCCTGTAAACAGTTTGACAAATATTTCTGGGAGAAAAATTATGACCATATTAAAAGGCACGCTATGTCACTTTTCTGCCACTGGGAGCACCCAATCCAAACATTTAACAGAAAAAGTAGGACTTGGGAGTTTATCATTGCAGGATGGACTGGTACTTTGATTAAAGTGATGGATTTCTCTAAGTTTCAATATTGGAAACATTTGCTATAATGTAAGTAAACCACTCAACAAATATAATTTGTAGATATTATTACCTTTAGAGTAATTTAACATTGGGGTTTAACCTAATAACCTCTTGGACTTCCTTTAGTGATTACCAAGCATTTCTAGATCCTAGCAATGAACTTGAACTTGTAATAAACTGTAATTACCAATCTGGTATAAGTCAGATCTTGAAAAGTGAAAACATATTGCTTTAATAGATTATTTTAATACCTCGTAGCTCTGCCACCAATTAGGAATGTTAGGTCGAAGCTTTTGGTCACAGACCAACTTTCTCATCTCCTCTATGGAAGGGTCAGACGGTACTAGGTCGTAGTAGGGCAGCTGGTACTCCTCATGGATACCTGATAACACGGGACAAAGGCGGCGTCAGATCAGTGCTGTGATCTCAGTAGTTAACATGGATACAAATATCAAAACACCACAGGTTGAGTATCCAGAGTAAAAACAAACAAGTCTGACCTCCAGTATTACAGCGGCGTGCAATCTCCCAGTAGACCAGCCCCAAAGCGTAGATATCAGCACATTTGAATGAGTCAAAGTGTCTCATGTTGATCGTCTCGTCCAAAACCTCTGGAGCCATGTACCTGAGAGATGTAAGAACAATCTCAGTCTGTAAATACGTGTCAAAGTGTTTTCTGGAAAAGATGTCAAAGATATCTGTGAGAAGCACACTCAGCAGCTGCAGGTGCGGGTGTTGACACTGACCTCTTGGTGCCCACCCTCTGGTTGGGTGCAATGTCGATGGTGTCGGAGGCAGAGTCATGACGGACAGCCAAGCCCAGGTCAGCGATGGCACAGGTGCAGTTCTTCTTCACCAGGATGTTCTTGGACTTCAGGTCTCTGTGGGCGATACCTGGTTTTCCTACCAAAGCAGAAGTGTACATGACAGACAATTGTGAACTCTTATCCCTAAATTGTTTTTTTGCTAAGGTCAATGTCAATTCTCTTTATTGAGAAACTAGAAACTATAACATTCTTTTTGGCCATCAGTTTGGTAAATAAAAATAGAAAAACACCCCCCAATTTGAGCAACAAATTGACTTTACTTTAATCTCCATATGGGTAGAGTGAATTGTTTCCTAAAATAACTCAGATGACAAAGACAAGGGAAACTATTTATATTGGCCACAACAAATGTATAAAGTACATAATTGGAGTTAAAACTTTTCGCTCTGGTTGTTTTGGGCAAAGTGAACTAAGATTTGTTCAGTCAATTTTTATTATAATTCTTTAAGCTAAATTATTTATTTTAAATAAAAAACATTTGTTTTAAAGGTCCCATGTCACGGTTTTCCTTGTGCGTTATGTAGCTTTGTATGCATGTAAAAGACACAGAAAAGACCTGTCTATGCTGCCACAGAATGCCTCGTTGGAGATTTTAATTTTTCCTGTTCACTCCTGTTCATAGTGACGTAACGGCTCTGCACACACACACT